GTGACCAACCAGTGCATCACCATATGGAAAATACACCACAACTACTGATCATAAACCTGACCATAACTTTAATGATAGACCCGCCCAAGAATTACCAAGGTAGAGAAGGTCATTTAGAAATGATGAAAGGAAACTGGACTCAATTTTCACTTTGGTTTGATTATATTAACCAACCTTGCCTCAGGAGAGATTGGACCTTATATTTAAGTCATTCGTGTCCAAGGACCAATTGTACCCTAGATGTATAAATCAAGACCCAATTATATTTATTTCAATAGGAATTGTACTTTTGCAATGTTATCATTGGTCTGAAGTTCAGTATGTTATATTATAACAGAATAAGGAGCATAACGTTTCAGAAATTTCTACCCAGCTATGACTCTGTTCAAAATGTCTTTGAAAGATATTCAGAATTTTTTTGTAGTTTGTTCAATCTCACGGATTTATACCAATACTGAACTAATTTATAATAGTCTATATTCAGTAATGCCAAATTGTTGGATAGCCCATGACTTACCTAAAGGATAAATTGTTACTCTAGTAATGTTATACAGTAATGTTAATGCTTAGTACTATATATTGGTAAAATGAAAACACAGAATGAAATTCTGCACTTTTGATCGTTTCAGAAGTTGTGATATTTCAAATGAGCCTCCATGACAAAATAGTATCACATAAGATTTTCATGTATAGCATAAATATCATATCAATTCCTTCAGATATTGCTATATTTCAAGAGGAGGAAATATCAAAAGAAAACTAACAGATTTGGAATTCCATGTTTAAAGCAGATCAAGCCTTTTCAGGGTGAAACACTGTGTCATTTGTTTAACAATAATTATATAGCAACGGGAAACTGGATCCAAAGTGTGAACAGTACTCAATAATAACTCAATAATTACTCAATTGTCACAAGGTTAAATTCTACGATTAATTAAAACAAAAGCGTTGTCCATTAATCTTAACTGGTTAATTTTAATAGGGGATAATTCATCATTGAAATAAAGCTACAGAATGCGCTTATATCTGATTAATAATCTGACTGAAAATCTCTCTTTGATCAAGCTAATTTTGCTCCATTTCTCTTTAAAATTTGAATGAAGTATTTCATTTTTTCACATTTCCGTACAATTTGGAGTGTTCACTACATGCCTGATTACTTTATTTCTCGCTGATTCCCTTATTTTCCACTCTATTTTCAGTTTTAATCGTGACATCCTGATATTTTTCTCAAAGGAATTCAAGGTAATGTCAAGAAAATCTTACTTTGAAGTACATGTAAATAGATATTATGATGACAGAAATCTCCGAAAATACCTTTGATCAGATTTTTATAAATATTCCAAAACATAAGTGACCAAGCTCAGAATAATCAGTATGTGAAATGGATTATATTTTTGAAAACAAAATTGTTAAATCCATTCAATTGTTTTAACGTCATAATTTTTTATTTTTATTTGTAAGGGTAATTACTATCAAATCATGTATGAGCATAATTTTTCCCTAAAATAGAGTTTTCATGGTTGTGCCGTTTTAAACTCTAATTTGAACGAAAAAGAGTGGAATTGCCCAGGAAGAAAGTAAACAGGCATGTAGTTAACACTCTAAATTGTATAGAAATGCAAAAAAATCAAATATACACAGTCAAATTTAAACAAAAAAGAAAGAAATAGGCGTGACCTCCATGACTTTTTTTAATGAGTAATCCAGCAGTTAACAGACTAACAAAATCTTTAAGTCAGGATATTCAATTTTAATTCATTGTTAATTACAAGTCCATAAAATGGAAATGGAATTAGGGAAATATGAAGTCAGATGTTTAGCTCTGGTTAAATTATGGTTTGACATAATGAGGAATATAATATAATGATTGAATGTTTCTAGCCCATGTTTTATCATTAACTAGCCTTATTGTAGACAGAGTTAATGTGTATTCTACAGGGACATGAGGCAGGTGACTTCACCAATATTTGAAAAATATTTTTGTCAATAAATGTACAGTAATGTTATATAAAGATAATCTATTTAAATTTTTACCTACCTAAAATGATGACATCTTGTTATAGTATCCAACTTTTTTGTTAATGGTGTTTGGCAGTTGGTGTTTGGCAGTTGGTGTTTGGCAGTTGGTGTTTGTAACAATTGCCAGGTGGTGAGATCTTGCATTTTAATGCCTTGTGATAGAGGGGGATGGGATCAGACATATAGATATAAGCATATTTATCATTAAAAGTGCAAACAAAATTTCATTCATTTCAAATTTTTTTTATCTATAGAAAATCTAAAATACTCAGGTGTAAAGTCAATCTTTATGTTATAAGGAAAATTCAAAATATTTCAGGAGTTTCATTTCAGATTTAAGTTGAGCAAATTGCAAAAGATCTGTAGAAAGTCTAAAATCCTCGGGTGTATAGCCAGTCTTTGTGTTCATTCTACTTATTGCAAAATGTAATAAGTAGCAGCATGATTTCAGTTAATTTTTTTTATTTTTTTGTTTGTCTCTTAATACATATTACATCATGTATGCATGTTTACATATTTATAATACAATAAATTAGTGTTAACATAATTACATTCTACTTTGAACATGAAAATGATGATTAAAGGAAATATTTTTCCAGTTTTGTTAATTTGATTTTAGTTAGACTAAAGTACTGGAGAACTAAGCCAATCTTTATATCCAGAGAAAAGCCAAAATATTATTAGTAACATGATTTCAAACCCGACAGGTAACATTGATTCCCATAAAGTTTCACAGTGTTCGACAAAGCGTCATGGCGATTATTTACAAATATGACGCATCCTTTATGCTGGTACCTGTAGGGATAAATATCCCCAAGGTGTAGGCTTTTTGGTGATATTATTAAAATTAATGACCCTTTAGGGTACGGACTGCTATAATTACCTATAATATCTTCAACCACTTTTACTTTGGCAGCCATATTTTCTTTGAAGGTGTCCCATATTTTATTATGAAAATAATTACGGGCCATTTTTCGCTGCTGTATCTTGTCTCCTACTTAACAAATGTACAAATGACTATCAAAAGAAATGAAGTCAATCTTATAGGGACTTAGACCGAAAAGTAAACATTATTTTAAACTATAGTTCTAGTTAAATTACATAGCACAGATGGGAGAACTTAGAAAATAGCAATGTGTGAATTGTTTTGTGTGACACAGTAGGCTGTCCATTTTCAGTCAGTATTATATCTCTGATTTGATATTTTATACGATCAGAAGAAATTTAAAGCGTCAAAATTCATTTTATCCCATGGTTTTATGCCCAAATTTGACATTTGAATTGTACCTCTTGGTGGTCTTATATGTAGACGCATTGTCAAAATTAATATTAGATCAAATATGGTAAATAAATCTATTTCCAAATTTTAAGTTTGTTTTTCTTCATTTAAAACATATAAATCTAAATATTTCATAATGATATACCCTTGTGGAAGCATTTTATCATTCTTAAAGGACTGAGGTCTCGTCACTCAGACAGATGGATTGTTCTTCGCTATTAGTGTATATAAATTTTGTTGTTTAAGAAATACTCTTTTGTTTTTTATTTTTTTAGGAAACATATCTGGACATTGTTAGTTATCGAAAAAAACAATTTTATAACATGGTTTAGAATAAGAATTGTTTCGGAAACATTAGAATTATTTTGAAAATTTTCAAAGATTTTATACTTTTTATTCATGATCTCTCCTTACTTTAATAGAAACATGTGCCCATTGTTGAATATAGCTATAATTAAATGGCACTTTATCAAACTTATTCAATACCAATTTTTTAATAAATCCAAAAGATGAAAATATCACCCGGGCATATAACTTTCTCATGAAATGCATAAATAGAAAATAGCTGTGAAAAAAACTTGATAATTATATGTATATAGAAGACAGTTCTGCATTTTTTTTTTCTATGGACTGGTGTTTAGGTTTTATCAACAATAATATTTCAATTAATTTCAACTCCGCAACACAACCAGTTATTTGTGAACAATAGAACTTTTAACGGGACTTTATAATTTAGAAGTTGATCTTAAGAATCTATTGAAATCAGGATTGTTCAGTTAATGTATTTTCACTAAAATTATCAATAACATTTTTGGGGTTAAGCTAAAATTGATTTAATACCCCGTCATTAAAAAATCATACACGTTTTAAAGGTTTTAATTAAATATAACTGCATAATAGCTACATCATTTGATATTATTACATTTTTATTGAAAAAATTCCCGTTTTAGTATTCTGAACATGGAAGCCTTCAAAAATGAAAAATTTGCCTCTTGGCTACACTTAACGTTAATTTGAAGTATTTCTAATTGTCTTATTTTGACAATGTAAAGTGTGTTGTGATGTTTGTTTTTTTATAGGATTTTTTTAAATTCAATTTATTTTAAGAATGAAATGAGGCTTTAGCTCTATGCCTTACACCTGTTATATTTGCGTATGCGCTCTCTTGGAAAACAGTTTTCCTCTGGGTTTGATAGTTACTGATTTATATATATTTTATTTTTAATTTACCAAGGACACTATTAAAAATTCAAATTTTGATTTTTTAGAAGGAAAGAAAAGAATCTTGAGAATGTGGGAAGTATTTATATTGGGATGCACTATGAATATAGAACTATAAATACTTATAAATATCACTTATAAATATATCCAATCAAATCATTTGTATCATCAAATCAAAGTAATATGAATTGATGGGACCCTAATACATACATATAATGGGAGAAAATTGCAGTTAAGATGCTTGTATATGCTGTTTGATTAACTAATCAACAACTTTGGTGATTTTCAACTCCAACAAACAATTATTTTTTGTAAAAAATTAACAAATCAACACTTTCATCATAAGTGTCAAATCTGCCCTTTAGCAGTGCCCCTTTAGGGGTTTATTTATACTCATGTCTTAAATACCCTTTTTATTTGTTTGAGTACTAGACTCTGCAGTATGTGACAGGATATTTTCATTGTCTTATGTTTTCAGGGAGATGCCCTCTGTAAAGAATGCTTCTACTTTGCGTTTGAGGAGGAAATTCATAAGACGATTATTGACGCAAAACTTTTCTCTCGCGGAGAGAAAGTCGCAATAGGTGCCTCTGGAGGCAAAGGTAGGAACTATTTTCTGAACAAAAGTTAATTAAATATTATGAACTACAGTATTTAATAACTTTGTGTAAAATATACATATTTAAAAGGTGTATGGCATCAAAAGAGAAGCTCATTCATGTATAACTTACCAAATGCATTCTATGTTATACTCCTATTATTTTTATTTTTTTCCTTATGTGTGGCTGTACTTTTAGATACTATTTTTTCTAAATATGTTTTGGTCTTTCTTCTTTGAGCACTTTTGCTTAGATAATTCACTTCTACTGATATATTTGTGTTTATTTTAGACTCAACTGTGTTGGCCTATGTACTGAAGGTCTTAAATGAGAGATATGACTTTGGCCTAGATCTATTTCTACTGATATATTTGTGTTTATTTTAGACTCAACTGTGTTGGCCTATGTACAGTAAAACCTGTATATCTGAACACCTGGCTAATCCGAACACCTTCCAATATGAACACTTTTTTTCGGTCCCATTTTTTCCTCCCATTGACTCCCATGTTAAAAAAACCTTGAAATCTGAACACCTCCTAATCTGAACAGTGAACAACCTGATTTGAAAAAGTGACCTGTCTAATCTGAACATTTTATCAGAAATCAAATGTCTGGACATTTCAATAATAGCCACATATTGAGTCAATGTTATAGTTCTTATTATCTTTACATATGCAATGTAATCAAAGAACCAATATTGTCCTAATTAACTTATTTAAGTCTCAATGACATCCTTAATTGTGGAAAACAAAAGGAAAGGTGTGAATACGGGTTTTAATTGGTTTATCCTATTAGAAAAGAACTGAATGTTTTATGTTTGGATTAAGAGAAAGGTGTGAATCAAGAAAATAATTGGTTTATCCTTATTTTAAATTAACTGGATGTTTTTGATTTGGATTATGAACAAGTCGTAACTGTTTTATATCCCATGGGTCTGTTATGATAGCTAGGATTCAATCAGTAAATGTTTTATAATCACAGAGACAACACAGACACATTTGCAGACAAGATTATAATTGTTTTATCATTATTAGAAATTACCTGGATGCTTTTGATTTGGATTAAGAGAAAGGTGAGAATCTGGAAGATAATTGGTTTATCCTTATTTTAAATTAACTGGATGTTTTTTATTAGGATTATGAACAAGTCTTAACTGTTTTATATCCCATGGGTCTGTTATGATAGCTAGGATTCAATCAGTAAATGTTTTATAATCACAGAGACAACACAGACACATTTTCAGACAAGATTATATCATGAGAAAGAGAAAAAATTCAGCTTCGTAATATCCTATCACGTAAATGCCTCCTAAAAAGTCCAACTGACATACTGAATGCCCTTGATATTTTGAAAGATTATGCATCATCTCGAATGAGCACTCATGAAAAATTATTTTTAATTGAAGAGGGTATCTACTCAAATATTGCTAATGCTAAAAGTGCCAAGAAACAAACAACAATGAACGACTTTTTCAAGCTAAATTAAAGCAGTGCTATGTAATCATAATATGAGATAAGTCATTTAATAAGCATAAGATTTCGTACAAGACTATCATATACTTATTCGGTTTTTCCAAAAATAATGAAATTGTTCAAAATGTAAATAAAACATACCATATACATGTAGGCTATAGGCCTATTGTAGAATAAACTCATCAACAACATGTATTGTTTTCTGACTAAGTATTAAGTGTTCAATATAGTGGACTGAACAATGAAAATCCCCCCCCCCCCGACCAACAATATCCTCGAAATTTGAACACCTGCCAATTTGAACGCTTTTGGCTGGTCCCATGGGTGTTCGGATTAGACAGGTTTTACTGTACTGAAGGTCTTAAATGAGAGATATGACTATGGCTTAGATCTATTTCTACTGATATATTTGTGTTTATTTTAGACTCAACTGTGTTGGCTTATGTACTGAAGGTCTTGAATGAGAGATATGACTATGACCTAGATCTATTTCTACTGTTATATTTGTGTTTATTTTAGACTCAACTGTGTTGGCTTATGTACTGAAGGTCTTGAATGAGAGATATGACTATGGCTTAGATCTATTTCTACTGATATATTTGTGTTTATTTTAGACTCAACTGTGTTGGCTTATGTACTGAAGGTCTTGAATGAGAGATATGACTATGACCTAGATCTATTTCTACTGTTATATTTGTGTTTATTTTAGACTCAACTGTGTTGGCTTATGTACTGAAGGTCTTGAATGAGAGATATGACTATGGCTTAGATCTATTTCTACTGATATATTTGTGTTTATTATAGACTCAACTGTGTTGGCCTATGTACTGAAGGTCTTAAATGAGAGATATGACTATGGCTTAGATCTATTTCTACTGATATATTTGTGTTTATTTTAGACTCAACTGTGTTGGCTTATGTACTGAAGGTCTTGAATGAGAGATATGACTATGACCTAGATCTATTTCTACTGTTATATTTGTGTTTATTTTAGACTCAACTGTGTTGGCTTATGTACTGAAGGTCTTGAATGAGAGATATGACTATGGCTTAGATCTATTTCTACTTTCTGTGGATGAGGGAATTACAGGCTACAGAGATGACTCCCTTGAGGTTAGTTTCGGTTCATAGTTCAGTCCAAAAAAAATTGTTTGAGTTCCTTTACTCTATTCTTAAAAATTGTTTTGAAAATCCACATTTGGTTTTGTTGAGATAAATACTCATGGATGGGGGTCTTAGAAATATTCTAAAAATATTCGAGCCATGAGGTTGAATTAAAGTGACATCTTTGTTTCACTTGATGCATTAAATTGAGCTATGATAATTTTCTTAATTCTAATTCCAGGTTTTACAAAGGTTCACTTTCATTAGTATCAATTATAAAACATTTGTTCATTTATAATGACTATAAAAAGTAATATTGTTTATAGTATAGTCTAAAGTAGTCTCTTTAGGTCACTCCCCAATAGGGTGATATCTAATTCATACTTACACCTGGATGAATTCGGTGGCATGCGATTTTTGAATTTTCAACCTGGAGCATGTGGTGTTATTTAGTATATTACTCCCTGTCTACCTTAACATGTCATCCACCTTAAGGAGTGATGTCATAAGTTACCCGGAGGTGGTTGCAAAGTCGCCATCTTGGATGAAAATTATGTTTAGTTCCAAGTCTGAATAAACTTGATAATATTACCACATACGTGAATATCTTAGTTATATGCTTATATACCAGAACACTACAGAGCAGAACCCAATTCCTCTAACCCCGGGGAGATCACTGCTTATAAATTGAGTCAAACATTGTTAATAAATAAATGTTTAATCATTAATAAATTTGTTTAATCATTATCTTAGACTGTGAAGCGCAATCAACAACAATATTCTCTTCCTCTGAAGATCGTCTCTTACGAGGAGCTGTATGGATGGACCATGGATGCAATTGTCAAACAAGTTGGGCTCAAAAATAACTGTAAGTAGTAGACCCTGCCACCTTTTGGTCGATCAGAAGCTCATCGATATTGGGTTGATTGATGATGTCATTGGTTGTACTTTTTCATAATTAACAATAAGTTAATCCTATTGTTGCCTACACAGACTACCAGCAACAACCAATGACATCATCAATCTAGCCAATATGTTATTGTTTCTCTGATGTATCAAAAGATGGGAGGATTTATTGAAAATAATGATTTCTCCTCTTTAAGATAGATAGTGCTTAACATAGTAAAAGTTTTCCTCAAAATGGCCTTTAGGACTGTGAATAGATGGCTGAATAATTCAGTGCGTTTAATTGTACACTTTAACATGTAAGAATTCCTTCAAAAATTTCATAAATCAAATGTCAAAGAAAATATCCAAAATGTTATGATATTGAAAATTATTTATAGGCAGAATAAGATCTATGCGGGGTGACAGAATTGCAAACATCATGTTCAAATCGACTTACTAATCTATTCCTTACAATCCAAAATATACTATCGCCTAAAAAGTCCATGGTTGTTATAAATTGGTGAAGTTGGGAAGAATGTTTAAATTCTCTCAAATAGTAACTGTTATAGAAAAATGTTTGTTGTAAAAAAGTTTTTAGACAGGTATATTTAGAATATCAATGACCATAATACAGAATACCAGTGACCATTGTTCCAAATACAAGTGACAATTGTACTGTATATCAATGACCATTGTACCATGTATCAATGACCATTGTACCATATAATTATAGGTACATTCTGTGGAGTGTTCCGCCGGCAAGCTTTAGACAGAGGTGCTATGCTGCTTAACGTTAATAAGATTGTGACTGGACATAACGCTGATGATATTGCAGAAACAGTCATTATGAATGGTAAGTTGTTCATTTTCTGATTTGCATTTGGCATCAGGGTCTGTAAAAAAGATCTGAAAAAAAGTCTGCAAAAAATCTCAGGTGGGTGCTGCGCCCACTTACTTTAATACTGGGGAGATCACTGTTACCCATTGGTGGGGACATGTTATACACCTTTATGGGCTTGTTAATACTTTACAGTATATACCTTAAAAGGCATAATAGAAATGACGAGAGCGTGTTAAATTACAAAACTTCTCGCTGTCCTCTCATTTATTTAACAAAAAAGGTGTTTGATATGTAATTAACTAATATGATTTTATTGTTATAGTGTTGAGGGGTGACATTGCCAGATTAAGGAGATGTACAGCAATTACTACAGTAAGTAACTATAGCAACAGAGTTTTGGGATGGCAACCATAAAAGTGTAAGAAGTCTGTTTGTGGGGATACTGTCTGTTTCATAAATATGGCATGAGAAAGAAATTTTGAATACAAAGCATTAAATGTTCCAAACTTATATGTTTATGAGAATAAATCCAACGTGTGAATAGAGAACATGTTGTAGCTATCATCACTCTACTATACCTTGCATTTGGCTTTCATGAGCAACCCATTTGGCTTATTAGTAATGATTATATATTTGTTTTTATTTGTCTGTTCCTTATTAATGGTTTATCGGTTGAAAGTTAGAAGTTGATAAGGTACTTTCAAAAATATATTAAACAATCAAATTAGACAAACAAAGTATCTTATGCATTTCTAGGTGTTAGGTATAGTAGTGTGATCACTACCATTTCAAATATTTTCCTTGTTCTGAAAAAACAGGTATGAGAGCAATTGGTGGAAAGCCATCAACAATGGAATGTATAGATGGCGATCATGTTAGAAATGAATTAATATAAGGAAATTACAAAGTCAAGGTATATTTTCAATGAAGACCACCACAAATATATATCAAAGGAATGACTCTGAAGCGAGGGGGGGGGGCTCCAAAGTCAGCAGTTTTGAATGATCCTCAGGGGTTTCACTAGAATTACTAACAACCAACTTAAAATAAATGAAAACAACAGGCAAAATTAATGGAAATCATAAATTTAACATGGAAAAAGTTGAAGTCCCTAAAAACAACAGGCAATTTTGTGAAAACAACTGGTGAAAATCGCCTGTTGCATGCTGCTAATGAAACCCCTGAATCATTGTATTAGCTCATTGTTTAAGTCAGTGAACTTGCAGCAAACCTATCATATTGCAAAACTCATGTCGACAAGATTACTAAGTAAATACTAACACAAAAAGAAAATAGAAATTGACGTTTTGCGTTTATCTGGAGAGGCAAAAGTTGGTAATTAAACATCCTGGTTTGACAGTCAATAAAAAGTGTATTTTCAACGTTGACAGTTTACTTCATTTCGTAAACATACCGTTGATATATCTCTTTAATCATCAGAACGTGTCGTACAAGCGAGTAAGATACCAGCAGATAAATTTTTTACATACTAGTGGATAACTTACTGTTATATAACAGAAGATACCTGAATAACATACTACTGTAAAACAGCATTACATACCAGTGGATAACTATTGCATACCAGCATATAACAGTATAACGTAACAGGAAGAAGGCCAATATGGAAAGAATGACCTTGATGCTGATTTTTCTGGCAGTAGGTTTCATGAATGTGAAAGGATGGGATAACGATGTCAAAAATCAACAATGTCACCAGTGCAATTGTACTTTGCAGAGTGCAGACTGTAGTAATAGGAACATTGATTCGCTACCTCTTGATCTCCCAGGAAATATAACAATTCTGAATCTATCCAGAAATCATATACAAAAGCTACCCAACTTTCTCTTGGGTAGACATTATAAAAATTTACAGACTTTAGACATACAATACAACTCTGAAGTATTGCATCTACATAAAGATGTATTTGAAGGACTTGATAAACTGCAAAACCTTTACATCGGGAAAAAAGTAGTTGTACATCCTCTTGTTTTCAAACCTTTAAAGGAGATACGAATCATTGAGGTGAAAGGGGATGGTATATTAACAGGTTTTCCACTTGCAAGAGACGCTTGGCTCAAAGCATTTGAAGGACTTCAAAACTCAACCATTGAGAAAATAACTTATGAATACATATCATCAATACCATTTGTATTAAGAAAAAAGTATTTTTCATATCTTAAAAACTGCCAACTGAAGGAGTTGCATTTGCCTAAAAACCAGATCACTGCAATAGAAATAGGCCTTGTAAATTATCTCCCAAAACTGGAAGTAATAGATTTATCAAGAAATATGATAGCAGCACTCATTCCTTTTTCCAAACAGCATTTTGCTCTCCAGTTACTGACTATGGTTAATTTGAGGGTGCTCAAATTTGATGATTCAGAGAGAAGGATTCCTATAGACCTGAACCACCCTCGCATCAATAATTGTGAAGATACAGAATGGCCATTACCAATGAGACTTGAGGAAATCAATTTTAGGTGGAATTCTCTCGATGCTCAACCAGCTTCTCTTCCCTGTGAATTTAAGTTACAAAGAAACAAGCTAAAGGTTTTTAATGCTGCGTATACCAATGTTGTGATCTACTTTGGGGGTCCTTTGAAAGGATTAGTTAATCTACAGCAGTTTATTTATAACAACAATGATTGTGAAATCGAACCTGAATTTTTCACATGTGCAAGTGGCTATTTTGAAAGTTTACAAGTTCTAAATTTAGCCTACAACAGAGTCCAGTTGTCTAAACCAAGCTCCAATTTTTCCCTGTTTGAGAACTGCTCTAAGTTGCTACATTTAGACATATCATACAATGACTTGGCAGACATTCCTTCTGATATGCTAAGGGATACACCTTTAATCGAGACTTTGAACCTCGGTGGAAACAATATTATCAACTTTAATTTAGACTTAAATACACTAATCTCTCTAGAGTTGCTGAATTTATCAAAGAACAATCTAAAAAGCCTTGATGAGTCTGCCAGAAATAACATTGCCGCTGCATATGAAAGATCCAATGGCAGGCTTATTGTTGACCTTAATGGCAACCCACTGATGTGCAACTGCGACGCATTCCGTTTCATAAATTGGATGAAGGATCACGTTGACATCATCTACCGAGGGTCTGATCTAACATGTCAGTACGTTAATGGATCACAGATTCAGTTCACACACTTGGATGCATCTAACATGAAGTTTGAGTGTTGGAAAGGTGCTATTATGGCATCAGGAATATCAGTGGTATTTGTCCTATTGATTGTTGGGTTTGTTATATATGGATATAAGCGAAGATATAAGATTATATACATAGCCTTACATCTGAGGGCGTTACTGAAACGCAAGGAGTTGCTAGACGTGGACTTTGATTTTGATGGCTTTATAAGCTACAGTTCTTTGGACAAAACCTGGGCTATTGATAACATATATGGTCAATTAGCTGGTCAGTATGGATATAACATTTGCGTAGATGACCGCAACTTCAGACCTGGCACATATATATCTGACGTTATTGTTGAAAGTATTAGCAAGAGCAACAAAATCATACTGATTATAAGTCAGAATTTCTTAAGAAGTGGTTGGTGTAAATTTGAAATGAATCTGGCAAGGGGTGAGCTTGCCACAAGGCGGCGGGACTGCTTAATCTTGATTCTCAAAGAGCCAAAAGAGTTACTACCCCGAGAGCTAATCAACCCCACACTACGCTCCCTACTTGATACAAGAGTGTACCTAGAGTGGAGTGAAGAAGAGGACAGAAAATTGCTGTTCTGGCAGAAAATGAGGGATGGTCTAGGAGAACCTAGATTCAGGGGAGAAGAAGATACCCCCTTTCTGTATCAGAATAATGATGGAGATGAAGAGATGCTTCACAATCTCATATAACTAACACTGTTAAATTTGCTTTGTATAGAGATGATGAGATATTCAGACTTTATAATTACATGAATATGAATATGATTCATACAACCAAGGACGTCTATCTCTATCTCGAGATAGACGTCCTTGATTCAACTAACCTTAAGACTTGATGTATACAGAGCTTCAAAAACGCATACTAGTATAATTAATACTTGGACATGTGTAGAAAAATGAGGATATGCTTCAGACTATATTCTAATTAACATTTGGGCTTCACATGTACAGAAAAGAAGTCTCTCATTACCAACAAAACAAGGAAGTAAATTTAGGGTACAAACTTATTAGTCCCCTTAAATGAATTCTCTAAAAGCGTTTTCCTAACTATCAAAACAAGGTAAAATTCAATCTGTTTATTATATGTGCAAATAGTGATAGATCTGTTATAGGATTTAAGACCTGGACTTGATGCATTGTCTGCCGAATTATTCCACAAAATCTATACTGATTTTACACTAGTTCCAGATTTTTGTATCATTTCTACATTGTACATCTTAAAATTAATTGTAAATACCATTTTTATTTTAACAAAATATAAATGCTTTCTTTTACATGTAGTCTAAATGTAATTAAAAATTTAATTCCGTTACAAAACAACATAGTGTATATTATATATGAATTATGAAATGAATTAAATTGAATTGACTAAGGTGTTGTTTTTGAATATTTTCATGCCTCCTCACTAGGTAAAAGGCAATTTTGTAAAACGTCTTTAGAAATCACTCATTTGGTGAACAATTTTTCAAAACATTCAATTTTTTTTATTTTAATTCTTTCCAAATATATGCCAAACTTCAAAACAAACCAATGTTGATTGACTTAACTAGATTGAAAACAATACATATATTATGTTTTAAATATTACGGTACCGTTGTGAATTGTCACTCAAATGTAACAATATGTGTGACATCTAAAATTAAGTGTTACATAAATTCATGATTTTTCAAACAAAAATTCCTCCAAAACTTCTTTTTGAAATTATAACCTCACATATCACATTTTGATAACATGGGATAAAACTGCAATATAAGCCGAAGATGTAAAGTGGTTTTATTAAACTTTTAACGGGACCTTTTTGAAGTGTAATAAAGAAAAGAAAATATTAGAAAGATTGATAGGAATTTAATAAAACCTTTCCCCTTTTTTTGTTTATAATAATATTATATCCAGTGTCATTTTGTGTATTTAGTGTTTTAACAAAGTATGAAAAACTTACAGACTTTGGACATACAATACAGCACTGAAGTATTAGATCTACATGAACATGCATTTCAGGGACTTCCAAACGTGCAGAACCTTTACATTGGAAATCATTCAGATGTACATCCTCTTATATTCAAACCTTTAAAGGAGATACGAATAATTTAGGTGAATGAAGTCGGTAGAGGTTCTTTTCTTTTTCCTGGAGCTTTTGTTCCTCTTCCTGGAGATTCTTTGCTCAAAGCATTTAAAGGACTTCAAAACTCAACCATTGAGAAAATAACTTATGAACATATCACATTGATACCATTTATGTTGAAAAAAAACATATTTTACATTTTACACATTGTCAGCTTAAAGAATTGCATTTGTCTCAAAATAAGATCACAGCAATAGAAATAAGCCTGGTAAAATATCTTCCGTATCTGGAAATACTAGATTAATCAAGAAACATGATAGCAGCATTTGCTCCTTTTTCCAATTTTGTTACTTTTATAAGTCTATGGAGTATGGATCACTTAAAGGTTGTTAGACTACATACATCACAAAGAAGGACTATTGGAGACCTTAACAATCCCAAAATGATCTCAAACTGTGGAGATACAAGATGGCCATTACCAGCGGAACTTGAGGAACTAAATCTGGGGGGACTTCACTTGATGACCAACCACGATCATTTCCCTGTGAATTTAAGTTTGACAGAGATAACAAGCTAAAGGTTTTAAATGCTGCTTATACCAATGCTGTGATCTACTTTGGGGGTCCTTTGAAAGGATTGGTTAATCTGCAGCAGTTTATTTACAACAACAATAATTGTGAAATCGAACCTGATTTCTTCACATGTGCAAGTGGCTATTTCGAAAGTTTACAAGTTCTAGATTTAGCCTACAACAGAGTCCTGCTGTCTAACTGTCATTTATCCTGTGCCGGTGCCATTTATCATGTGTCTGTGTCATTTATTATGTGTCTATTTTTCAGGGTATGGAGGGAACACTACCTAGATGTAAGCCATTCAAATACACGTATGAAAAGGAAATCGTCATGTGAGTGAATACTTTTACTTTTTTTGTATTGAAGCTTTCCTTAATTTTGTGCTACTTTAGTTTGATGATTTTGCCAGTTTGTATTTGAAAGATTATCTTCCAATTTCCAAATGTAAATTTTTTACATGATTTGTAAAAAGTACTGTTTGTGGAAATGATTACAAATACTTGCAATAGAAACTCATGATTCTGTATTTCATTTTGGGTCTGAAGGAAAAATGATGATTCAAAAGTAATGGACAAAATGTTACTTTTCAATCACTCTTTATACAGGGTGTCCATAAGTCGCTTTACACTTTACAAAGACTTTGTATTGGTATTGTAAAGATACTTCATGAACACCCTGCATAATGTATTACTAGAGCTTAACTCTTCAACATTTTTCACTTAACGTGCCATTTAACACTTTTGCCTTTAAACGGGTGTCAAATTAAGTATCTTTATGCTACTTATTTTAAAACACATCCATTATAAAATACTACAATGTCACGCAGTAAAAATTTACAGTGCATCATAAGAGTAACATTTTTAATATAAATGCAATAAAATAAAGATTAGACTTGTATTGCATAATATTGTATAACTATATTATATTGTGTCGTTACTTATTGTATTGACATTGTATTGAATTGTATTGTATTGTATAGTTTTACATCCTTTGTCAATATTAACTACAGTGCATATGTTTAAAATTTTAATTTTCAGGTATGCTTATTTCAAGAAGCTTGACTATTTCTCAACTGAGTGTATCTATTCTCCACTAGCATTCAGGGGCCATGCTAGGACATACATCAAAGATCTGGAAGCCATCAGGCCTAGCTCAATCATTGGTCAGTATTAAAAAATGTTTAGACCAATCATTGGTCAGTAAAATAAATGTTTAGTTCAATCATTGGTCAGTATTAATAAATGTTATAGTTCAATCATTGGTCAGTATTGATAAATGTTTAGTTCAATCATTGGTCAGTATTAATAAATGTTTAGACAAATCATCGGTCAGTAAAGCAAATGTTTAGTTCAATCATTGGTCAGTATTAATAAATGTTTAGACCAAACATTGATCAGTAAAATAAATGTTTAGTTCAATCATTGGTCAGTATTAATAAATGTTTAGACCAATCATTGGTCAGTATTAATAAATGTTAAGTTCAATCATTGGTCAGTATTGATAAATGTTTAGACCAATCATTGGTCAATATTAACAAATATTTAGACCAAGCATTGGTCAGTATTAATAAATGTTTAGTTCAATCATTGGTCAGTATTAATAAATATTTAGACCAATCATTGGTCAATATTAATAAATATTTAGACCAATCATTGGTCAGTATTAATAAATGTTAAGTTCAATCATTGGTCAGTATTGATAGATGTTTAGTTCAGTCATTGGTCAGTATTGATATGATTATGCCGAGTTCAATCATTGGTCAGTATTAACATAACGCCTAGTTCAAGCATTGGCCAGTATTAATACTATGCCTAGTTCAATCATTGGTCAACTTGTACTATGAAAGCTATACTTACAGAGGGGATGTATTGAATTATATTGAAAATGAATGTGAACAAATAAATTAATCTGTTCCTCGGCATAATTATGATTCCCATATAGTCTGATAGTTTCTGAATGTATTTAACTCACATGAAATGGAAGGAATATCACATGAACAAGAACCCATCTCTACTCAAGTGAGTCATCAATGTCTCATCCTTTGAATGGTCCATTTCAAGACATGTGTCATGCAAGTTTTCAATGCTAGTTTGACTGGCTTTAAAAATAAGCCAAATGAACTTATGAGAATTTTTTGAGGGAGATATAAGGCATGGCTACGTTTTCTTCAAATTTGGTGCACTTATTAAGCATACATTGAAGAATAACTGACATGAATTTCAGTCACATATCTTTTATATTTCTGAATCTATTGACATTTAAATTCTACATAGCCACAAACCCTGGAGTTGTCAGAGAAATAATGTATAGTTCTATGCATATTTTAGACATATTTTATTTCCTTTACATTTATTGAAATTCAAACTGAATGTAGGTCTACTTATAATTTCAGATATAATCCACTCTGGAGAGAGTTTATCAATTAAGAAAGATGTAAAGATGCCCACCCAGGGTCTTTGTACAAGATGTCAGTATATATCAAGTCATCCTGTATGTAAAGCTTGTGTTCTCTTAGAAGGTCTCAACAAAGGTCTACCAAAACTAGGGATAGGAAAACCTCACAAGATTAGAAAGGTATGGGGTATATAAAGGGCTATGGTGGCGGTAAGATGTCAGTATATCAAGTCATCCTGTCTGTAAAGCGTGTGTTCTCTTAGAAGGCCTTAACAAAGGTCTACCAAAACTAGGGATAGGAAAACCTCACAAGATTAGAAAGGTATGGGGTATATAAGGGGCAAAAGTGGGGGGGTGTCAGTATATACCAAGCTATCAATATCCTCAAAGCTTGTGTTCTCTTAGAAGGCCTTAACAAAGGTCTACCAAAACTAGGCATTGGAAAACCTCACAAGATTAGAAAGGTAAGGGGTATATAAGGGGCAAGGGTGGGGGTTAGATGTCAGCTTATATTAAGTCACTATATTGATCTTGTGTTCTCATTGAGGGCCTGGAAAAGGATCTTCAAAAACTAGGGATTGGAAATTCTCACAAGATTCAGAGGTATGGGGTATATAAGGGGCAAGGGTGGGAGTTAGATGTCAGTTTATATTAAGTCACTATATAGATCTTGTGTTCTCTTGTCTTAACAAAGGTCTACCAAAACTAGGGATCAGAATACCTTTCAAGATTAGAAAGATATGGGGTATATAAGGGGCAAGGATGGGGGTTACACAAGTTTGTATATCATTATATACCAAGCCTCCCATCCTGCAAAGTTTGCGTTCTCTTAGAAGGCCTTAACAAAGGTCTACCAAAACTAGGGATAGGGAAACCTCGCAAGATTAGAAAGGTATGGGGTATATAAGGGGCAAGGATGGGGGTTACACAAGTTTGTATATCATTATATACCAAGCCTCCCATCCTGCAAAGTTTGCGTTCTCTTAGAAGGCCTTAACAAAGGTCTACCAAAACTAGGGATAGGAAAACCTCACAAGATTAGAAAGGTATGTGGTATATAAGGGGCAAAAGTGTGTGTGGGGGGGTTGAATGTCATTATATACCATGCCATCCTGTCTGTAAAGCTTGTGTTCTCTTAGAAGGCCTTAACAAAGGTCTACCAAAACTAGGGATAGGAAAACCTCACAAGATTAGAAAGGTATGTGGTATATAAGGGGCAAAAGTGTGTGTGGGGGGGTTGAATGTCATTATATACCATGCCATCCTGTCTGTAAAGCTTGCGTTCTCTTAGAAGGCCTTAACAAAGGTCTACCAAAACTAGGGATAGGAAAACCTCACAAGATTAGAAAGGTATGTGGTATATAAGGGGCAAAAGTGTGTGTGGGGGGGTTGAATGTCATCATATACCAAGCCACCCTGTCTGTAAAGCGTGTGTTCTCTTAGAAGGCCTTAACAAAGGTCTACCAAAACTAGGAGTTGGGAAACCTCACAAGATTAGAAAGGTTTGTGGTATATAAGGGGCAAAAGTGGAGGGGGAATGTCAGTATATACCAAGCTATCTTGTCTGTAAAGCATGTGTTCTCTTAGAAGGCCTTAACAAAGGTCTACCAAAACTAGGCATTGGAAAACCTCACAAGATTAGAAAGGTTTGTGGTATATAAGGGGCAATAGTGGCAGTTAGATGTCAGTTTATATTAAGTCACTATATAGATCTTGTGTTCTCTTGTCTTAACAAAGGTCTGCCAAAACTAGGGATCGGAAAACCTCACAAGATTAGAAAGGTATGGGGTATATATAAGGGGAAAGTTTGGGAGTCTGGGCAGGACTGAGTTGGATCAGTCAAATAAAATGAGTAATATTTTGTACATATGCCATGCATGCATCTGATATGTATCATATAATATTGCACTGTATTATGTAAAGTTACAGGCTATTGTATGAATTTGTATTCTATTAGTATATGTAATCTTTTTTTTGTATTATACAGTTTATTGTGTTTCCAGCAAGCTGCAGAAGAGGAGAGCAGAAAAGCCACACAATCACAAATAGACAGTGTTGAAGGGGTCCACAATCATGATAACCCATCAGATTCAAACATTCAAGGGGCCTGCAAGTCATGTAATTGTACAAAGGCGACACTAGTGGATGGATTGGAAACTAAGAAAATGGAAGGACAAATTGAGTCAAATAAAACAAGGACTAGTATTTTAACTAACTCTACAACAAAGGATATAGACTTTTAGGTGTGAAAGTAAAGAAGTAAAGAAATAGTTATCCCAAGTTGATATGGTAGAGGGGGGGGGCATATTAAGGGGGGATATGGGGTTTGGGATATTAATCTGGGATCTTTGAATTATGAATCGTAAATAGGATAATTGCATCGGAATAGGATACCAAATAAGTCAAGATAGTCTCCTTAAACGCCCCATTTAAAGTTTAAACCACTCTGGCTATAGTATAATCTTAGGGATTGTGTCAAATTATCAACAGTTGTAGATTAATGAAGTTAATTTTGTTAATGGTTTGCCCCCCCCCTCATTTAACAAAATTTTAAAAGGTTGAATATTAAAAACGAATCAACATTTACCCTTTCCTCTCCTAAAGAAAAAAACTAAGTTCTTATTTCATGACTTTTGATAATTGGATATCATCCCTTTTATATACCCAGTGTTATCAATGTGAGATTTTTTAATCTAATTTCAAAAAATTAAACATTATAACAAAACTGCTTTGGAATTCCATTAAATGGTTGAAATAATATGACTTTTGCCCGACCATATATTCAAAGGAGTAAAGAAAATAATGTCTTCTAAAGTGTTAAGTGTTGTATTTGAGGATCTTAAACACTTTTCTTTCAAGAATGGTAAGAAACTAAATAATTATTTGAAATTATTAGATGAACAACTTTTTCAAGTCAATTTTTCAAAAAATGTCTCAAATGATTTTTCAAGTCATGAAAAGTAATATTTGAATGATTAAAATCTGTTTTCAAACTTTACACGGGACCTTTAAATGAGACACTTGGAGCAGGTGGGTGACTGATGTTTTCCCTTAAGTTTGACATCACAAGCTGTACTCATTAATGTGTTCTCCTCCGCGTATCAATGACAAAATATAATTGTGAGATAATAAATAAGTAAATAAATTAAAATAATAAATTATCAGTAACTCCTATTTTCTATTGTTTTATGTGTTAGGTATAATCAGATAATTCCAAAATTAGAAATATTACTTGCAATTGAGATTGCAATTGAGATTGTTATACAGGGTGACCCCAAAAAACACCCACTATATTTTGTCAAGTTTGGTGAACTGACTCGTTTATTGATTAATATGAGAAAAGAGATATCTCTTAATTTCCAAGTCATTGATGCTGAATATACTGATCTTTCTTCCATTAAACACTAAACATATATAAAGTTATTGCAAAAATTGTGGGTGGCATTTTTGGGTCACCCTGTATTTGGAATCAGATCAAGTCAGAAAAAAACTTCTGTGCTTGTTCGGAAATTTTTTTTGATCCACTAGTGAGGTCACCACCCAGGGGGTTCCCTGTATTTTAACCTTGATGGTCCTTGGAGCACATGGGGTACCTTTTTGACATTTGGTATGGCAATGAACCCAAATTTTAGGGTCTGGTATGAGGATGCCCCCCAAATGAGGCCGATTTTTTCCACTTTCTGTTTCTGGTATGAGAATGGTCGTTGAAAATATGTTACCTCACACTTGTGGTAATATATTGGTCTAATAGTTTCACGTGTTTCACATATCCTTAATTCGAGGTTCCCTTCGGATCGTTTTCTTCATAGATTTGCCTTTTTCTCAAGGCCTTCTTCAGTTTGAATAATACCTAGCTTTGGACATTTGGTATGGTATTGGTCCTGTTTTTGGACATTTGGTATGGCTGTTGCGCTTCATTTTGGTTGGTATGGAAAGTTGGGAACATATTGATATTTGACAGATTGGTTTTGGAACATATTGATATCTGAATTTGTATGTACAGTTCAAAACAGGTGAACCCTTCAATATTTAACATGGGTGACATCTATAAATAAATAAATACATTTTTGCATTAAATATTAAATAGATGTCGCGCCTATCGTGTATTGGTTTACGTGTCAACATGGCGGTAAAAAAGTTTGTTTTAAAAATAAGCTTTCTTCTGGGACTTTCTGCAATCATTCGGGCAGAGGAGGCATGTTATAACTACGGAGGTGGAGATGTATATCCCCAAGAAAGTCGAGCTAGGGGTAACCATGCAATGCATTGGAGCAAAGCCCTCAGTAAGTCAAATATGTTTTTAAGAATTCAATACTGTACTCTATTATCGCCCACAAGAAAAATTTATTTACTTTTTATTTACAAGTATGGACCTAAATCTACAGCCACTATAATTCATAATATGACCCGTTTCCTTGAGAATATTGACAGTATGAAGATGAATCAGTTTTGTATTCTAAATAGCCAAGTTTATTCAACGTATTTTAGTCTTGTTTATTGTTTCAGGAACTTCACATGTAAGTTCAATTCCTACAATTAAATTATTTATTCTGTGAATCAGTTCATATGGTTAGAATAAGGAAAGAATGTGATGTAACCACGTGACTACTTACTAGCTTGTTCTATGTCATCCATTGGACTAGGTTACATCGTGGAACGCAGCCAAACACGACAATGTTACAACGGAACCATATGAACTGATTCACAGAATAAAAAAAATGAATGTAGATCCCTGTAGTTATCCCGTTCCCGGACTATAGTCCTGCACTGAGCGCATTCATTTGCCTGTACGATTACAACTTGGGAGAATTATCTACGCCCCTTACACTTAAGATACCTACCTCAATGCATTATAGAACTCAAGATGTAACTTCTAATATATTGGAACCGCCGATTGTCTGGGTATATCGGCAGAACGGGAACATTTCTCTTTTTCATCGAGAGAGATTCCATCACTTTTCAAAATGGCGGTTGGATTTAAAAGGGGAATCCCCCGTTTGGCTGTCCCGGATGTAGCCCGGAAGTACCAATATGGAGGAATTTGACGGTTGAAATAAGTTAAATGTTACACGCAAATTTGATATCAAAAACGAAAATGTCTTCGTTCTGCCGATAAACCCAGACAATTGTGGATTCAACTACACGAAAAGAATGCTAAATTACCAAGGAATCTATTGAAGTAGGTATCAGAAGTGTAAGATGAGTAAAAAATTCTCCCATGTTGTAATCGCACAGGCAAAAGATTGAGATGTTCACAGGACCATAGTCCGGGAACGGGATAACCCTGTAGCCTTGAAGAAGGCTTCTCCAGTTTTTTCTCTTTCACCAGGGCACACCATTCTCCTTTCCTCTGAGTCTCCTTCTCTTCAGTAGCATGAACAAAACCACTGAGAATTGGCTTAAAAAGGGGGATGCTATCAAATATAATGCACTCCCTAATGCACACACATGATATTCATCACCATGGTGTATCTTGTTCTTTTCAGTCTCTAAACCAGCCCCTGATTGGGAAGGTACAGCTGTCGTAAATGGAGAACTGAAAGATCTGAAACTGTCAGACTACAAAGGGAAATATTTGGTTTTCTTCTTCTACCCTTTAGATTTGTAAGTACATATACTTTTCACTGAGCTCTATACTGTATTTTGTCAACATGGTTCTACATGTTGTTAATCGTCGTTTCAATAGTTCTGGTTGCAAACAAAGTTTCATCGCATGGTTTGTCATTTTGTCAACATTTAAAGTCTATAGATAATACTTTGCAATTTTTATGTCACCACCAGAAGTGATGACATTGTTATAGCCTCCAACTTTTTTGTGGATGGTGTTCGGTGGTTCGGAGATCTGCGGTTGGTGTTCAGGTCTGTAACAAATGGCAGTTTATGTTAGTGCCTTGTGATTTTGTGTTTTTGAGGCTCAAAGTTTATGTCCAAGTCTTTTGATTGTGTTAGTAACTTTGACTACTGAGCATGTGTGCTGTGGCGATTGCTCATTATAAGAAAGTTCAATTTACATGTATTAGAAAAAATATATCTTAACGGAAGGAATCTTGTCGAAGAATTCAACATCTTTTATTTCAGCACATTTTTGTATTTTATTTCAGCACATTTGTGTGTCCAACAGAGATCATAGCATTTAGTGATAGAGTGGAGGAGTTTAGAGCTATCAACACAGAAGTCGTGGCTTGCTCCGTTGATTCACAATTTACTCATCTAGCATGGTAAGATTTCTTGTTGTCTCAAAAGAGTTTACAAGATAATATTTTTAGCTGAAAGTAAAAAAGTAAAAAATGATTTTCAGACAGAAACTCACACAAGCATATTATCACATAAGGATCCAAAATGTGATAACATACTTATTGTATCAATATTTTAATGTCCGTCAAAAGACGTAATTAATTTATTAAGTTCTTAACCCCCTTCAAACGAAAGTCAAAATGTTGATTCATAGCTGTTACATATTAATGATCATACCAATGCAGAAGAGGAATCTCCTGGAAACAAAAAATCAGTTTCTGTCTTAGCCTTATTAAATGGGGCTTTACCCCCTCCCTTCTAACATAATTAATTACGTTTTTGAGGGACATTGAAATATTGACCCGGCCCCTAATATGTTTCATCATTCAAAGTATTTCTCATTTTATCAGTTACTCAAGTGGGTAAATAGATTTTAAGGTAGATGCAAGCCTCTTCTTAATATCTCAAATTGGTCAAGCACCAACTTTTTTTAATGCTAGAATTATCACTGTGTTTATATTATTAACTTGGAAAGGCCTTAATGAGAAAATCATTTGTTACTACAAGGTGGCCTTTAACTGCTTAAAACCGTCCTGGGGCTCTTATTGACTGTGATTAATGGTAACGTTAGCTGGTTAACGCTAACGTTAAAGGTAAAGTCAGCTGTAACTTGTATTAAGGGAGTGAGGTATGATCGCAAACAATTTTATAGCAAATGATGTATATCACCAAACCTATGTCGGCTTTAGTAAGTGGCTTTCCAATTCCTGCTGTCAAACTCATTGAGGGGGGTGTATTTTTACTTGAAAATTAAGGTGGAATAGCGATAAATAGGGAATAATTTCTTAGAAAAACTCAAAAAGAAATCGTTGGACAGTACCTTAAACCTGCCCTGGAGAATGGCTATGACACCAACTTACTTTGGTCAAAATACCAGAGTCTGAAAAAAATTACGACCAAACTTCAAGTTGAACTGAAAGGTTTCCATTCATGAGAAATGGACTTTGTTTAAATTATTTTGGACTCGATAGAGGGCTTTGACCTCTTTTTCATTACGTCACCTGGTGACAGTTAATCATTCCGCGAAAATGCCAAAGGCATCGTCACATATCGGAACAAAGGGTTCATAACCCTTCAACCAAGTAAGAAAAAAGTATGCAGATAGTTAATTTAATTGAATAAATATTATGAATATTCTTCCTTTAACATAAGACCCCATTGAAGATGTTGAACTACCTTAACAGGCTTGCAGTAAAGAGTTAGATTTCGGTTATGTGGCAATGATTTTTAAATCGAAAAGTAACCTTATCGGCATTGCTGTCATTTTCATTATCATGGCCATAATGAGAATATGGATTCAGGATTCGATAAACAGCCAAAAATATGAAAGTGAGACACATTTTAAACATTACTCAAAACAGGTCTCAAACAAGAACTCAACACAGGACTGGAACCAAAATCCAAAACGGGATTCAAATGATTACTTAAAACAGGATTTAAATGTGAACTCAAAACAGGATTCAAAAGAGTACTCAACACAGGATGCAATTGAGTACTCAAAACTGGATTCAAATGAGTACTCAAAACAGGATTCAAATAAGTACTCAAAGCAGTTTTCAAATGTGCATTCAAAACAGGATTCAAAAGAGTACTCACCACAAGATGCAAGTGAGTACTCAAAACAGAATTCAAATGAGTACTCAAAACAGGATTCAAAGGAGTATTCAAAACATGATTCAAATGAGTACTCAAAACAGGACTCAAATGATTATTCAAAACAGGATTCAAAGGAGTATTCAAAACAGGACTGGATCCAGTCATCAAAACATGATTCAAATGAGTTCTTGAAACAGGACTCAAATGAGTACTCAAAACAGAATTCAAAAGTGTACTCACCACAGGACTCAAATGTGTTGTCAAAACAGGACTCAAATGTGTACTCAAAACAGGACTCAAATGAGTACTCACCACAGGACTCCAACTCAAAATTAATTGTGATGCTTTACCACAAACCCAAATTAGATCCAGAAGAAGTAAAGGAAATGTTTCTTGAATGTCCTGAAGTGAAATGTGAGTTTTCGCATGATGTTGCTTATGTTAATAAAAGTTCCGCTGTCATTGCTCACAAATTGATCCAGGACTATACGAACCATGTGTATTCTCTGCCAAAACGTAGTCCTGGACAACTCTGGTTCTATTTCGATCTTGAGAGTCCAAATTACATCGGTATGTCATCTAAAGATGCAGAATACTTAACTGAAGAACGGAAATTTAATGCGACCATACATTATTCACCATCAAGCCTTATATGGATGAGTTATGGGAAATATAATGGTTCCCATATATGGAATTACCGAAGAATTTATAACATGATTCTTGATAAGAAAGTTGACTTCGCTGCCAAAAAAGATAAATTGCTGTTTTGGGCCGTGAGTAATTGTCAAGCAGTGAGTAAGCGTCAGAATTATGTGAAAATACTTGCGAAACATATACAAATAGATATTTACGGGAAATGTGGAACTTTTGTGTGTTCTCGAAATGAAAACTGTGAAACTGAAGTGTTCAAAAAATACAAGTTTTACCTGGCATTTGAGAATCACATTTGTGATGATTACATCACTGAAAAATTATGGAAAGCACTCGCAATACGAGAGGTGGTACCAATAGTTCTCGGTGGTGTAGGCCATGAGAAATACCTCCCACCAAAATCTTACATTGACATACGTGATTTCGCTACACCAGCTGATTTAGCAAACTACTTAAAGAAATTAGATGAAGATGACGAGTTATATAATGAATATTTTGCATGGCGATACAAAATAACTCCTGTGTTTGATTTTAAACAAGCTAAAACAAAATGGCCGACAGAGTACTTCCTTTGCCAAGTGTGTAGACTTATTCACTCTCAAGATTTGAATACAACTTATGTTGATTTTACTGACCGAAATAATGATGAAAAATATTGTAGAAATCCTGATGAATATTTTAAAGATATGAAAATACCGCTTGGGGATGTAAAACTGTGATGAACTGTACGCTCTTTGTCTGGCTGTTTGACTTTTAAATACATGTATTGACTAAGTCACATTTTAGATATATTAGAGAGATTTCGCACATAAGTGAAAGTACAACTTATACGTTACGTATACGTATACTTTAAATGGTCATGTCGAACTATTATATTTACTAAAATCAATTTTAAATTGTACTTAATGGAACATAACTATTCCCGATATAGAAACGTTCCATCAACTAGAGACTGTGAATGCACTGTCATCTGCACGTGTAGATTATGCACAGTTATAATTAAATGCTTGCTTCCGCGTCCTAGTAGTTGTAGTGTATTATGAACACGATCCTTTAAAGTGAGTCATGATCCTTTAAAGTGAGTCATCACATAAACAAGTTGATTATTTCAAAGTTTTCATGATCAGTATAAGTTCAATGAACTTACAAAATTGTATATACACGTAGATGATAAACGTATACAGTTGGATCTACGTATAAAGCTTTACCTACATGTGTGTGGAACAATTGACCGCAAGCATTTTCTAAATTAATCGGCTGAGTATGAACAGTATCCAATCAAATACTTTAACCATCAATTTGAAACACCAATCAAACCAGTAGGTTCTAGCAATTCCTGGAAACGACCCATTCAGTAGCTCAACAAATGACATACAGGGTGTTTCATAACGAGCATCTCCAAAAAGTCAATTTGAGAAGAGATGGGTCTATATGTATGTACTATATATGAGCCTATTTTATTCTAGACAAACACATTTGGATCAACTAAACATGCTACAATTCAAGAAAGTGCAAGAGGCATCCCTTTGACCTTTATTTATTACAGTCCGAGAAGATCTTTCCTGACAAAATATCCACATTATGAAACACCTTGTACGTCTTCTTATAAGTATAAGTATACGTTATAAGTTGTATTTTACGTATGTGCGAAATCTCTCTATTGGCTTGTATTGATTTTCAAATAATGACTTCTAAAATTCAAAATATGTTTATGTCTTTGAACATGATGGGTTCTTGTTCTCACAAATGCTAAGAAAAAAAAAGATTATTCTGTTTACATGATTTCAGAACTTTATGCTACAGACAGAACTATAGCTTCACTGGCAGAGCCAGCGGGTGGGGGCATGTGGGCTGCCCCCCACCCACTTGGGTGGGTTCAGAAAAAAAATTGTAGGCCTTTTTGGGCATTACTTCGCCTTTTTGGGAAATTATCATAAAATAAACTGCATTGTCCAGAATTCCACTTGTCCTACAATTGTAGAAGTTAAACCTCAAATACATGTAGTATAAATCATTTTATTCATTTTCTACCTCTCATTGTTTCCAAAGTACACTTTTATTTCAGTGTATTTGACCTTTGTTTCAATGCTCATGTCTTGACCCATTGGTCTTTTTTAATCCATTTGACTTTTGTATCGATGTGCTTGACCTTTGTTTCAGTTTGCTTAACCTTTGTTTCAGTGGACTTGACCTTTGTTTAAATGCACTTGACCTTTGTTTTAATGCACTTGACCTTTATTTTAATGCACTTGACCTTTGTTTCAGTTTGCTTAACCTTTGTTTCAGTGGACTTGACCTTTGTTTTAATGCACTTGACCTTTGTTTCAATGCATTTGACCTTTGTTACAATGTACTTGGCCTTTGTTCCAGTTTTCTTAACATTTGCTGTGCTTGATGTTTGATTCAATTTGGTTGACATTTGTTTCCATGTACTTGACCATTGTTTCAGTTAGCTTGGCCTTTTTATCGTACCTAACAAGAGGTACGATATTGTAGTCAGCTTGACGGGCGGCGGGCGGGGTCTCATTTTTCAGCTTGTCTACAGGTTTCCAGCCAAACCATTTGACAGATTCATCTGAAATTTTCAGGAATGTTTCTACGTATCAAAGTTAAGAACTGATTAGTTTTTTGGCATTCTGGGTAAATTTTAAGGTGGCCATTTTGGATTTTCCGTCCTAAAATCTTCACTTTCAAGACTTGTCTACAGGTTTCCAGCCAAACCATTTGACGGATTCATTTGAAATTTACAGGGATGTTTCTACATATCAAAGTTAACAACTGATTAGTTTTTGGGCATTCTGGGTTAATTTTAAGGTGGCCATTTTGGATTTTCCGTCCTAAAATCTTCACTTTCAAGACTTGTCTACAGGTTTCCAGCCAAACCATTTGACGGATTCATCTGAAATTTCAGGGATGTTTCTACATATCAAAGTTAAGAACTGATTAGTTTTTGGGCATTCTGGGTAAATTTTAAGGTGGCCATTTTGGATTTTCCGTCCCAAATTCTTCACTGTCACACTGCTGTGTTTTAGGTACGATATTGTTCATTTCCACTTTTCTTGACATTTACTGTACTTGGCATTTGTTTTAGTTTCGTTGACCTTTGTTTCCATGTTCTTGACCATTGTTTCAGTTGGCTTGACATTTGTTGCCATGTACTTGACCATTGTTTCAGTTGGTTTGACATTTGTTTCAGGATCAATACTCCAAGAACCCAGGGTGGTCTGGGACCAATGAACATACCCCTTCTGTCAGATCTCACTCATAAAATATCTAAGGATTATGGCGTCCTATTGGAAGATGCTGGTCACACTCTCAGGTAAGTTGCATTGTGGGTAAATCCTCCTTTTTGGTATTATTATGTAAGCGCAATGGTTTTCCATGTTTAATTTGGCTCTCATTAAATTTTTGTGGGCAAAAACCTTTTCAGGGAATTTCATGATTGATTCAGGACAATCAGCATTTTGATTTGTTTTGATTTTAAAACCCTGTTTCAATGCTTGATATTTGATTTCATAAGAATAGTAAACATAAACGCATTACATACATTTTAAAACTCTGGGTTCCAAATGAGATTCTTGGTATTCAAAAGGTAAAGATTTAAAGTGCAAAAATAATTCTCCGTTTAAGCTGAGACCATCATAAAAATTGTTTTATGTTAGTCTCAGCTTTAAGATAGATGACAATGTACTTATGCATTGATAGACCCCTGGTATATTATGAGTCACTGTTCTGTTCTTTCAGAGGGCTGTTTATCATTGATGATAAGGGTGTACTACGACAGATCACGATGAATGACCTTCCCGTGGGAAGATCAGTGGATGAGACACTACGTCTTGTGCAGGCGTTCCAGTACACAGATAGCCATGGGGAGGTTTGTCCTGCTGGCTGGAAACCTGGTCAAGATACAGTAAGTTTCGGGATGAGAGAGCACAAAGGGCAATATCTAAAAAATAAAATAATTGCAGTGTTCACTCTAGGGCTTTTGGGGGTACAAAATAAGCCACCCATTTTCACAATCGAAGCCAATTTTTCTACTTCAAGAGCTTTAATAGACTAATACAAAAAAAGACAAGGCATTGACATGACAAAATGTCACCACCTAAAACAATTTGGTCAATTTCTGGGAACTTCTGAGAACATGTAGATGATTTTGAAAAAAAAAATTAATCAATTTGAAGCAAGTTGAAAAAAGACCTTTTTGACCTTGAGAAGGTCATTGAAGGTCAACGGTCAAATCTAAAGTCAGATTTGAACTTCTGAGAACTTGTAAAGTCAAATTTGAACTTCTGAAAAGATGTAGATGATTTTTAAAAAAATTTGGTCAATTTGAAGCAAGTTGAAAACAGACCTTTTTGACCTTTTTTGACCTTGAGAAGGTCATTAAAGGTCAAATGTCAAATCTAAAGTGAGATTTGAATTTCTGAGAACATGTAGATGATTTTGAAAAAAAAAGAGTCAATTTGAAGCAAGTTGAAAAAATACCTTTTTGCCCTTTTTGACCTTGAGAAGGTCATTGAAGGTCAAATGTCAAATCTAAAGTCATATTTGAATTTCTGAGAACATGTAGATGATTTTGAAAAAATTTTTAGTCAATTTGAAGCAAGATGAAAAAAGACCTTTTTGACCTTTTTTGACATTGAGAAGGTCATTGAAGGTCAAATGTCAAATCTAAAGTCAGATTTGAATTTCTGAGAACGTGTAGATGGTTTTGAAAAAAAAAATAGTCAAATTGAAGCAAGTTGAAAAAAGACCTTTTTGACCTTTTTGACTTTGAGAAGGTCATTGAAGGTCAAATGTCAAATCTTAAGTCAAATCTAAAGTCAGATTTGAATTTTTGAGAACATGTAGATGATTTTGAAAAAAAATTTAGTCAATTTGAAGCAAGATGAAAAAAGACCTTTTTGACCTTTTTTGACATTGAGAAGGTCATTGAAGGTCAAGTGTCAAATCTTAAGTCAGATTTGAATTTCTGAGAACATGTAGATGATTTTGAAAAAAAAATTAGTCAAATTGAGGCAAGTTGAAAAAAGACCTTTTTGACCTTTTTTGACTTTGAGAAGGTCATTGAAGGTCAAATGTCAAATCTTAAGTCAAATCTAAAGTCAGATTTGAATTTCTGAGAACACGTAGATGATTTTGAAAAAAAATTTTAGTCAATTTGAAGCAAGTTGAAAACAGACCTTTTTGACCTTTTTTGACCTTGAGAAGGTCATTGAAGGTCAAGTGTCAAATCTTAAGTCAAATCTTAAGTCAGATTTGAATTTCTGAGAACAAGTAGATGATTTTGAAAAAAAAATTTAGTCAATTTGAAGCAAGTTGAAAACAGACCTTTTTGACCTTGAGAAGGTCATTGAAGGTCAAATGTCAAATCTAAAGTCAGATTTGAAGGTCAAATGTCAAATCTAAAGTCAGATTTGAATTTCTGAGAACATGTAGATGATTTTGAAAAAAAATTTAGTCAATGTGAAGCAAGTTGAAAAAAGCCCTTTTTGACCTTGAGAAGGTCATTGAAGGTCAAATGTCAAATCTAAAGTCTGATTTGAACTTGTGAGAACATGTAGATGATTTAGAAAAAAATTGAAGTCAGTCTAAACAGTATTTGTTAAGTTATAGAAAGTTGTAAGAAATTGTTACAGACGCCGGACGCCAACCTCCAACCACCAACCGCCGTCGCAAAAAAACGGAGACCATAACAATATGTCACCACTTTTGGTGGTGACATAAATATTAAGAAACAATGAATGCCCAAAATTTGAACAACAAAACCACTGAGCCTCAGTTTCAATCCATTTTGTCTTGGCTTTAAATTATTTATTGGATAGTTAAATTATTTAGATAGACCATTTTGCTTGTAATGTGTTTTGTCCAAAGGACATAATTGTATGTAAAATACATGTATTGGTATTGTTCATGTTTATTGTAATCATTGTATATAATATAATGTATTGTACATATATATGTAAAATTGTACATGACTTGTTTTCCTTGCAGATTATTCCAAATCCTGCTGACAAACTCAAGTACTTCAACAAGAAAAACAATGAAAAGTGACACACTCAAACAATGAAAAGTGACACACTCAAACAATGAAAAGTGACACACTCAAACAGTTTGCCTGTTAGACAAGTTCAATGAGCCCACAATGATTCATAATTATTTTAAAGACAGAAAGAATATAGCCTAGGTTGTATCAAAATGCCCATCTTTTTTCTCATCAACAAAGTACACCAAGTTCAAAGAAATACAGCTCAACGTTTCAAGGATTCCTGGAGATTTAGGCGATTATTTAACCTCTTTTTGGTGTGAAACCAGAGAATTTTTCATTTTTGCCAGTTTTTGACATTTTATTACATGCATATACAAAAGGTGATGCTCAATTTAATGATATTAGATGGCAGAGATCATTTCTACACTTTTTAAAAGTTATTTTCTGTAAAATGGATGAAATTTGTTCAAATTAGAGCAATTTTAGTAAAAAAAATGTGACAGGCTATCTTGGTACTCTGGAAATCAAGGTCATTTCTAAAGTCACTTTAGTTTAAGTCAAGAGGTTAAATAAGCAATATTGTGATTTCAATTAAAGAATTAAAGAAAATACAGTTTTTATAAATTCCAAGTTGTTATTTGGTCTGGTGTTGACCATTGACTTGTCCAAGATCTGAAATCCTTCAGTCATTATGTTAGTGTTACCTCCTATATTAATCTGCTTAATTATATTTTATGCAAATCTTGTTTGTTCATGTATCTGTAAGTTCTGCATTATATATGCATTATATATATTGAGCACCTTTTAAACAATTTTGGGGCAAAATTGTCAAATTTGACCCCCCCTCTGGAATTAAAAGAACTGAACCCCTTAAGCAAAAGCTAGCTAGAGGCTATGTTGTATCTGTATATACCAAACTGATGTATGATGATCTGAGGAGAGTCCACATGTAGACAGTTATGATAAAACCAAGGTGATTTTGTAGAGTTTGTCCCCCTCCCCCTTCCCATATAACAAAAGTTCATATTGTTGTTTAGCCCTAGGATGAAGGTTCTAGGTTTAGTAACTCACTTGAAATCAACCTTATTTGCAATGGGATCTTTATTCACTCCTCCTTCCTGTTGAAATTTTTTTTTTCATCCAAAACTGTTGATATTTGGACACTGTCCCTCATCATTCCTTATGAGATGGTCCCTTAATTTTGCTCCATGATGAAACTATTGCTCAAAATATTGACACCATGATTAAACTATTGCTCAAAATTGAAACACTTGTTTTATTTAATGTTGGATAACAAGATGGTCAAGGAGGAAATGTACACATGCATTAGGGTATTATATAGGCTGCAGGTGTACAATTTCTGCTATCCACTTCTTGAAATGTCACTATGCTTTTTATAAAGTGAACTGCTGGATCAAGATTGTGACATTCAATTCAGTATTTGAATAATGTGAATGGTGATATTTGTTTTGCTTTAAAAGTTGTAACTGTTTGAGTTTTTTTGTATATTAGTGGGAGTCCTCCTTTGAAGTTTGATGTATGGGGTTACTTCATCATTTGGCTATTTCGACAGTGGCTTATAATTTCAATCTCAACTATGTTTGTTTTTTGAAAATTTTAAAAATAAATCAAACTCTTAATTGAAGATGGCAAAACTCGAAAATTGGAATCATAGGCCATGGTCAAAATAATCCCATGGTCGAAATAGCCCAGTAAGAAGTAACCCCATGTTGAAGTTCAAAGGAGGCCCCCTATATCAAATATAAAAATAATGTTAACAAATGTAAAGAATGCTTACATTTCTGGCAATAAATTGTAAAAGAATGCTAACATGTAACCAGATTTTCGTGTTATACAGCCCTGGGTATTAATGAGGGAAAGAAGTTGATAGGCCACAGGGTGATCCATAAGTACATGTAATGTGAAAGGTGTTGCCATTTCAATACTATTTAACTAATCATCTTGAAAGGACGATTCTCGGTTTGGAGAACAGTCTCCCGGGCTAATAATTTTTTTCACGAAAAATATAGAAATATTACCCAAATTAAACTATGAATATTCAAAAGAGGACATTTAAATCTACAAGATGGAAAAGTAACAAATTGGTCTGATTAAATTATGGTCAAATTAAATTATGACTATTCAAAACAAGACATTCAAATCTATATTATGTAAAAAGTCCGAAGCAGTGATAATGCTCATTTAGATTGATGAACTTCGTTCTCCAAACCGAGAATCGTCCTTTGGTACAAATATTACCCGAGCATTACTGAGTTAATATCTCAAAGATAATGCTTTTATTTCATTGGTTCATTTTATGGTTGCTGTTATGTTCTTGATGTAGCTTCTGGATCACCCTGTATAATTGACAGTTGGCAATGTCAGTTGGGTTTGTAGTTAGTACATACAGTATTAAAGTTAAAGTGAAATTACTCCACTTGAAAATAATCATATGTACATGTACTTGTACATGTATTTGGAAATTCAAATGTACATTTACTGTCCTTAGTCCATGTCTGTCAATAATCTGCATAGGCATAGCTAATTTAAACCTTAAAATAGTTAAGAGTAATCAAAACCTCAGAAAATCCAGAAATATGTCCTTTTGAAGAACCATGATTTTAATACTTAGAACCTTTAGTATTGGCATTGCTCTTTTAATTCCTGGAAACACTTGGAGTTTTATGGAGGATTTCAGCAAGGGGCTGACCTTCCACTGGTTATCATCTCATTTTTGGCGGTGAAAAGCCAAAAAATATCTAAAGAATGTAAATAGGGCTAACTTTTGATTGTTTGCTGTTCAAATAGCTAAATAATGTTACTAATTACATGGGCTTTCAATTAATTCTAGTTGAAAGCCCATGCTAATATTGTTAAAATTGTTTTACACATGGAAAATGAGAAAGTGTTCAAAAACATATAATTATATAAAAAATACTTTGTTTACTAAATAATTTTTAAAGCATGTAGTACATGTTGTAGTTCATATAAGAGAGTATATCTCAGTCAATTATCAAATTGGATTCTTGTTAATAGGAGTTTAACTAAAAAAGGACCCCTGTTGAACCCCAATACCATTTAATAAAACTCCAATGGATTTGGCTCAATTTGTACAAATACCAAGAACTGAAAAACTGTCTTTACTGTTTCAAAGTATCGAGGACAATGAGTCTTCAACAGCACATAAAACATAACATGTCAAGATCTTTAAAATTATTTGGTTACTAGTGCCATAAATGTTAAAACATTTCAAAAGATTGTGTTCTGTCGTATAATATTGTTCTGAATAAGTATCAGGAGAGCAACAAGCCTGCACTAGTGTACTTGTAAAAAGGGGGATGTCAATGTGGTAGCCTGACAGTCGTTCCAGGGTATTTCAACAAAGGGACTTCCTAGGAGGGTATGGGCCAACCTCGGAGTTTCCTTTCAATTTTAAAATCATCATCATCATCATCATCATCATATTTAGGAGGGTGAGGTGTAATCCTGTGTTATCCTCCCTTCTGATCATTTGTTTGTTACATGACATATTTTTATTGACAGTTTTAATTTCTTTGGTATTTTATTTCCCAAAGACAGTTAGTTGTGTTGATTATTTTAAAAGTGCCGGGTTGCATCTAATGTGAATCAAAACTGAACAGAATCTAGTGTAGTGTAAACTGGTCATCCTAGGTCTGTCTTCTTCATGTCAGGGTGGTAGTGGGAGTCGACCTTTGCTTTAAAATCATCTAGCGTCAGGGCAGATACTGCATTTTCTGGGAGGTTGTTCCAGTCGTCTACTATGCGCTGACTGAAGGACCCTTGTCGTAGGGCGAGATTACATCGACCTTTAAAGAATTTCTGGCTGTGGCCTCTTGTGCTGGTGTGGCTTGGGGTAAAGAAGTGGGATGATTCTATCTTGTCTATGCCGTTCATTATCTTGTAAACTTGGATTAAATCTCCTCTTTTCCTCCTGTATGTCATTGGGAATAGGTGTAGTTGTTTTAGTCGCTCTTCATAGGGTAGATCAGACATGCCAGTGATGTGTTTGGTGGCTCGCCTTTGGATTTTCTCGATCTTGTTGATGTCCATTTGGTATCTTGGGTTCCAGGCTACTGTGCAGTATTCTAGGTGGGGTCGGACAAGGGTTGTGTATAGGGGGAGGAATATATCAGCGTCTTTATTAGAGAATGTTCTTTTGATTGCACCCAAGATCTTATTGGCTTTGTTGACACAGTTGGATACATGGTCGTGAAACTTTAATTCTTGATCAATGGTCACGCCAAGATCGCGCTCTTTGGTAACTTCCTCCAGTGGTTCGTTATCTAATGTGTATTTATGGCTATTGTTGTTGTTCCCCAGGTGAAGGACTTTGCATTTGTTGGAATTGAATTTAAGGAGCCATTTGTCTGACCAGTTGACCAGTTCATTTATGTCGTCTTGTAGTTTGGTGGTGTCGTGTTGTCTGGGTATGGCGCTGTAGAGTTTTGTGTCGTCTGCAAAGATTTTTAATGTAGATTGGACTTTCTCGGGTAGGTCGTTGATGTAGATTATGAATGCCAGTGGTCCGAGGCAGGAGCCCTGAGGGATACCGCTGGTTACTTCGGTCCAGTTCGAAAAACTACCATTAACTTTGACTCTCTGTCTTCGTTTTGTCAGGAATGCAGTCAGCCACTTTAAGAGATTCCCCTTGAAGCCGTAGCTGCTTAATTTTTCTAGTAATCTGCCATGTGGTACGCTATCAAACGCCCGGGAAAAGTCAAAATAAATTACGTCTATAGGGTTGCCGGTATCGAGTAGGCTGGTCCAATCCTCTAGAACTGTAAGCAGCTGGGTGCTGCAGGAACGCCCAGGCACAAACCCATGTTGGGCATCTGTTATTAGGCCCAGCGTCACCATATGGTTCACCATTGCGTCCCTGATTATGGATTCCATGGTCTTACACAGAATGCATGTTAATGAAATTGGGCGGTAGTTGCTGGGGGCTGATCTTTTACCCTTTTTATGGATGGGCGTTATCTCGCCGTCTTTCCAGATTGGTGGTAGTGTTCCTGATTCTAGGGATTTTGTGAATAGCAGACTGAGGGGGAGGGCTAATTCTTGTGAACATTCCAGTAGAAATCTTGCGGGGATGTTGTCAGGGCCGGGGGATTTGCAGGCTTTTAGCTTTTTCAGTTTTCGTAGGACTAGTTCCTCTGTAAATTCCACGGAGTTCAGGGTTTCAGTGGTTCTGGGGATTATTCTAGGGATATTTGTGCCGTCTTCTATAGTGAACATGGTGGCGAAGTAGTCACTAAGGATGTTAGCCATTTCTGTGTTGACGTCTGTTGAACCTCCGTCTGGTTTGATGAGTGAGCTGATTTTGGGGCGTGTCCTGAGTTTTGAGTTTACGTATGCCCAAAAGGCCTTGGGATTTAATTTTACTTGTTTGGCTATATCTTTCTCAAATTCCTTACATAGCTGTCTACATAATCTACGGGTTTCATTGCTTGTCTTCTTCGCTTTCAGGTAGTCTTTGTATGAATTGTAAACCATAGATCTATTTTAAATGTTAAGGTTTATATTGTCTATTCAATTTCTATCACTGTTAAACTACATATCTGCTTAGATGGGCTTATTACCTTCAGAGAAAAGTAATCTATCAAATCATTCATGTTTGAAGATATGGTGTCAACAAAAAAGTTAACAAAAATGTTATACTGCGGGTGGGGTTCGAACCCACGCGGACATACGTCCATTGGAACTTAAGTCCAACGCCTTAACCACTCGGCCACCACAGTGCATGTGGAAAGGCGGGAAGTTTGTTACTATACGAAGAATACTCCTAGTATAATCATATTCAGGCTTAATTTTTTGGTAATTATTTCGGAATTCACAATTATTTCTCAAAAATGACATAAAGCGTATCAGTTTTAGTTATTTTCTGTCGTTTTGACGATTTCGTTACAAGGAATGGTCGGTTTCTAAATTTGATCACGTGATCAAATGTTTATGACGTAAAATAAACTGAGATAAATAGCAACGAAGATGGCGACGAACATTTGCTAAAATGTGAATTTCTCTAATATCTTTGAAGTATATAAATGAATTATGGAGATGTATACATAATAAAGACACAAAATAGCATTCAGAGTATCACCTGGCACAAGGTTCTGTGAAGTAAAAGGAACAATTGAGCTGTAATCGTCGTATAAAGTAAAATATTCGACCAAAATTTGGACGAAATTCGTCACGAAAATCAGAAAAATCATTGAATCAGGATCTGTACATACAGAATAAGATATCACATAGTTCTACCTCATGGGGTTATGTTCAGTCTGATGGGGAAGTGCATATCAAAATCAAAGAGCGCAAGTTCAAAGCGGTAAGTGTTTTTTCATATTTGGCTATATGTATCTAATCCCGGGCAGCTAGGCCTAGCCTAGGCTAATATCGTACTAAGACCATAGCTTCGATTTCGTCGTATCGAAGTAAACAGTTCAAATAGAGTTGAAGAGATGGTCTTGGTACGAGATAACATATAGATAACATATTATAATACGTAGACATTACTTCCTGCGAAAGCTATTTGGATTTTGATATAATAGCTTTCCCACGGAGCATTTGGACAGCTCAATGATCGTGACCTTTGAAATCGAATTAAGTCGATCCGCGGCTTACTTTTGGTCTCTAACTGTGTCTTACATCAGTATCATGAATCCGTGTAAGTATTGGAGCGCTGGAGTACTTCTTTTTCGATCAAGACTTGTAATTGTTAGTCGATTGAATCGTTTTACTGCCAAATTCCAATATGGCGGTTTCTGCTCGGACATTTTCGTAAATCTCCGGAGGTTGTCCGAACCTTACTAATTCTCAAAATTCATTTCGTTCGTTGCGTATCTCGCACCTAGCAAACCGCCATATTGGAAATAGGTCTGTAAAACTTTAACTCGATGAACAATTTACAAGTCTTGATTGAAAAAGAAGTACTCCAGCGCTCCAATACTTACACGGATTGATGATACTGATGTAAGACACAGTTAGAGACCAAAAGTAAGCCGCGGATCGACTTAATTCAATTTCAAAGGTCACTATTGATCAGCTGTTCACTTCTCCGTTTGAGAGCCATAAGTTTCAAAATCTAACATGGCTCTCGAAGTGAGTAACGTAGACAGAGATGTCCAGCTCTGGCTAGTCCAACAAGTTAACCTAATCTTGGCCCTCGTGTCTTGGCCTTAGTTATTTCTGACAAGCAGTGTAGGCCCTAATTGCCGTTCGGACGGACATTGCCTGCAGACTTGCAAACGGACCGATGAAAACTGAAATAACCTGGTCCGTTTGACTTAGTGAGATTTAGATGTGAATTTTCCAACCACCGGCTTTGTGTCCGACACTTGAAATTTGAAAATGACCAAATGAAAAAAAATGTTTGCACTAGTTTTGAAATATATTTTCACTTCCATGACAATAGCAGTGTAAAGATACTTTTGAGAGCAAGTGACAATAGTCAACAAGTTTGCTCATTTTAGGTTCTAATTTTCTGAGTTGACAGAGTGAAGCTATTTGGCCCATCATAGTGTTTTAATGGCAAAACTGACCAATTTCAACACATCAATCATGACTTTGTGCTTTTACTACTGATTACAAGTATACAGGGTGTCCCGAAAGTATGGGGGCCCCCCTAGGCAGACATATTCCAGTGTCCTCATAGTATGTATCATATATCATTTTAAAGCTTATCCAAAGTTACATTGATTTGCCAAGTATTATGGTTTAACTCCCAAATGGGAAAAAGTTACAGTCATTTTAAAAGTTAGTGTTTTGTCAAAATAAAGTTCAATTTTACACCACACTACTAGTGTATGAGACCCCCCTTGGCTATGTTAACAGCAGCAATTATTTTCAAATATGACCTTAAAAGCCCTTCAAAAAGGGATGTGGAATTTCATAACCCTCTTAAAACCTGTTAAGGCACTTTAGAAGAGTTTCCTTAGAGTTTCTACCCTCACCATTCTCTTTTTCCAACTCAATATCCATCCGACCCGAAAAGAATTGCTGCTGTTAAGATGGCCTGGGAGGACACATTGACTAGTGATTTGGTGTAAAATTGAACTTAATTTTGACCAAACACTAAATTTTGAAATGCCTGTAATTTTTTAACATTTGAGAGTTGAACCATGATACTTGGCGAATCAATGTAACTTTGGATAAGCTTTAAAATGATATATGACACATACAATGACAACACTGGTATATGTCTGCCTAGGGGGGGCCCCATACTTTCGGGACACCCTGTACATATGTTTAACTAAATTCTTAAATTTCTTCTTTGTTATTGATTTTGAAATGACCAGTGGATTTTGATACGGACCAGTTGATTTTGAAAAAGTGCTGGTCAACATGACCAGTGCATTTTGAAATGGACTGACAAATTTTGAATTTTACCAGTCCGTTTGACCAGCAGGAGATACTTCCTTAGGGCCTACACTGCTTCCAAGGTCTTGCTTTCCGGCTTTTCATCAGATATTCAAATCTATGATTAAGGTTTTGTTTATAGTCTTGAATTAATCTTATAAATACACTATTTGATCTCGCTAACTATTATAATCAGAGTGGTGTACAAGTAACAATGATATAAATATTTATAGAAAAATTTATCAAGTGTCATACAACAAAAGAACAAATAATGTACTAAATAAATATATATTTCATCAAATGAATGTAAATAAACATAAATGTCCCTATATTTCATCAAATAAACATATATAAACATAAATATCCCTATATTTATTCATTAAATGATGGGGTCTGTCATTAAATAGGTAAATGAAACATTTTCAGGAATATTTAATTTCATATTTATTTTATTTTTTTCCAGGAAAGTTGTCATTGGAGTGTTTGGCCTAGATAATGCCGGAAAAACAGTCACCAGTAAAGCATTACAAGGAGGTTAGTTACACTGACGATTATAAGCTATAAGGTTAAAACAGCAGAATACCAAAAATTGTAGAGGGTCAAATAATCGCGTATGAATATTTAGAAACTTCCTAGGAGGTCACACTAAAAATAAGAAAAAACCTAATGCACCATTTCAAATGTTTGCTTGAAACAAGCCATCCGGGGAGGGATTGGAAAATTTGGAATTAAACACAATTAAGTATTATCCCAGGGGTTGGGATTTGACAAAGTACTTGTCCCGGGAGTAACATTCAGGTTTACATTGCTTGAAATGCATATTCCCCGTAATCGGAATTTGACCAATTATTATTACTCTCAGGATAGAGGATTTGATGGCTCAATTATCATTTTGATCAATTTGAATCCCCAACCTTTCCCATGTTAAGGATATCACACATTAAACGTATCCTTTGAATCATGCATAAGGGCTTCTTAATTATTTGAATTAGTTTAAAACCAACTATAAATACTGATGAACTTTCTTATGTTATTTGCAAACTGGAATAGCCTGACAACGGTAAAGTCAGATATCGTTGTCACAAATGGCGGACATAACCGTTGCTTCAATTAGATTTTGAAGACACTGATTGATTGTTGTTCCAAAGGAAGTTAGTCTAGGTGCTCTATTAAACATACAGTTCATAAGAATCTAATTGAAGCGACGGTTATGTCCTCCATTTGTTACAACATTATCTGACTTTACCGTTTTCAGGCTATTCCGATGTGATTTGAATACTTTCATGATATATTTGATTTTTTTCCAGAATCCCTCGATGGAGTTGCCCCGACCATTGGCTTTCAGAGCAATGAATTCACACTCAACAAATGTGAGGTGACCCTCTATGATTTGGGTGGCGGGAAGAATATCCGCGATATCTGGAAAAACTATTACGCAGATTGCTATGGTTCTATATTTGTGATTGACAGTAGTGATTCAGAGAGAATTGAAGAAGTCCATGCTACATTGCGGGATACTTTGGCAGATAGAAGGATCACTGGAAAACCTGTGCTTATGTGAGTAAACTGAAACAATTTTGATCTGAATTGTGAAAATCAGAATTTTGCACCCACTTGAGAATAAAATCCTGTGGAGAACTTAAGTTGCTATTGTATAAAAAACACATTGAAGTTAAATGACCGTAGATCTATACTGCTTACATGTTAACAGTCAGAATAATAAAAGCGATCTTATTTTTTATTTGTAGATTGGCCAACAAACAAGACAAAGTGAACGCACTAGATGAAGCAGAACTTACTGAAAAACTAAATCTCGAACAAGTGGTCAATGAGAATAAATGTCCATGTAGAGTTGAAACATGTGTTGCAATAAAAGGAACTGGCAAAAAGCTGGATAAGACAATAAAGACAGGTAAGTTGTTTTTGGGACTTGTCATATTTGTTGGAATTGTCATATTTGTGTTACTTGCTATGTTTGTGGGACTTGTCATTATTTGTGGGGCTTGTCATTATTTCTCATATTATGTATTTGCAGGGTTGTAGGGAAAAGGGTTTTGACAAATTTGCCCCCCCCCCTTGGTCCTTAGTTAAAAATCCCGACCTAACTTTAATCATTAACAATACTTGGGGATTTAACAACGTATTCACAAAATAAATTTTTTGACTCAATTCTTTTTTTTGAAAAACAATAGATCCACCTGGCTAAACTTAATGTATTTGTGTAAGGTAATCAAAACTCAGTTAAATTTTCATTTATGATTAAAACATGAAAACTAATCAAAATGTAGAATTGAACAGAGCATTCCCAAAAATGTTCTCATTCCTCTCAAATCTATAAGAAGAAACCAAACTATCTTTTAATGTTTGCTATCAGTTGTTGACTTCTGTACAGGTGAACAATTTAATTAAAAATTGTTAATTGTTGTTTTTAGGTGTGTTCTGGTTACTCGACAACATCAAAGACAATTTTGCTACATACGATGAAAGAGTCCAGGAGGACCTTGACGTACAAAAAGAGGAGAATAGGAAAGAAACCGCAGAGAGGAAAGAACGTCTCAGGAAACGAAGGGAACAAAGGTTTGTGTTTATGTCTTTAACCCTTCAAAGTATGGACCATTTCCCTGGAATTTAACCTATTTTTATGAATTAATTTTTATTTTAGATGTCAAAATTACAGATCCAGCAAATATATCTTACATTATTGGTAGAGCTTTAAATGTTAAAGTGCATCAGTTTTTAAATTGACGTGTCAATTGAGAATTTTATTAGAAAATATTTATTTATCACTTTTCATTAATTCATTTTCATTAATCATGGTTGTTTGTATTTACACACATACTGAAATATGAATTAAGCCCTCACACTATACATCACAAACTTGACACACAATGTACAGACACATAATGTACAGACACACAATGTACAGACACATAATGTACAGACATATAAAAATGGGATATAACATTTTTGCAGAGAACGTGAAGAGGAAGAAGAAAGACTTCGCAATGGAGAACCAGAAAAAATTGAAGACTCAGATGATGACATCGTCGTTGGAAGTGATCCATTTAAAAGAGTTGATGTAGAAGCCCTTAAAAAGAAGGTGAGCCTGAATTTTGTCTTTCAGTTGATATAATTTTTAGGGGTTTGATGTTGCCTTTGTGTTTCCATCCACAGGTTTAGCAAGAATTGATAAAAAAAAATTTGGTATTCCCCATCCTTTCTCTGAAATGGTTCTTGCATTCAAGACCAATATCTAGAAAATGATGTCCATGAATAGGATAACAGAACTAGGATAGAGCTCAATTTTTTATCGGAAAATCGCAAATATTTGAAATATGGACCAGTTCATACCAATACCATATAAAATGGGACCAGTTCAAGCCCTAGTGAGAATTAATTCACTCATGAGTCAGGACCAAGAGGGGGAATACCCCAGAATTCATAGATGAATCTCAACATTTTCTCATCTTCTCAAACCTATGCTTATGTCACACTAAGAAACTTATCCCTTTGTCCTTTGGCTTTGCTCACAATGAAAAATTAGTTACTTAAAGGGGCAACAAGGACTGTAGAGAGAAAATTCGAATTTTTTTATTTTATCTGAGCTATCAGGTCAATATATGGCTTAACACCTTCAAAGCTTCTATAAAGGGAGCCCCACTTATAGATTTTTAAGATCCAATGACTTATTTTATGAATTATTTTATGATAGGTTGTTCTGGTAAACAACTGGCTATAGAAGGTACTATAAGTTATTGAATGATTTGAACTGCAATACAGGATATATTCTGCTCGAGAAATTCTGTATTGGAACGAGAAAAAGTCGAGTGCCAATACAGAATATCGATAGCAGAATATAACCTGTATTGCACTTCAAATCATTCTATAACGTTTTTATCGTGTGATTCTCTGTATTGCTACTGAGAATGTCCCCTCCGCACCAATATGTTCTGTATTGCAACTGAGATGATCAATGGGAACAATCTCAGTAGCAATACAGATTGGTACAGCACAAGAACTGACCAATCAGAAGGATTCATTTTACAGATCATACGATAAACATTAATATTGCAAATGTTTGAATCATGTTGAATGGTTTTTAGTTGACTGTTTATTGTTTGTTTGTTATGAATGAGTGGTGATATTTTGTCAAAAAAGACATTCCTTATATGCCCAATATTATGGAATAGAGAGGTTTTTCACATATCAGCTGCATGTACATGCAGGTGGCATCTAGACTATCTATCTAGACTGTAGTCGCTTCAGGGTACATTTTCACAAAACAATTCAATAATATGTAGGATGGTTCCAGAGTTCTCTGGAGTCTAATGTCTTAAAACCCTCTTGCTCCAGAGTCTAATAGCTTTTGAGGAGTCTTAATTTTACATTTTTGTTACATTATTTGCGTAAAACTCTTGAGAAAATACATAAAACTGGATACAAACTAGGAATAGGAAGTCAGAAACCTTTTAGAAATAAATATTGGGATTAAAATAGCAAGATAATCTTAAGAAGTATGTTGAAAAGTATACTAATAGGATATCTCTGATCTCACATGGGGGAGAAGTAGTCGCAATACAGCGAAAAAAGTAGTCACAATACGGCTAAAAATCCGGGGTCTAAAAATTTCCTGGTGAGAACCTTTGGTTCCAATACTATTGGCAAACAATAAAAATTGAATTGTTGACTTTGTTTATTATTGTAAACTAGCTTGGTTGTCAGTCAACAATGTGTTTGGATAATTAGATAATTATTGATAATTAGACTGAAAAATTTTACATATGGGTTTGTATGGAGAAGTTGAGTCAACATGCCTTGTTTGTTGAAGAAGGCTTGTCAATACATGAACATACAAGTGCCAGATTATAGGCGTATTCAGGTGTTGGTGCGATCTGCAATTGCACCCCCCCCCCCCTACTCCCACAAAAAAAGCAAAAAAGCAATCCTTCAAAATTTATCCCTCTTTTTGGGGCTCACATAGCTTGCAGACAATGCAAACCCAAAAAGTCGCTACCCCCTCTCTGACAGTTGCTGGCTATGCCCCTGCCGATGATATAATCAGTTTTCTATGGAAGTCTGGTGAATTAACAGTAGATTACTAAAAATATTTGATTGTAAAAATTTATTATAAGCAGGCCCGTAGCCAGGGGTGGGGTTCAGGGTGTTCGGGCGAACTCCCCCCCCCCCCCCCCTGGCCAAAATTTCTTTCAAAATCATGCAGTTTTTCACCATTCTGAGCACTTTTAAGTCAAATCCTTGTCAAATCCTGGCTACGGGCCTGATAAGTACTGTTAAAGTCCGCACAATAGAAAGTCTGTGTAATTTGTAAAGAGACTTTATGGACACCCACTATAATAGACATATCTAAACTACATGTACAGTCTTTTTCTTCTTTTGATTTTAGGAGGAAGAATTGAAGGCCTTAAAAAAGAAAAAGAAAGGCAAGAAAAAGAAGACCCCTCGGTCAGATAACGAAGACTCCACCAACTCTCAAGCCCATAGGTCTCAAATAGATAGTGACGATGAAATCATGACTGGTCATAGATTAAGTAAAAAAGGAAGAAGTCGCAGCGATGACGAGGAACTAATAGTACCTCGAAGATCTAGACAATCACGTAAAAACTCTGACCCAGAAGCAATATACACAAAATCTGCACACCATGACGGTAATAGCTCAAATGAAAGCCAGGAGGAGGTTGCAATCTCAACATCGAAATATCGTAAAAAACGTTTAAGCAATGGTGACACCACTGTTCGTAATACTGATCAGTCAGATGAGGACATTTATACCCAGAAGCCTTTGAGGTCAAAACCATCACCGCGAGTGCCAAAGTCACTAATGGACAATGGTTTAAATAATGATTTAGACACACAAGGACCCCCTGTACCAATGCCACGACACTTGGCCCCTTTAGCTCCAATTGGATTAGATCCAATCGAAGGTAAGACCACAAAATAGTGCTTGAATTTAGAATTTCATATCCATGTCTCACTTTGAGTTTTTATTTTCATATTCTAATACAAATTCAGATACTTTTCCATGAGTTTCTTCTAAAGTTTAAAATCAACTTAATCAAAATATTACAGAGGTTTTGGAAGAATTTCTGACAAAAGACAAAACAAATGACAACAACGATTAAGATTCAATATGATGAAAAAGTACTTTACCAGTAATATTAACATGAAGACAGTAGAAAAACACTTCAAAACATTGGGACTTTTGGATAAAACAACCTCTTAAAATCAGTAATTGATTTCTCCACATATTACCCCTTTATCAGCTTTGTATTTACTTCGTACTCAATAAGATGCTTGCAAATATTAACTGTACCATTGTAGAACCACCAAATTCGGGACGCAAGCAAAAGAAAAAGAAAAGACGACTTTTGGGTAAACACAACAAAACTGCTCCAATAGGAGGAGACGAGGAGGACCCACAGGATAGTCAATCCGCACCGGGGTTGCAATCTAGGTCTGTTCTGCCCCCACCCTCAGGCTGGGGCACCCCTCCCCTAGGACAGAGAAATATGTACCAGAGACCAAGTAGTCGCAGTCCAAGGTTGCCTTCTTTGGAAGAACCAAACGAAGATGATAACAGTAAGAGTTGAAGAATTTTTTTATTTTTTTTTTGATATATGAATAATTATTTCAGAAAATTTGAAGAGCATCGGGCTAAAATTGCATGTTGAGATCAAAATAAATCAAACCAGTTTTGGGTAGTATCTTATGTCAGAACATGATTTTTTTGAACTGATCTTAAAGATCAAAGATGATTATGGCCACCATATTTTTACTGAATTTTATTTTGACTTATTTTCTCACAACCATGGGGAAAACTCCACTACACGCAATAACTTTATTGTACTTATCTATTTTTAATTTTTTCAGATCTCTTTCACAAAGTCTCTTTTACTAAGCCCTTTATTTGTTTCTCTTTTTCTTAGCTCTCTTATTCTAAGCTTTCATTTACTAAACTCTCTTTTTACTTTGCTCGCATTTTCTCACCTCCCTACACCATTTTCTGTCAATGAAGACTTATCCTTTACTTTTCAGGATTCTCCAAATATGGACTTATGGATGAACTTCCTGAACTCAATTCATCGTCACGGCGATTCAGGCCAAACTCGGACTATGACGATGACATCATGACGTGAAAAAATCCTAGTCTTTTGTATTAAGTACACAACCAGTGCATTTAATGCAAGTTTAAAAAATATCAAAAGCGTGTTTTAAAAATTATAAAAGTGAATCATAATACAGGGTGTCCATTTGTCCCTATAATATAAATATAAAGTCTGTGTAAAGTGAATGGAGATGTAATGGACACCCTGTATTTGTTATGAATAAACCATAATCCAAAACTAGAAGATTTGTATCGTGACATCATGTATTTGTATTTAGTAAATCGAAGTCATTTGATGTCTGTTTAGTTGAAATTTTGTGTAAAATCAGCAATTAGAAATAATCATCACTAAGCAGCAGCTAATAGCTAATATCCCCAAAATTATGAAATCTTAGCACCAAATTAAATCAGTTTATGAGTACAAATGAGAACTTTGTTTATAATGATTGTCTAACAACAAAACTATGTAACCCTGTAATTAACTGAGTCATTACTTTTAAGTGGAATGCATTGTTCTACAGGACATCATGTAAATGAACCAGACAAAGTACATCATGTATACAGAAAAATACAATTTTTTACTAAAATTGTTTTCAGTTCAAAAGAAGCTTAAAAGCCTCTTTGGCTCCAATATTTGCCTCATCTACTAACATGTGCCTCAGCTATTTACTTTAGCCTCAACTTAGTCCCTGTAACTGGTTGCTCAATATCTGCAGTAATTATATATCTGTAATTTGTTAACATATTTTACAAGAGTAAACCATGAGCTATGCAGGCTATGTGTAATATCAGACATAAAATATGTCTCATGTCAGAGATTACACAATGAGAGTGTTGTAAAAGATGTGGACTACATTATGTTTATACGAAATAGAGTCATTTTGAATACAGTAGAACCTGTGTAACTGGTACGACATTTGCATCTCGGAAAAGTGGTCCATTTACAGAGGTTCATTTAAAATTGAGTCTCAGAGTCTTGAGCTCTACTTGTGGAGGTGTTTCAATTATGGAGGAGTTCTTCTAAAAGTGTTCCAATTGACTTTCTTTTTATTGTAATTAGAATACTCAATGCTGTGATATGAGTACAGTGCAATGATTCATAAATTATCCAAATCTTTCAACGTAAATGTACAAAATTGTTCCTCAATCTACTCATCTATGTTTAACTTTTTTGTTATCATTGTATGAACATTTTTGATGAAACTATACTAGATTAGTATCTTCAATGTCTGACAATGAAAGTGCATCCCTTAGCTATATATAAGGTTTTAGTACATGTATATGAATACTCAATGTATGAAAAATGATTACTCAATGTATGAAAAATGATTACTCAATGTATGAAAAATGATTACTCAATGTATTTCTACCATCTATCAATTGTTGTTACGATCAGATTGTGTTCAAAGTATAGTTTGTGGTTAGGCTGGCATAGAACAGAATGTAATTAATGTATGAACCGTCCAAACACTTTCGAAACAGAATTCTGCAATTGTCCGATGTTCCTGATATTTCAGAATTTATCATTTTATTTTATGATTGTGTACTCAATCTACTGGGAAAGAAAACATACTTGAAATTATATACAGTATTTAATTGAGTGATACCTGAACTGAAGAGTGTTACATAAGAGTAATATACATATCACTGCAGTACAAGGCCAGTAGTTTAATTCATTGTTCATTATTTCTCATGAGGTGTTTTGCTTATGGAAACGCAACATTGATATTTCTGAAAATTGACAGTGATTTAGAATTCACATGTGTCATTGACTCAAGGACAATTGGCTCCCTTAATCGAAGTCGATGTTTTCCAACAATAAAAATGTCGTTATTTTCTGAAATTATAACCGATTATAAATCCAAATTTTGTAGCATGACATCCCCAAATAAGGGACATAATATCGATGTTGCACTCTGGGAGCCAATCCTCCTTGTTTGACTGGTAGATTTATGTAGTCATGGTGATATATATGATAAATTTTGTCATAGTGAATATATTAAGTCAGTGATTTGTATTATGACATCAATGTTGTCATAGTGATTTATATTGCAACATCAATGTTGTCACGGTGATGTATATGACAAAATTAATGTAGTGTCATAGCGATGTATTTTACATCAGTATATAATGAATCACTCTAAAGCTCATCAAGCCAGCATTTAAAAAAATGTAATGTACATATATGTAAATATGTACATCCGTGTATGTTATTGAATTCTTGTATATCAGTGTAAATAGTCTTTAGTAAAAAAAAGTAGTTTTTACTTGACTCTGTAATCGTGAAATAAATAGATATTTTCTTATCTTAAAGTACTAAATCTGATGAAATACATAAAACTATAAAACATTATAAGATTTGTCAGTTCTATTGTATTTCCTGTCTTTATCTTATTACTCTCAACAAAATACGTTGCACATTGTCCACTGCATCGTATTTTGGAATGGGGTTAATGTGGACCTAGTGCAGCATATTTTGGAATAATATTAATGTTGACCAAGAGTAATACATTTTAGAATAAGTTTTAAAGTGGTCTGCCTTGTGATTTATGAAAATGTCTAAAATTACCCTTGGAATGAATAAGATTGTGTATCAGGTCACCCTTCTAGCCCACCCGAGCAAAATAATATCACATCTAAAACTTTTTAAGGAAAATACATATTTTGAAGAATCCCGATCCAATCCCCTTTTACATGAATCAAATCCACTCGATCCACCTTTTAATCTTTACCAGTTTAAAAGGAAACCTTGCCTACAGGCGAGAAAGAGGACATGTTGTCTTTCCCATCCACAATTTTTTGTTATCGTTGCCGCAAAATTTTGCAAATCGCCTTGACGTAACCGTCATGGTATAACAGGGTGATATGAATTTAGTTTAACCATGGGCTTTCATTCTTTCAACACTCTCTTGAAAGTCCATGGCTTAACACTGTGATGGATAGAATTTGAATAGGATATAATTTAAAACCTTAACAAGTATTTAAAAATAGATTTACTGCTCCCAAATCCTTCCTTATTCAGTTTTGACACAGGTTATCTCTTAAGTTCTAATTGTTAATTTTAAAAAATTCAGCTATTTCAAACAACGTCGTGTATTTTGGAACTCCACGAATAACTTTGTTGTAGACTCATCTATTTCAAATCATCGAGAAATGGAGTGAACCGGCTAAAGTATTAGAATACGTTTAATGCGTTTTCGGATTTTATAACGAATTTGATACAATTTTTTTGTAAAAAGACTGGATTTTGACTTAAAAAGGGTACTTTCACACAGTAAAGCATGGTGCATCAAATACATGTAATATGTCAAATAAAAGGTTAACGGAGGTGAACATGTTCTACTTTATTTGGCAAATATTGTATTTCTCTAATAAAAAGAGCAACTTGCATGCGTTTCATACATCAATAAATGTCCAAATTATTCATAACGGCGCATTCTGTCTTTGTGTTTTGATTTGACGGACACAATAAAATCTTATTTCTCGCTTTTGGCATTCAACTCCAATACTTCAGTATTACGCCGGGTCATTTTGTACCGTTGCGGAAGGGTTACCAGGCTTATGGACAGGTCCGCCGTGGTTGGTTGTGTGATTGCCGCATTAAACATGCGGCAAAGCACGTGAAGTCTGTGTCGATCACTGTACCAGTTGCGCTCCATGGATATGGCCCTTGATTGATTGGCGAACTGGATCAATTTTGAGTAATCGAAAACACATCAAATAACTTCATTGGAAAGTGATGTCATTTGGCATCACACTTAGTTCTAAATGTATACACAAGCACACCCAATACACAAAAACTGCCCAAATAAGACTGTAGTTGACTGTGTCCAAGGCGAATAACTAAAGCGAAATCACCAATTTGATAAACAGAGGAAGTGAATTTGACTGACCGGGACGGAAAACACTTTTAAAGTGAAGTTGGAACACTATAGTAAGTATCATCATGATACACCATGACATCTCATTTCTTCTCAGCCCTTTCAGGTGAAACAGAAAGATGCTATGAGTATCAGAATGAGTAAGTATGGTTAAAACAAAACTAAAAGTGCGACATCTTTAAATTAGGACCTTCGTTAATATAGCGAATATTTGAACTCACGAGTGTAAAGGAAGGACACTACATGTATATCCAATCCATTCTGTAAAAACACTGCCCTTTATGTAATCGACTCTGATTGCTTGACAACAATTTAATGCGAAGATGGTTTATATATATTTCATATCATTGTTTTTGTCATTTTTTGTTTTACTGCAATTGTTTTTTGTTCCTTTCTACTAATTCTTGAAAATGAAATAAAAAATCTTTCCAAAACTTACTTGTTGGGACAAGACAACATTTATAACATTTCAGAATTTGTTGATGACTTTGAGAAATATGTGTACAATTCAGTTCGCCATATCGATAGGGAAATCCACCAAACCCCAAACCGTGCAAATGAAAAATGTTTAGACACATTTGAGAAGCATGCTGATGTTTTGCGATGTAACGAAAATCATCAAAGACATGAATTGCTGGTATTAACAATATTCACAATATTAAGATTCAATCATTATCAGGTTTTGATTTGCTGGCATTCAACAAAAAATTTCGGTTGCCAAATTTATTGAGGAGAGTGTACACATATATTGGTGCATGGTTGACCAATAAATTGTTATCGAGATTCAAAAACGTAATTGGCATGATTGAGTGTTTTATGTATTGATTGAGTGTTTCTTGTCATGATTGAATGTTTTACGTATTAATATATTGAATGTTTCCTTTACTTGTTTCTTGTCTTCTTTTCATGATTGAATGTTTTGATTTGAGGAGGAGTGATTTATGTGCCGCTTGCACAAGATTCGTTACAAATCAACGAGAAATGAAGTGAGTCTGAAGTCAGAGAATACGATTCGTTCAGTTTTCTGACCTTTGTTCTTCTCAAACTCACTCGCAACTGTACTCAGAACGGTTGCGCTAGCCACGCATAATTAGTACTGAACGTAATCCGATCAATGTGCTGAAATCACGATAGCTTATTTCCCTTCCATTTTATTGACCGATCTGGACATATCATTATTAGTTGTTTTCACTCATATTATAGTAGCCAATTGCCCATTTACATTTCTTTCAGACGCAATTGAAATTTCATATTAGCATATATACAACAACGTTCAAAATATTTTTTTTATATGCTTATATTGCGATGATTTTCTTTCCTGATTGATCTTGAATATTATGCCAAACATGTACTTTCTGTACCTTGCTTTGTGACTACTGTTATTATTTGCAAGACCTCATTTTTGAGTTCATTGCGTTTCCTCAATCAAAATGTAAACTTCGAGTCCAACTAAAGTTAGATTTTATATAGGGTTAATTAATTAAAATACATTTACATAATGTGTATTCAGGCAAATAATTATAACAACTACATTATTTTTTAGCAGTACTGACACCTAAGCAATGTAGCCTCGTGGCGTAGAGACTGGAGAATGATTGTGGTCGAACGTAGGCGATACGGAGGTCCCGCGTTCGAGCCGCAGACCGTACTGAGTATTTTTGAATATTGCAATACAGGACATCCTATATAATTATTGCATTTTTGAGTAATGTTGACACCTGAGCAGTGTAGCCTGGGTGGTTAGTGACTGTGGTCGTACGTACCGAGGGATACAAGGTCCCGCGTTCGAGCCTCGGGTACGGCGTCGTTCGGATAATAGTTCTACAGGGCACTCGGCCCGAAGGTCCAACCTCCGACCCTTGGCATGGGCCGGTTCTTTGACTGCTCTTGTCGGAGACAGATTGTGAGACTGTGGTTGGTTCCTCCACTGACGGGCTATAGTAGACGCCGGGAGTCATACAGTATGGTAGCGAGCCCCCACCAAGGGCAGTAGTGGAACGACGCGAATCGGTCCCAGTATGGTTGCCTTGCAACTGAAGAGACTCGAGGAAATCATGCCATTCGCAGTGACCCAGAAAAGACTTTTGCTCCTTGATTTAATTTATTTTGTTATATCAATTTAAACTATAATAAATTTATTTCAACTATGAATAATTAATAAAATATGAAGTTTGTTTGTAATTGTGAAGTTTGTTTACAACCAGTAAGATAAAAGTTCTTAGCGTCTGATGGACTATACAATGGACCGATTGGGCAAATTCTCCATCTTTCATCTTCCTTCACCAAAACCAAAACCTGATGGGAAGAGATGGGAATTCACGGGGCGATATTCAGACGATGATGCAGAGGACGATAATTTTTTTGTATCGGACAAATGAATGATGGAAACATCTTATAAGAAACATCTATATTTGATCCAATATTGTTTTTACATAACTCTAGTGCACTTGCCGCGACATCTATGAAATGATATTCGAAACACATACTTACACTCAGGAGCTACTCACTTCTTCTGATCAATGGATAAAATGAATGAATGGCCCAACCTCGATTGAATGGAAAAGATGCCGTCCCTGTTATCACGGATCAAATGAATTAGTTTTAGTGATGTTAGACCTTTTATCCATTGATCGGAGTAATACCTCGTCACGTGACAGTCGCTAGATAAACAAAATGGCGACCGACGTGGCAGGACACCGGTGGAAGTTGACGATTTATTTTGTATTATTTATGTTAATCGCTACGCTCGCAAGCTGTGCAAAAGATGCGAAAACGAATTCGGGTAAAAAAGGAAACAAAAGAAATCTAAACATCGCAAGCGATACCAGGTAAGTCACTCGAAAATGAATAAAATTGGAAAAACTAGACTAGACTCTATCAATTTTTTATTTTTTTATTCAATTTTCAAATCATGGGCATTCAATAGATTCTATCACAGACAAGGGAACAAGAGTTCATCCCCCTCCCACTCACTATGTATTAGGTAAAAGAGATTTTTTTTACATTAGCTATACAGTGACTGGGGGGGGGGGGGTGCCTGTGGATTCTATTCTATAGATTTGAAAGATATGGCCGAGTTTCTACGACTAGATGTAGAGGACATAGGGTTAATCTCGGACACGGGGCATTGTCGGACGATCTTCAATAGTTCTTTGTTTTATATGGTTTCTTTATTGAAACTTTGTATTAGACACATCATATTATAGATGTGGTGCTATATATTGTAAAAATTCTAGTTTTGTCCCAGATTTTCACCTGATACCAAGGGTTTGTCTGGGAATGCCCCGTGGCTGAGAATGCCCCTATCTCCTCTAATAGATTGGAGTGGGTTGGTTGGACGATCTCGATAGATTACAACAAATACACATAAAACTGATATAAGATCTTTAAAAGTTTATTATATCAAAAATATATTCATAATATGCTCAAAATATGAATCTGAATAGAATAATTATATAAATACCAAAATTGGATCTGAATAAAATAGTTCAGATATGAATATCAAATAATTATATAACCTTTCCTGACATAAATCAAATCGAAGCTCAAATCACATTTGAAATCACATTGAGAATCACAGTGGGAATCACATTGGGAATCAAAAGTTAGCCAAACTAAATTGACGAACCCCGACAGCAATGTATCTTCTAGGTTTTTACCATTCCACTTAATTTGCAGAATCTGCTAGTTATAAAGTGAAAATTTTGCCCATCTCTAGCAACATAACAGCGTCTTGTTACGTCTCGTTACGGTTAAAAAACGATTTCAGAAAAAATGTCAAAACAAAGCGATCCTATATTTATAATGTACACGGGAAGAGTTGTGACGTAATGCTTTATGATTGGTTGATTTCCCCAAAATATCAATGCTAGATTCGAATTGACCAATCACAGGTCTGTTTTTACATGATTACTTTCTTTTTAGAGCGGCTGTCATGAATAATTCATTGAGTTCCACGAATTGAAATGTTGTAAACTTCTGACCCTCTAAGGCCAAAGTAAACTATTTTCTAATATAAGGCCAAAGTAAAAAGTAGGTTTTATTTATATTCTCTGATTGTATGGTAACTACCAATATCAGATTCTAGTTCTAGAGCCCATGTTCTATTTAAAGCCCATGTTCAAATCTACATGTAGCTTTAGTCAAACTGTTTTGAAATTCCATAATTTTCACAATGAACAAATAGATTTTAAACAGGAAGGGGTGATTTAAAAATGTCTTGCTATCCACTTATATCACGGGTGTTAAAACACGAATATACCATGAGCACATGCTTTGAGGATCCGCGTTGTTTGAACCTATCGCCGAGCACACTTATACATTAAGACCCGTTACACAGTCATGCCGAGCAAGCTCATTGGATCATCGGGTCTGCTTTACCCCCGTGTACGAGGGGTGATCCAAAAGTCTTGGACGCCCCGCTCTAACTTTGCTATTTTCTAATATAATTGCATAAAACTTTCAGATAATAAAGATCAACATCTTAACAACTTTGTGTATAAGTTTCAACAGAAAATAATTTATTTTAGCTTTTTGGTAAGTATTTTTTAACACTTGGTCCCTGCCACCCGGAACGGTATTTGAATATAGCAAATCGCGTCACAACTGTTATAATATGGCAAATACTTTAGGTGCAGGTGCACAACCTAACACCAGTCATGATATGAGAGAATTTCCGATTTTCAATCTCAGTGTCATCTGCCATCATCATCTTCACATATTAAGACCTACTTTTCAACATATTTTTCATGAATTTGAACACATCTTTCATACCGCTTTACCAATGAATGGAAGACATTTATGAAATCGCCATTCCTTATGTGATACAAATGGTGCTGGAGTGCCACTCTAAACCTCATACAATGAATAAAAAAACATTTTTTCAACCCCCCTTCTAACTTGGAGAAAAGGAAGACAATCACACTGAGCCATATCTAGACTGTATCGTGCATATAGTAGCTGCTAAAGGTCAATAATAGAATAGAATACCTTGTAGTATTCTTTGTTCCAGTTTTATTTCTTTCATGTTCTGCATTTCAGCAGCCATTTTGGTCAAAAAGGATACCAGAATGAGGGTTGCTTGTCTGATGTCATTTTCTTAGAATTTGACAAAATATGGCCATTTTTATATGTGACAATATATATAAAACACAATTAACTGGTTGCCTAGTAACAAAGTAAGTAAACTAACATGGTTTAACATTCAAAATTCAAATAAAGAGAGTGCTCAAGACTTGCAAAACAAGTCAAATGGCGGCAACATTTAAGGCTGAAAGTTGTCATGTGCGAATACCGTTCCGGGTGGCAGGGTCCCTGTATTAAAAACTATCTAGAAAACTACATAAACCATATCATTTCTCCATGAAATTAATACACAAGGTAGTTAAGATGTTATTCTTTATTTTTGAAAAGTTTAAAGTAATTTTATCAAAAACCAACAAAATTAGAGCAGGGCGTCCAAGACTTTTGGATCACCCCTCGTATATGCTGCTGGATTAATCTCTTGTGCTTTTTATCACCATGGGCTTTCCTATTGAATCTATTGTATGTCCATGTTATCACTAATTACTGGCTCGTATGTTTATTTTACGATGAGCCCCATCTATATTTCAGATTCCTCCTTTACGATTGTGCAATGCATGTACGTTTATTCTTCATTGAGCCCCATCTATATTTCAGATTCCTCCTTTACGATTGTAACCCTGGTGAAGGTTTTAATTTACGCAGAGATGTCTACATTCGTATTGCGAACCTTGTGAAAAAACTCAATACAATTGAACCATGGACCCTCGTTCTGCCACCATGGGGACGATTATACCATTGGAAATCAAACGTTGAACAGATGAAGATTCCCTGGAGCCTATTTTTCGACATAGAGAGTTTAAATGCCCACATTCCAGTCATAGAGATGGAGGAATATATCTCAGTCATAGGAAAACCAGAAGTTGAAGAAATGTATTACCTACAAAGGTTTGTCATGACTTTTTTCATTTAGTGCACATGGCTAGCTTAGCCTAGCTAGCAGCTTTAGTTTAAACATTGAGGCCAACTTTTACAGAAAATGTTTTTCACAGTTCTGGACTAAAGTGGAAGTAAAGGCCCCATAGGCCTTGAAGTATCATATCTTTTTTGATATGAGATTTGCCACATATTCAAATTTGCCTTGCCTACTTTCAATGCACTCAATTGCTGGAATTACACATGGCGTTTTACAAAGCATCTTCGGTTTTAACCAGGTTTAAGAATTAGATGTAATCACGATTGCGGTTTTACAAAAGCGCTTTTCTAAAACTCCAAGAACCCTTGTCACTAGTAAACGGCATTAGTCGTTAGGGGCTTTAAGTGTACAGTGTAATACCGATCGGTTTTGTAAGACGCCTTACCTGGGTTTTTACTAGTTTTTAACATTTGCCCTAAACGAAATATGACCTCATTTCACACTGCTATCTGACTATATCTAAATTGAAAAATGGATGATGGTCGCCAGGTCACATCGAAATCAAGTGTTATCTTCAGAGAATATGTACATATTTTTCTTTTACCTTTTTATTATGTTTTCTCATGATTAAAAAAGATAAATAAAAATTATGCAATGTCACGCGTTTTGGCAAATTATGGAAGATCAGTTTTGTCTTAGATGCAAAAAGAATACATTTACAGGAGATGTACACATACATGTATGCTGGATATTATCCATAACTACATCGTTAAAAGTGCACGAAAGGCGTTTTAGAAAAAACAGGTGTAATTCCAAAATATAATTCCTAAGACGCTTTAGAAATGTTGGTGTAATCAGAATGGCGATTTTATAAAGCGTTTTCCACTAAAACGTTTTAGCGGATTTTGTGGTGTAATTCCAGCAAATGGCTATGCCTTTGTCAGCTATAAAATCCTTCTGATTTTACATTGTAGCAAGTAATCTCATATTACTGGTCATGCCATTCAATCTTGCTTAGCCTTGTCTCCTATCAGCCTATCTGAATATAACTTCATCCAAAGTTGCAAACTTAAAACCAAATTAAACATTTTAATACAGGCAGCTGAGTATTATTTGCATTGGTATGTTTCCCATCACATTGATCAGATAATATAACAATTTGCTTATGGCAGTGATCTCCCCAAATCTTTTATTAGATTGCTGCAAAATTCTCATTTTCACAATTCAGACCAAAATTGATCAAAATATGCCAATTTTTCATGATTTTTCTCATTTTCAAGTGGGTGCAAATGGATTTTTGAGTGGGTGCAATCCTATTTTCAAAATCTCAGCTGGGTGCTGCGCCCACTTGCTTTAATGCTGGGGAGATCACTGGGATCAGTAAACGTTTGCACTTGACTTAGATAAGGTCAATATATTTGATGTGATGTACACCAGGTTAGCAGTGGTATTCAAAGAAGGGAAGAAAGTCACTTATGTGTTGTTGAAACTATTGAAATTGTAAAATTGTAAACTATTGAAACTGTGAAATTGTTAACTATTGAAATTGTAAACTATTGAAATTGTAAAATTGTCAACTGTTTATCGAAATTGTATTTCTATTGACCTGATCCCTTTCATAATATAAACTAATATGATATGTTAGTGGAATAGAAAAGGCCAAATTAAGAAAATCAGAATTCCTAATTAATGGAAGGGAAACTGTAATTTCTGAATTATTCATAAATCAAAACTATTGATTGATGGGAAAAATAATTAATTGCATCAAGACAAATATGTGTAATACCTCAAATGGTGTTTCACTCACAGAGGTATTCTACACATAGGGTTTATTTTACAAAAGTTAATTGGTGTGCTGTTAATTGGGTTCAATAATGAACTTGAAGTCTTATGTAAGATGAGATATAAAGCGTTTTATTCCAAACACAAATATTATGACATACACATGTCCGACATCTCAGATCTAGCAACCCCATAGGCAATTGGTTAAAACACATCACGTGGAACAAAACTAGGTCACTAAACACGTGGCCTGATAAACAAAAGATGTTGATGAGTGAATATATCAGCTAACACTACAATTGGTCACTTGTCTTTAAAGTGTTTCACTTACATATGTTTTACATATGCTTCATATGTTTTACATTTTAAATCCAAGGTATTCAGAAGGCTTTACAGTAGTTTTGCAAACAAGGAAAATCCACATGGAATTGGGTACTTGACCATTGACATAGAGAGGAATTTTTAGAACTATAAAGCTATTAATTTATTATCACGGTTGAGATCATTAAATTATAGATAATTCCCAATTCAAATACAACCAAGATATACCAATTTACTATATAAAACAAGTCTTAATCAATTTTTCATATTTCCAGATTTAAAGAAGGCTGGAATGGTGGCAAATGGGAAGAAAAATTGGAAAGAAGAGAATGTCTCGAGAACTGGGGATATGCACTAGGTAAATACAAAAGTACAATAAAACATGTCTAAGTAGAACACCTTTTGAACATCTAAAAAGGTTTACACTTGAGAGGTGTTCCACTTATAGAGCTTCATTTAACATAAAGTCAGTTGGTCTTGAGAGCAGGTCAAAAGTCTGATCAGTTCTTGGAATACGTATTTCCTTTCTATGACGATAATTATCCTGATACAGTGTTTGTCAACAAAGTGATCGAGATAGCAGTACGTTTCCCCGATCAAGAGACTATCAGACGTATGATTATTGCCTTTAACATGAATTGCTATTTGCATAATTTGCCATTTGAATGAACTGCCATTTGAATGCCATTTGACTGAATTGCCATTTGAATGAACTGCCATTTGAATGCCATTTGACTGAATTGCCATTTGAATGCCATTTGACTGAATTGCCATTTGAATGCCATTTGAATGAACTGCCATTTAAATGCCATTTGACTGAATTGCCATTTGAATGCCATTTGACTGAATTGCCATTTGAATGCCATTTGACTGAATTGCCATTTGGATGCCATTTGACTGAATTGCCATTTGAATGCCATTTGACTGAATTGCCATTTGAATGCCATTTGAATGCCATTTGACTGAATTGCCATTTGAATGCCATTTGACTGAATTGCCATTTGAATGCCATTTGACTGAATTGCCATTTGAATGCCATTTGACTGAATTGCCATTTAAATGTCATTTGACTGAATTGCCATTTGAATGCCATTTGACTGAATTGCCATTTGAATGCCATTTGACTGAATTGCCATTTGAATGCCATTTGACTGAATGCCATTTGACTGAATTGCCATTTGAATGCCATTTGACTGAATTGCCATTTAAATGCCATTTGACTGAATTGCCATTTGAATGCCATTTGACTGAATTGCCATTTGAATGCCATTTGACTGAATTGCCATTTGAATGCCATTTGACTGAATGCCATTTGACTGAATTGCCATTTGAATTTATTACGAGAACATATGGAAACTCTGAATTTTTGTTTGTTTCTAAAAAGTTGCTTCAATCATATGAAGGAAGTGGGGTTAAACATTAATTACACTCTGTATAGCCTTATTGTATTTGATGGTTGATCCTTTATTAAACCCCAGACATACAAACCAGATCAATATTGTCATGAATAATCAATGACAATTTCAGCTGTTATGCCTGGAAAAGTAGCTATATAATCAACTTAGATTACATAGTTTGTGCTATTCCCTAAACAGAGTAGAAATTTGCAGATTTAGAAAAATTGAAAAGATAAATTGTGAATGATTTGTAAACTGTACATATTTTTAGATTAAGCAAAGGTCAAACATTTATACAATCACCTAAACTCTTATTGTACTATGACAATGATACGTATGTTGATCTGAATTTTTGTTTCTTTTTTCTCAATTATTTCATCAAAGTGAAACATACAGATTTTAACAGATTGAATAAAAAGTTGATGGGTGAAGAAGGAGAGGGGGGGGGGGCTATTCAAGACTGTTATATTTTGTGCATTTGACTATACATGTAGGTTTGGTAATGAGAATTTATCATTGTAATAGATTGATTTGAAATTGCCACGGCCATTTCTTGTATGTCTGACTATTTGTATTATGCGTATGTAAATTGTAAGGTGGCCATTTTGGATTTTAGATTCACTATTGTTCACCATATTTGTTGACTCTAATCCCTTTGGTATCTTAACTCATAATTTAAGGGATTGGACAAAAGGGTGGAACATTGCAGTGTGCCACCCGTTCGATCATCACCGTTAAATTTTGAATAATTTTTCCAGGTGATGACAATAACTGGCACGGCTGGTTCTGGGGGTACAACAAATTCTCCGCAAAACATTTTGAATGCCTCTCAGTCCAGATGGAGGCCTGTAGCATGACCACTTTCCTTACCAAAGAAACTCGGGCAAAATCGGTGATGCTACACCGAGGAGAGCAGCTAATTCATGGTGCATTTGATTCATGGTCATCTGAATGGTGGTCGGCACGTCGCAGTTTACGATTCGCAAAACATTTACGAGAAGTAGCAGCAGATTTCAGGGCTAAGTTTCTCGATTCTAACGATGAGAAAGATAATACTTTATTTGAGGATGATTGGCGGGGAATGTATCGAAAGCCTGGTGAAGCCAAAGGCGGACCTTACGTTGCGGTTCATTTGCGTCGCCGTGACTTCTTGTACAGTCACGAAAAGGAAGTACCATCTATTGAAGAATCTGCCAATCAACTTGAAAAAATTCTCGATGAACAAAGGGTGACAAAATTATTTGTTGCAAGTGATATGCCACGATCTGAGTACGATGAACTTAAACATCATTTAAATGGCTACCAAGTTCATCGTTTCATACCTGATTCTGATTTGCTTGATTTATACAAAGATGGCGGAATAGCGATAATTGATCAAATCATATGCTCGCATGCCAAATATTTCGTAGGAACATCTGTTTCAACATTTTCATTCAGAATCCATGAAGAACGTCAAATATTAGGCTTTAACCCTGATATGACCTATAATAGACTTTGTGGAAAAGAGGAAGGAAAATGTGACCAACCGTCATCTTGGCCCGTGAAATATCCAACCAATAATAAACATACAGAGCTTTAACCCTTTGAATACCATAGCGTAACTCAATTTTTGCTTATTTTGCCAATACTATCTCAATATATATGCAATATTTCATGTTCATCTCGATAATATTATTATGTAGACCAATCTTACATTATATTTTTTCTGTTTGAGCTGAGCGCTAGGGTGAATCTAGTAGATAAAAATATTGGTTTCAGTCCCAGTGAATACATTTTCTGATACTCCCTATAATGTTAGTAGCCCATATTGACTGAGTTCACATTTAATTAGTGAAAACAAATGCATATTGCAAAGCAGACGGCTCATGTATATCAGCTTTTTATTTATTCAGCAGATTGAAGCTGATAAAATATACATATATTCAATTGCCATGACAACTGTACAAACTTTGAAACAATATGCAGAATTCTATTCAAGACAATGTATTCAAATGTCAATGTTGTGATTTATTTATCAGAATCTCATTCAAAAAATATTGACTGTTATTGTATTTATCTACATACTTAATCGCATTCATTATTATGCCAAATGTACAGTAAAACTTGTGTTGTAGAACATGTTTGGTACTGTAGATACACTTATTTTGAGGCTACTCAATTTGTCGGATTTGCTCAATTTCAAATATTGGCGGGTATTTAATTTGGCGGATTCAGGACTGACGTTTAATTTTTGTCTATGATTATGTTATTTGGACAGGTATTTACTAAGCTATTTTCTGTATTTCCTTTGGAATAATACAGAATTGATGACACATTGACAGGAAATTTCTGAACTGCATTTGACAAAAATTCCAAACTGAAATTTGATGGATTTTTAATTTGGCAGATTTTCTGAATACGCCAGGCAAATTAAAAGGGGAGCCAAATTAAGTGTATCTACAGTACCTTAAAGTAGTGCTCCACTTCGGAGGTGCTCTATTTACAGTTTCATTTTACATTCAGGTAATTGGGTTTCAATGTTCCATAAAAAGTGTTCCATACTCAAGTGTTCCACATACAGAGGTGTTCCACCTACAGAGGTGTTCCACTCTAAGGGCTTTACTGTATTCATATAGCATGATTTTTATGCAATAGTTGAAATGTCATAATCATTAAAATACCATGTAAAATAGAAAGACAGAGGCGAGAGTAAAATTAACAGGAAATAACATACTCTCCCCGTGAAAAGTTTAGCAACTTCCAGACTTGAAGTTTGCATGAAAATGACAAAATCCCAAATATTCAGAAATGGGTAATAAGCACTGAATATAAAAAATCTGTTGGTAAGCCATTACATTCATGGTTGAATGTCAGAACATTCATGGTTGAATATCAGACTTTCCATGGGTTGAGCTACCTTAATGGTCGTAGGAGATTTTCACGGATTAATAAATAAGAGTACATAAATAGTGTAGCTAGAAATCATAAATCAGCATATTCATGCTTTGATTTCTTTCTTGACTGTTATATGTTTCATTACACAAATTGTATATACGTTTAGCCAAATTCATGTACAAATGTGCACAATGTACTTTAAACTCACAAAATAATGTTTTATATTGGTGCTATTGACTGATATGCATGTACACTGTATATACATGTACATTAAAATCAATATATTCTTTACATATGAATACTATTGAGATTAAAACTTACAAATATGAACACTTTTAATCCTGTATTTTAGGTGTTTCATTTATTTGAAATCCCCTTACGTTAATGTTGTAACTCGTTTGTAAATCTTTTTTATTTATTTATGCAAAGGATATCACAGTAAAACACAATGTTCAGAAGTCGTGAGTTGTAAAATTGTAAATCTATTATTAGGACTTTGGAAAGTTGATCGTTTTTTTCGACATTGTTTATAATATTGTCAGTTGAGGCTGAAGTAAGTAATTGATTGAGAAACTTTAGAAAGTCTTCATGACATTGCTGTTCTTAGATTAAGCTATTTGATGTATTTGAATAGTCCTTTGATGGCTTTACGTAGGTAGTTATTTTATGACTTGAGATAGTCATTTGATGAATTTAGATAGTCATTTGATGGCTAACAGCTGTAGACAGTCATTTGATGGCTTTAGGAAGTTTATTGTGGTAAAGAAATTCCATAGAACTGTTGTATTTTATTTACTATTTATGTATCACATTTTAAAAATGTACAATAGAGAAACAAAAAGACTTATCTAGGGGAATCAGTTTTGACCCAGAAATTATGGGTGAACTTTTCACTATTTCAGAAATATCTTCCAATTTCATTTACTTTGATAATAATGCAAAGGATATTCATAATTACTGTCATAAATCAAGCCAATAATACCCTAGTTTCTTTGGGCCACAAAAAGGGGCCAGGATTTGTTGAAAAGTTAAAAAAAAGTTCTATTGCCACTCATGGATATATCATAATCTACAATTGTAATCAAGTTCATATTTATACAAACATACAGGGCGACCAGAAAAAAGTGGATCGCTGTTTTTTTTCATTTAACTTCCACATAAATACCATGACCAGGTTAATTTTAGATGGATATATGGATATATCATAATCTACAATTGTAATCCAGTTCATATTTATACAAACATACAGGGTGACCAGAAAAAAAGGATCACTGTTTTTTCATTTAACTTCCACCATGGGCTTTCAATATTAGAAAGCCCATGCTTCCACATAAATACCACGACCAGGTTCATTTTTGTCACAAATGTACATTAGTCAATGCATAACATTATGTCAAAGAGTGAAATGTCAATCTCTTTTCATTTTTATTTCATGCCTATTTCAGGACATGCTCCAAATGTGCTTCCTGGCACTAAAGATAACTTGGATTTCACGTGCAGTGAACTGGTCATTGGTCAACTTTTTTTTGGTCACCCTGTATCTTGTTTTCAATTATGCTTAATATATGAGAAACAATAGGATAAGGGTAAAATATCAGTCTGGTATTTATAAGAATTTAATACATTAGTAGAATGTGGTGGTAGGGAGGGGGCGGGACCATTAAGTATTGTAGACAAGACACCCATGTCCAATTTATGGTTAAAAGAAATGAGAGATTAATGGGATCAGGGTCAGAATATTATACCAGTTATCACCAGTTATTAGTTAATGTGTTATAGATCATTTTGTGAAATACATGTAATATAGTACATATGGTACTATTATGCAATTCCAAAAGGATTTTTGATGTTTAATAAATAAATGTTTCAATTATTACACAAATCATGTAGTTCTGTGTAAAATAGTTGTCTATGTAACACACAGTGGCCACGGCCAGTGAAAAACCAAATTAAACCAAAAACCAAATTAATGATAAAAATGACATGGTCAACTTAAGAAACACCAAAATGAGGTTACAGTAAGTTTTAAATAACCAGTAACGAACTCCCTTAAAAAGGATATGGGCAATAACTTGCATGTTTTCACTTATCCAGGAATCTTATCTGTTTTTAACAATATTTTATCACTTTTTGATGGACATAACATGCTATGTATATTTTAGCCTTATTTTATTTCGCATCTTTTGTACATTTAGCATTTTTAACTCTCAAGTATCACTCTTCTATAACTAACCCCTAGAAATGCATAAGACATTCCCTTTGTATAATTGTTTTGTTAAGTTTATTATTGAAAGTACCTTATTAACATCTAACAGTCATCCAATAAACCACATAAGCAGCAGACACATAAAAACAAATAACATAATCATATCTGATAAGCCAAATGGGTTGTTCATAAACACAAAATGCAAGGTATAGTAGAGTGAGTATATGTATACACCAGTTCCAAATAAAAGGGAAGGACCAAAATTGTTATATTACAACATATTCAGTCTTCAACATGCAATATATTCAGGTTTTTTTTCAACTTACAATATTACAAGTTTTTGCAACACTCAATATATTTTTATCTTCAACATTCAACATATTAAATATTTTTGATATTAAATCTTTGCAACACTTGATATATTAAGTGTTTTTAACAAACAATATTTTATATCTCCTCTTTGGTAACATATTTAGTATTTCCAACTCTCCATTACTAAGTATTTTCAACTCTCAATATATTCAATATCTACAACACTTAAGTTATATTCAATTTGATTCAGTATTTAAAAATACCTCCCATAATACATAGAAAATATATACTGAACAAATATTCACTATATTTGTATTCATCAACAATTTAAACATGTCAGACAACACAGTGAATATGACATGACTGTTTAAACAATAATAACATAAAAATAAGAATGCAGCTCTGAAATACAGGGTGTCCATGAAGTCTCTTTACAATTACAATACAAAGTTGGTGTAAAGTGTAAAAAGACTTCATGGACACCCTGTATCATTATAGTTATAGACAGTTAGCCAATACAAAAAACATTTTTAATTTTAATGTATAACAGGGTGTCCATAAAGTCTCTTTACAATTGCAATACAAATTCTGTGTAATGTGTAAAGACTATGGACATCCTGTATATCCGTAATTGCAGCATTTGATCACATGACCCGCATGCCATCTATTGTGGGGCATCTACATATATGTACACTAGGTCATGGACTCAATGAAATGATAGATATACACAATTCCACTTGTTACTGTCACAAAGATCAGGGTAACCTAGACATGTTTCCACTTGTCACTGTCGCAAAGATCAGGGTAACCTAGACATGTTTCCACTTGTCACTGTCTCAAAGATCAGGGTAACCTAGACATGTTTCCACTTGTCACTGTCGCAAAGATCAGGGTAACCTAGACATGTTTCCACCTGTCACTGTCGCAAAGATCAGGGTAACCTAGACATGTTTCCACTTGTCACTGTCGCAAAGATCAGGGTAACCTAGACATGTTTCCACTTGTCACTGTCGCAGTGATCAGGGAAACCTAGAGATGTTTCCACTTGTCACTGTCGCAAAGATCAGGGTAACCTAGAAATGTTTCCACTTGTCACTGTCGCAAAGATCAGGGTAACCTAGACATGTTTCCACCTGTCACTGTCGCAAAGATCAGGGTAACCTAGACCACAGTACTGTACTCTATGTTAACTTTAATGTCATGATTTCTGGCTAGCTAGGATGATTAATTACCAACATATCTGGATAGCGCCTTAGATTTAACTGCCTAGAGTGCCTGAACTTGATACCATAGCATTAAAATCAGTTATGCTGGCAGTTAACTTGAATTAAACCGTCTGTTAATTGTACTTAGTTTAAGATTTTGTTTTATGATAATTCAATTCAAAATTTGTATTTATTTAAAGTGAATTCAATTCTCTTTACAATGGTACCACAATCGAGGGGATCCCAGTTATAATATTTAAATGATTGGAAACATTCCATTGCTGGTCAAATACTCAGTTGTTGAGTTTACTATTCAATTAATTAGAATGGTAATGTTTTAAAGTAAAAATTCATTCTCTGATCAGAATTCAAATAAGCTGAATAAATATTGATGGATGCAGAATTAAATTAGCTTTTAGATACAGTTCATCTCATTCCTTACTCATTCCTATAAGTATGTCTAATTAATTTTTATAACAGAGTAAAAATTCATCAAAAGTTAGTGAAACTGTACAATCCAATGTATTTTACCTATACCAGAGCTAACATTTCACTCTGGATTAATTCCTCGCTGTATTGTTTTTCTCTGTAGCTGCTGATAAACCGTTGAGTTGTAAACATGCCTGCACATTACTAATGCCTTATTCCATGCTCTTTCTAATGATATAAGTCTCATAGAAATAAAATTCTGATCTTAAATAGAAAAAGTCATTTAGAAATTGATTGTCTAACTGATGATCAGTTGATTCCAAAGTGCCCTCTTCATTTGAACTGCTAATTTCTTAAAAAGTGTTACGCTTACAAACTTCAATCTTTCTCTAGATGGTGTGAAACATGACATTAATGGCCTGTTAACTAATTTGTTCATGAAAAATACTAGATTGCACAGAGATATAGAGATAAAGTTTAAACATGCAGAATTCTACTTCAACTTTATTGCCAGAGCTGGATGCCTGATTCCTCTGCTTGTAGCAGCAGCATAGCCAGATGTTGTGATTAATGGGTTTTGAGCTTGACATTAATGTTTGCCAATTTTACAGGATTTGCAGTACTGTGAGACATGTTTCCACTTGTCACTGTCGCAAAGATCAGGGTAACCTAGACATGTTTCCACTTGTCACTGTTGCAAAGATCAGGGTAACCTAGACATGGTTCCACCTGTCACTGTCGCAAAGATCAGGGTAACCTAGACATGTTTCCACTTGTCACTGTCGCAAAGATCAGGGTAACCTAGATATGTTTCCACTTGTCACTGTCGCACAGATCAGGATACTTCCGCTTAAACTGTTTTAATTGCTCCCTACTTATATATTTAGATGTCAATAAAGCGTCTATAGCACTCACTTTGTTCTCAGTGTCCTGAAACAGAGAATTACCATACAATAAATATCTTACAATGAAGACCATACAATTATTTTACAATTAACATCATACAATGTACAATATGTCGATCCTTAGTCATGGTTAGTGGTCATCTATTGTACAGGGTGTTCAATAAGTATTCGTAATTTTGCCCATGACAATATTTACCATAGTAACCATAACTTTGTCAAAACAAAGTTGATTGTCAGGAAATCTTTATAGAATAAGGTCAGATATATGTTCATTATGTTGTAAAAGTTTCATGAATAAAAAAGCAAAAGAACAAACAGCAAAATCAGCGTAACAGCAAATACTTATTGAATATTGGATTATTTTTGAGTTTGAGGATTGTACCTGGGTTTTGACTGCTTACCTAAGCTAATCAAACATCAATTATAAGATAATTAAACATCAATTATCATAAACACCCAAGCACAAAGTTGATTTTTCCTAGTTACACTAATTAAAATAAAAATAAAAACCATGAAAGCTGCTTTTAAAATAATTTAAGGGGATAATAGTGAAAACAAAAATACATAAAACCCAACAAACACCAACAATGTAGAAATCTGTGGGGCAGTGCCCCACCAAGTCCAGAGGCCAACTCAACTTAGATGTTGCTTGTCCCCCATTGGTGTATGTTGGGTTAAGCTACCAGCTAAAGCGACATCTATATTTCCTACCCTTAATGTTCTTTCTAAACTCGCCAATTTTCGACCTCTCAGCAAATCTGCACTGTTTCGAAGACCAGTTTTAGATAATCGGGTCGTAGTCGTGAGTGCACTTTTCCGCTGGGAATGCAGATCACCACCATATATAGATTGCCCCGCTAACCGAATGTTTTTGAAAGCCGTAACCAAGTCATCTATGCTACCCATATCTACAACATTTACGGCTCATCAGTAAGAAAAAAATCCTGGTGGTCATGCTTTGAATTGCGAAATAGTGTGGAAAAGAGTGGAATCAGCAAGGAATAAAATAAACAGACATGTAGTTAATACTCTAAATTGTATAGAAATGCAATAAAATCAGACACTTCATTCAAATTTAAGAGAGAAATGAGAGGAATTAGCAAGGAATAAAGTACACCAGCATATAGCTGATACTCCAAATTGTATAGAAACGCTTGAAAATCAGGCAGTTCATTCAAATTTTAGAGAGAAATACTGTAAAAAAGCATGACCACCACAATCGTTTTCTCATGGAATCTATTCTAATTAATGTATCAGCAACAACATCAATATTTAGATACATAAATTGTATGCCCAATCTAATAATACAAATATTTATTTTCAAAAAAAGATAATGCTTTTGATATTCCAAAAAAAAAAAATTTTGGGAAGTTTTTGCGTTCAAAATGAGAAAATTATTTCAATAAAAAAAATTGGCATAATTTTTTTAGATTGGACATAAATTGCTTTAACATTTATAAACAACTTTTTATGTTGAACCTGCCACACAAACAAAGATGTCAAAATAATAATTTAACAAAACTTAATCCAATTCTGACTACCTTAAGGTTATCATACAATACAATAAAGTACAATATAATACAATAATAAATAAATAACAAATAGGAAATGGTTGTTCACTTGAATCAAATACTGTTTTCTTAATTTTTTCGTGCAAATGAATGTAAAACTGATGGGCTAACAAAGAAAGTAGAATATAGCAACGTCAAAATGTGCCAAATTTGGTTGTTGATGCATCAGCACTTTTTTACTTTTTAAGCTAAACCTACTTCAAAGTTAAACCATATCTACTGATATTTGAAAATGAACAAAGCAATATGAATCGAGAAGTATGAAGTGAAAAAAAGAAAAGGTGTTTTTTAGAAGATTCGCCTTTTCAAAAAAGATCAAGATTTATTTTCAGAATTCAGACATCGAATCATTTCAGCGATATGAGTGAATGATATCTGTCTGGCAGTATTTACCTTCTGTGGTGGAAAATTTGATCCTTCAGCTTGCATCCCCAATCATGATGGATTAAGACACCCTGCCTCAATTTCGAATTTCCCGTCACAGTAACTGACTGATGTCAGACAATATTTTACAGTTAGATATTAAAATTGTCAGTGACGGTTGAACTTTTAAGCATTCCAATGATGATTATTCCAATCCAATGTGACAACACTTGAGTGCATTATATACTAATATAATCAAAAGACTTATCGTCAAGGGGCAACAATCACAACAACACAAAAACACAACACAACAACAATATGAATCAAAAGACATCCAACATATGTTTCTCCCAGGATATTATTTTTATTTGATACGTACCGTCGTGTTTTTCCTTCTGCTTTGTTTTCGATTTTCTCATCTGGACCACGGGTGATCCAATTTGTCCACCAGATGGCGACTTAATATGAGGACTTTGAGGAGTCGTCACTTGTGCGCTAGTTGGCGACGTGACATGGACATTTGGAAATGTTGTCACTTGCTCACTAGGGGGTGACACCGGAGATGTAATTTGAACACTAGGGGGAACTGGGGTAGTACTCTCAGGCTCGGATTCCTGACCCTCGCTGAGTTCTGAGAGAGAATGGAGACTAGACGTATCACTGATCATCTCCAACTCCTCTTCACTCTCGCTATAGTAACCAGTATCTGGAAAAAACATTCAGAATTCAATTTAAATTATTTATTTCAATTTCTTTCATAGTCTTAATTTCTCATATGACACTAGTTGTTCTCCAAATGTTACATTTCTCACTATTAAGATACCTATATCTGAAATGGATTATCCAGATATTGATTTGAATGTTAACTTTTCTTTTTTTATTCTTTCATAGTATAAATCATTCCTACTTATGTATGACCAGTTTTAGCATGTACATTATTTTTCCCAATTTTCTAAATTATCATTTTTATTAAATTCATGACAATCATTTTAATCAAATCACAATATGTGTACTGCATAAAATACATTTAAAAATTTGCAACAGAAAATATGGCACCTCAAATTCAAATAGCCATATTGTAAATTTCCCAGTATGTAGAATACCTAATCTAATCTTGGTACCTGAGTCTACTCTTGTATCTTTAAAGAGATCCCGTTGCCCAATTTCTTTCCTGGACAATCAGTAATGTCCCATTATAATTGCTCTATATTCTTAGATATAATACTTAGACCAAATTATGAGCACAGTATCGCTAATATATTGTGAAAATCAATTGACAATCAACAGAACTACCAAGTCAAGGTAATTAATGATGAAATTCTTACTTTCAAGGTGAATATTTTTAGCAATGTCTTCTTGTTTAACAAAGCCAGCCATGGCTTGGTCTTGGACATCAAACTGTATTGCAGCTAGGCCAAGTTTGTTCATCCATCTGTCAAAAAAGACATAAAATGTTAAAAAAAGTACATAAATAGTAAAATAGTATTAATACATAAAATATTCATGGAATGCTTATGAATCAAATATTTAACAAAAGTGTGCTATCAAGCTATATATCAGCTAGTTATATACCCTTAGAAAGCACATAAGGTTAAAATGCTGGACCATTGATGTCAAAAATCTCACAAAAGAGACATAAAATCTAATACTTGTAAAAATAGAACATTAGAAAGGATTAATACACAAAATATTCATAGAATGCTTCGAATGTTTAACAAAGCTGTTGAGTTCCATCAAACTATATATCTGACAGTTATATACTCTAAGAAAGCACGTATGGTTAAAATGCTGGACTGATGATGTCAAAAATCTCACAAATACTCACTTGCTCATATCATCTTGTCTCTCTGCAGCAAAACTGAATGTAGTTCCAGCATGGTGAGCTTTGAATGCACTGAAAAGTAGAATTAGATCATGAACACAGCCAGGCAGGAGGAGAGCGAGACAAACACCTCACAGAAATGTTTTCAGAAATAATCTTTCAGAAATTTTTTAACTTAAATTTTTTTGAATAAGTAGTTATTATTACTATAAACTAAATCCTTACTTCTATTTAAGACTTACTATTTTCTTTAACACTTACTATTTTTTAGATTTACTCTCTGGGGCAGGGGAAATCTTGAAACCAGGCAGACAAACTAAGCCCTGTGCTTTAATCTCCTGTAATTATCAACATATACATGTATATAAAAGATGTAAAGGGTGAAATCTTGAAACCAGGCAGACAAACTAAACCATGTGCTTTAATCTCCTGTAATTATCAACATGTACATGTATATAAGATATGTTAGGGGGTGAAATCTTGAAACAAGGGAGACAAACTAAACCATGTGCTTTAATCTCCTGTAATTAGCAACATGTACATGTATATAAGATATGTTAGGGGGTGAAATCTTGAAACCAGGCAGACAAACTAGGCCATGTGCTTTAATCTCCTGTAATTATCAACATGTACATGTATATAAGATATGTTAGGGGGTGAAATCTTGAAACAAGGGAGACAAACTAAACCATGTGCTTTAATCTCCTGTAATTAGCAACATGTACATGTATATAAGATATGTTAGGGGGTGAAATCTTGAAACCAGGCAGACAAACTAGGCCATGTGCTTTAATCTCCTGTAATTATCAACATGTACATGTATATAAGATATGTTAGGGGGTGAAATCTTGAAACAAGGGAGACAAACTAAACCATGTGCTTTAATCTCCTGTAATTAGCAACATGTACATGTATATAAGAGATGTAAGGGGTGAAATCTTGAAACAAGGGAGACAAACTAAACCATGTGCTTTAATCTCTTGTAATTATCAACATGTACACATGTATATAAGAGATGTAAGGGGTGAAATCTTGAAACAAGGGAGACAAACTAAACCATGTGCTTTGATCTCCTGTAATTAGCAACATGTACATGTATATAAGAGATGTAAGGGGTGAAATCTTGAAACAAGGGAGACAAACTAAACCATGTGCTTTAATCTCCTGTAATTAGCAACATGTACATGTATATAAGAGATGTAAGGGGTGAAATCTTGAAACAAGGGAGACAAACTAAACCATGTGCTTTAATCTCTTGTAATTATCAACATGTACACATGTATATAAGAGATGTAAGGGGTGAAATCTTGAAACAAGGGAGACAAACTAAACCATGTGCTTTGATCTCCTGTAATTAGCAACATGTACATGTATATAAGAGATGTAAGGGGTGAAATCTTGAAACAAGGGAGACAAACTAAACCATGTGCTTTGATCTCCTGTAATTATCAACATGTACATAAGAGATGTAAGGGGTGAAATCTTGAAACCAGGCAGACAAACTAAACCCTGTGCTTTGATCTCTTGTAATTAGCAACATGTACACATGTATATAAGAGATGTAAAGGACATGGAAATAACATTAACACACTGGCGGATTAGGGGGGGGGCTGGGGGCCTAATAAATTCTACCTTAATAAGTTAGAATTGTTCATGAATAGCTGCTAAAATCATCTAGAAGCTAAAGGGTTAAATACTACAACTCTCACATCTCGCAGCTTAGGGTTAAAGAATGCTCTGTATCCTTACAATTGCAGCTAAAGGGTTAAAAACTGGTATACTTACATCGGGAGATTTGTAATAATACAAAGTGTTGTTTTTCAGGACGCACCAACGTTTAATCCACTTGTGCTGTAGCCCTGATACATGTTCTTTCTTCTTCCATAGCCAGCCTTGACAGTCTCCGTGTCCCAGATCTTTACATGAAATCCTTCGCCAGTCACCTTCAGAGGAGAGGAATATGAAGGCCAAGGTCAACGTTAATCTCAAGGTCAAATGATGAAGTATGTATTAGAAATATATACTATATATGTACTATCTATTAAAATTACTTTTTGACAATAACTTACTTTTTCTCGCCTTTATTTTACGTCTGATAACACTGGGAGACTGAAACAAAATCAAAGAACAATAAGCAATAATATAGAAATAGTGCCAACCGTTAAAGATGACACTGTGCAATTCATGATCAATTATCTTTTATTTATTTTATTTTTTCAACAATCAGTGAAGATTTAAATTGATTAAATGACATGATTAATAAATGAATTCAAATTAATATGGTTCAAACAAATGAAGTCATCTCACATATATTTAGATAGCTTAAAAAGTACAAACTCTCTAGCAAATGATATTTGATGTCATTTACTTAAGCAGTGTTTACTATTAAAATGCATGTTTAACACACAGTATGGGTACACACCAGACCTCATTATACCATGAGCATTTTAGGATGTACAGGTGTATACATTAAGCAGTGATCTCCCCAGCATTTAAGCAAGTTGGCACAGCACTCACCTGAGATTTTGAAAATAGGCTTGCACCCACCTGAGAATCCATTTGCACCCACTTGGAAAAAGTGAGAAAAATCATGAAAAATTGGCATATTTTGACCAATTTTGGTCTGAATTGTGAACATGAGAATGTTGCACCCACCTGAGAAAAAATCCTGGGGAGATCACTGTTAGCTAATTTTGCTAGTACCTATAGGATCTTGTGATAATGGTACTCCTGAGTAAACTTATGATATCATGAGGTCTTGTCAGTACCCATACACAAGCAACATGTAAGGCTGGTTTTACAAAGCTGGGCAACTTGGCAAACTTGGCAACATTCAGCAACTTGGCAACATTCAGATTTATCTCATTCTAACTTGAAATACTGGGCAAAAATATCCCATTAATATCATTGAAAAAATCTTAATGATTGTTCAGAAAGTACAGAAAATATTATGCCCTTGAAAGATGTAGTTTACTTGGCTGGTTCCTCATGTAATATCTCGGGCATTGCATTTTTCTGTATTTTAATCCAATCATTGAATCTTTTTATAATGATACTTCAAATGAGATAATCGCGCTTCTCCAAAACAACATTGGCCAGCAAAATAGTTTTTGAACTTTTTGAAATTTGAAAACAGTTAATTCAAAGACTTCACCTGATTTGATGTTTCTTTTGGGTTTATCACCTGGGCAACGCCTCCAACTATGTTCACTTGGTAACTAGAGCTGCTGTAACAACACATACAAACAAGCAGTTAAATCATAAGCTGTTGCTAAGTTATTAAGTAAACAAACATTGAAAGCACAAAGTGATCATCCTGATACTCAGAAGAATTGTTCTAGAATGAAACTGAGAGAAGGCTGTGACATCAAGGAGCCCCCAGCCCCCCCCCCCCGATCCGCCCGTCTCACGATGCATAGTGATGACCTTCTAAGGGAATGGGAGGGGGGGACTCAGATGAATTTCTTTCTCCCGCCAGTTTATATGCAGTCATATCATAAGCTCATTGGGATGAGAAAGTAAATACTGAGAGTGCATACACGTTCTTGGCACTGGTGGACCCCCCCCTTAATGGGCATAATTTTTGGCAAGGAGGAGGGGGGTATTGTATAGCAAAACATCAAAAGGCAATGAATCAGAAAATGCATTTTGTAGGAGATTAGTATGTGAACATTCAAGAATTATGAAAATGTGTTATGATTTGGTCAGAAATGGAGCATTATACAAGCTTGTTTAATAGCCACAAAATAATTGGAAATAATGAAAACTGAAAACTTTGAACATTGACATATGAATTTACAGTGATCCTTCATATGATAAGAACTCATAACTTCATCATATGAAAAATTTAGCCTAACAAAATAAAGCAGATGAAGTTACTAGTTGTTCTAGACATAGAGCGAAAGGGGTCTTAAAATCAAGATATTAAATATTTTAGTATGCCTCAAAGACCCCTTAGAATGTTTTTAATGATTGAGTCTATACAGCTGGGTGAATCATGTATTACACACAATAGGCTTTAAGCAGACAAACAGGAAGCTATATTTGCAAAATGTAATAGCCTTTAACCTGTTCACTACTGGGTGGTGGTGTAAACTTCTTCATTAATCTAAAAAGTAAAAAGTATTTAATGTTTTCCTTAAGGATTTAAGCATGGGATAAGTAATCATTTTAAAACAAGGTTCTGATATATGCATGGTTATTTTAAGATGAAAGTGCAACATTGCTTCAATTTATGTGTCAGTCTTTTCATCTACTACTTCTAAAGGAAATCATAGCATACATTTACTTAAACCCCCTTGGCAAATCCTGGCTACGGGCCCGAACTTGTTCTTAAAATTCCATATGATGATTAAAATTTGAACAGATTTGTTATTATACTCTCTTGATTTTTCCATAAAATTTTTTAGCATTCCTGGGATTTCTAATATGCTTAATATGGTTCAACCCAAACAACTGGGTCAAGTTAACAATTAATTTCCCATAATGTGAGCAACAGAGAAAAAATTCAAATATTAATTTCAATATCATGTTCTAAAATGACTCGGCTCTATGTAACGCCGCTTTCTTGTAAAATATCCAAAATTAGACACACGGAGGCAAACGGTGAGCCCACAGGGCCAATGTGACAAGTATTTACTTCTAAGAACAACTTTACTGACCTTGACCTTTCAGAATTTGTGCCATCCCCATCTGATCCTTCACTAGCGCCATCTTTTTTCTGATTTTCCTAAAACAATAGTTCTTCAGTTACAAGTACTTCAGTTAGTTTAAGAAAAAAGTCAGTAAGTTTGAGTTATGAGTTATAAAAATAATTTAATGTCCCAAGTCAGAATATTTGAGATACAACTCAGTAATTTTTAAAAAGTCAATATATTTGAGTTACAAGTTTACAAGTTACAAGTCAACATATTTTAGTCAGTCGTCAGTACTGAATAGGTATTTCATTTTAATGAAACGAGGAAACAAATGCATTAAAATCACAAGTCAATTCATATTTATCTGCAAGGTACTTGACATTTTATCCAAATAATGATATGTGAAAGTAAAAATGTCAACATGAACAAGTTATTGAATGAGAAAAAACACAGAATGAGTGCAAAGTATTTTCAGGAAGTATTTTCAGAAAAACAACTTTTGGCAACCCTTCTTTCTCAAATATATTTCACATATTTTGGGATGCTGAACAAACATGGGGGATCTTAGTAATTGTTGCATAATACTTGTATGTTTAAAAAACATTAACAGGCGAAAAGGTACTGACCAAAATGCTTATAGCAACTCACCCATTCTGACAGCTTTAAAGATTCAATTTTCTTGATTTTCACTAACATCGGGGTTGTCCGATCTTCAGTTGCGACAATTTTAGCGACATCTTTATCAAAGAAATCTGGCTGAGTCTCACTTTCGATCTGTGACGTCAACTGAGGTGTCACTGTCGTTTGGGGGTCTTTATCCAATTTAAAAATCACATCCGATTTTTTTATAATAGGTGGCGTCTTTTTCCAAGATGGTGTTGTCGAGATTTCACGCTGTCTGCCGAAGGACTCTAAGGAATTGGAAGTTCTCGGAGTAAGATTAGAGCCCTCTGGTGAGGATAAACTCTTAAGTGCATCTAAAAATAGAATTTATTTTGGAATGTAATTTAAGAGTATGCTGAATGAAATTATATACTTTCAAATTTCGAAATCATATTTTTTCATATTTCTCTGCTCTGTGCAGGTTGGACCGTTTCACTTGATTTTGACAATAGTATGACACATCATCTGTTGACACATCATCTGTTGACACATCATCTGTTGACACATTTTCTGCTGACACATCATCCGTTGACGCATTATCTGTTGGTATGCATTATTTTAAATATTTTCTAATCAGGATTAAAGGCCAATCTTGCGAATATTACTCTAAATGGCTGATTCAAATTTTTTTATCCTTATAGATTGAAAGTCAACATCTTTCAAAACTTAATAGTAATTTACATATGTTTTTGAACTAAGATTTAACATTCCAAAACTTGACTAATACAGCTATTTATCATACCTATTCCTTCCTCCAATACAGGAGATTTCATATCCAATTTACGCTCATTTGTTGGTGAAAATAACTTATGGGGTTTCTCGGGAGAACTAATTGTGTATGATTTTGGTCGAGCCGGGCCCTGTATATCCTCTAAATCTACAGATCGTCTCTGTGATAGCGTGGGAGAGCCTCCACTGACTGTTGCCCGTCGTACTTTGGCGTCAAGTTGAAGATTTGGGGATTCTGAACCACTTCTGAAGACTTCATTATCTGTATCGTTATCTCTGCAATATACAAGGGGTGATCATAAAGTTTTAACACTATCTCTATTTTCATTTTTCAATAATGAAATCTTATAAGTATAACAGTTATTTTCTAATTAGAAATGGCTGCCATTTATTTTTCAAGATCGTTAGAATGTACATGAGTCAAAGCCAGAACAATGCATTAACATTGCAAAATGTCACCACCTGCCATTTGTTATGGACAAGAACCAACCGCCAAACACCATCCACAAAAAAGTTGGAGACTATAACAATATGTTACCACTTCTGGTGGTGACATAAAAATGATAAATAAAATAAAAACATCACACAAAAAAATATGAAATAACCCGATAATATGCCATTACCTATCATAACTTTAATATGAGCATATAGAACGAAAAAATTCATGACCAAAAATATTCAACCATTCGAGCACCATTAAACAAGGAAGTTTGATTCAATTCAAATTCAAATAACAACTTGAATCCAATTCACTGTTTAAACATTAAAATCCAGACAGCTATTATTTCACATAACTTCCTTATTTGAATTTCATGTACTCAAAAATTTCAAAATAAATACAAATAAACAAGCTCAGTTTGGATAGAATAGAATAAGAACACTGCTAATATAACATTTACAGGATATCATTTTAACCTCATAGGTTTTAACATGACTAATAAAAGAAGATTTAGTTTATATTAAATAGATACAAGATTCATGATGTTTAGACAATAAGCAGACTCACAAATCTATTCAACTAAACAGTATCACAATTCAGTTTTACGATTCAATTCTATGATTCTATTTTTAAAATAATGCAATTTATTTTTATAGTAATATGCAGTTTAATAGAGATTGCAAGTTAGGTCATATTCTTCTTTTAAATTAATAGCCAGACATTGACCTTATTTGTTGATATACAATAATAATTCAAATTTAAATGTATAGAATATGCCTTTAATCATCTTTGATAATATTTAATCTTTCAGAAGATTATAGGTCAAAGAAATCATCTTTGATAATATTCAATCTTTCAGAAGATTATAGGTCAAAGTAATCATCTTTGATAATATTTAATCTTTCAGGAGATTATAGGTCAAAGTAATCATCTTTGATAATATTTAATCTTTCAGGAGATTATAGGTCAATGTATCAATATATGTCCATAATGCAAATAAACATTGAAGACAGCCTCTCCTGACACTGATCCTTTTTGTTTATTTACAATAATTCAAATTTAACTGTGTATAATATTGATAATATTCAAAAAGTATATAGGACAATGTAAAGATGTATGTCCGCAAATTGAAATAAACAATTCAAATAAACAATTCAAATGGTCAGGTTAAATAATTAATGGGGGGAGGGGGTATTAATTGACACCAGTGCATATATGTTAAATTCATTCTGGGGTAGGGAAAGGCGTCAATCTGCAATGAAATTACAGTTCAACTTGTACGAACACTTTCTTAGTCACACTTTTATGATCTTCCATTATCTCCTATTATAAAGAAACCTTGCTATGTGAACACCTACTAATTCAACACTTTTGGCTGGTCCAAGAAGTGTTCAGTTTAAAGACAACAAGGGGGGGGGGGGTGCGATGGATGGATGGATCAAAAAAATAAAACAATGAGAAAGTGAAAGAAATAGCTTTAAAATGCTTTTTTATTTGAAGCTTCTAACTCAATTTTGAAGGGTTGCATCAATTTTTGTAAAATTCTAAATAAACTTTATTTTTTGGGCTTTTTTCTGCCACAATCACAGCCCCCCCCCCCCCTGAGTGAAACCGAAGTTTTTTGGCTATCTCACCCCGCTGACTGAAAACTGGCTACACCCCTGTGTTACAATATCAAATGATACCCTGACTGCTCCCCCCCTGTCCCACCATTAACACAATACCTCTATCAGGTAGATACTGTTATGCTTACCGTAATAAAGAATCTATGAGTAACACTCCATTAACACCTAATCCATATTAAGTTAACATATGTAATGTACTAGTACAGTATATTCCAGTGTGCACATTTCAAATGTGAATGGTTAACTGATAATTAAGGCACAACATCACAAACATTGAAGGTTTTATATGTGAAGTAGTTTTTATGCATTTATTTGGATAGAAGCCCAACCAGGATGTTTGCACGAATATACATACTCTTTCAAATTGCAGTAAAACCTTTCTTTATGAACACCACTCTCTTGTAAACACCTGTGTCTAGTGAACACCTTTTCCCAGCACATACCCCATTTAATTCTGTATAAAATGGCCTCTCTGTAGTGAACACCTACTTATAGTGAAGACATTTGTGTGGCTCCATAGGTGTTCATTATACACAGATTTGACAATATTACTTTTTATATTTGTATCTTTACTACATTAACATTTTTGAAGTCTACCGCATTAAAAAACAAGGCATTAACATGACAAAATGTCACCACCTAAAACAATTTGGTCAATTTAAAGCAAGTTGGAAAATACTTGAAGGTCATTGAAGGTCAAAGGTCAAATCTAAAGTCAGATTTGAACTTCTGAGAACTTGTAAAGTCAAATTTGAAGTTTTGAAAAGATGTAGATAATTTTGAAAAAAAAATTTGGTCAATTTGAAGCAAGTTGAAAACAGACCTTTTTGACCTTTTTTAACCTTGAGAAGGTCATTAAAGGTCAAATGTCAAATCTAAAGTCAGATTTGAATTTCTGAGAACATGTAGATGATTTTGAAAAAAAAAATTAGTCAATTTGAAGCAAGTTGAAAAAGACCTTTTTGACCTTTTTTGACCTTGAGAAGGTCATTGAAGGTCAAATGTCAAATCTAAAGTCATATTTGAATTTCTGAGAACATGTAGATGATTCTGAAAAAGAAATTTAGTCAATTTGAAGCAAGATGAAAAAATACCTTTTTGACCCTTTTTGACATTGAGAAGGTCATTGAAGGTCAAATGTCAAATCTAAAGTCAGATTTGAATTTCTGAGAACATGTAGATGATTTTGAAAAAAGAATTTAGTCAATTTGAAGCAAGTTGAAAAAAGACCTTTTTTACCTTTTTTGACTTTGAGAAGGTCATTGAAGGTCAAATGTCAAATCTAAAGTCAGATTTGAATTTCTGAGAACATGTAGATGATTTTGAAAAAAAAATTTAGTCAATTTGAAGCAAGTTGAAAAAAGACCTTTTTGACCTTTTTTGACTTTGAGAAGGTCATTGAAGGTCAAATGTCAAATCTTAAGTCAAATCTAAAGTCAGATTTGAATTTCTGAGAACACGTAGATGATTTTGAAAATTTTTTTTAGTCAATTTGAAGCAAGTTGAAAACAGACCTTTTTGACCTTTTTTGACCTTGAGAAGGTCAAATGCCAAATCTTAAGTCAGATTTGAATTTCTGAGAACACGTAGATGATTTTGAAAAAAAAATTTAGTCAATTTGAAGCAAGTTGAAAACAGACCTTTTTGACCTTTTTTGACCTTGAGAAGGTCATTGAAGGTCAACTGTCAAATCTAAAGTCAGATTTGAAGGTCAAATGTCAAATCTAAAGTCAAATCTAAAGTCAGATTTGAATTTCTGAGAACATGTAGATGATTTTGAAAAAAAATTTAGTCAATGTGAAGCAAGTTGAAAAAAGACCTTTTTGACCTTGAGAAGGTCATTGAAGGTCAAATGTCAAATCTAAAGTCAGATTTGAACTTCTGAGAACATGTAGATGATTTAGAAAAAAATTGAAGTCAGTCTAAACAGTATTTGTTAAGTTATAGGAAGTTGTAAGAAATTGTTACAGACGCCGGACGCCAACCTCCAACCACCAACCGCCAGCCACCAACCGCCAACCGCCAACCACCAACCGCCGTCGCAAAAAAACGGAGACCATAACAATATGTCACCACTTTTGGTGGTGACATAATAATAATAATACTATATATATTTCTTTATTGCGACCAATTCTGATCATATACATATAGTTTAACATAAAAGGTTATAAAAGGTTATGAAGAAAAAAAAAAAAAAATACTGTTTTAAATATGTAACTTTGTATAAATATATAACAAGCAACCTTTAAATGAAAGTTTACAATTTAAGGCATTATCTGCAAATGATTTAATTTCAAAAAATGCTTTTGAAGGACTTTTTGTTCAACAAATTGTAATCTTATTAAAATTAAATTTTTAGTTGTCGCATCTACTCGTATCTATTAATATAGATAGATATATACAAATACATAGCATACATCCTAGTATATTCTGTGTTCACAGAGAGAAAATTGGTTGATAAATAAGGGATAAATTAACTATTATGTACAGAAAAAATTTACTCATTAAAAATTAGTTGTAACAGTGTAATCATTTGAGTACATGTATATGGTGTTTTAATTGATGATCTTAAAATCTATACATTTTCTGCTTTGTAGGCTGAAAATAAATCCAAGTATTTGAAAAAAAGACCAACAACTTTCAAAAAAATGTATCAAACAATTGTTGAAGTTGGAAAATGATATTGAGGTGATTAAAAAATATTTTGAAAATTTGCTTGAAGCCTTTAAGATGTCGGTTTAATGACTTATCATCATGATCAAAACTTTCATTCCTACCACATTTTTCATGTTCTAATAGTAACATATTTATCAGATATGTCAAATTAATTTATCTATTTAAAAAATATTTTAGTTTGTGGTTTGTGGTTTGGCCTGCTAAATGTAAAAGCTAGTAGTAGGCCTTAAAAAAATATTTTCATGTCATCATCATGGCTGCTATAAAGACTACATGTAACAAACAAATAGACTTCATGATTTATTAAAACTCCACAGTGTAAAACAAGTTTTTGTTATTTCTCAATGCTGTGAGAGCGAGGTTGTCCCTCTAAATTGGTTTATGAAGGGACTTTATCAAAACAATATTTTCCTTATAACTTCATACTCAAATGAACAAATAAAAGGCGAACGAGGAGAAGAGTAGTCCTTGAGATGACCATAATTTAACATGCTTTACATTCCAGTTCTTCTCAAAACAGAGCTTACTTATCCTATTATACTCAGACATAGGTCTGAAGCTAACTTTTGCCAAGGGGGTATACGTTTTTAAAAAACTCCAAGAGGGAGGTTCAAATTTGACAATTTTGGCCTTAAACCACTTGAAAAGTGCTCAAAGTGGTAGAAAACTGCATGATTTTGAACTTTTTGAACCTTCTACCCTCCCCTGGTTATGGGCCTGGAGATATATATATACTTGTAAAGAATGCTAGCATATACCATTCAAGAATTACAAGAAAACGAAAACCTTGCATTTGGTGTTCATGAGCAACCCATTTGGCTTATTAGTAATGATTGTGTTATTTGTTATACAATTAGACAAACAGAGTATCTTATGCATTTCTAGGGGTTGGGTATAGTAGAGTGATTTTAACACTACTAGCAACCAATTTGGCTTATTAGTAATGATTGTGTTATTCGATTTTATCTGTGAATGGTTTATAGGATGACTGTTAGATGTTAATAAGGTACTTTCAAAAATATACTAAACAATACAATTAGACAAACAGAGTATCTTATGCAATTCTAGGGGTTATGTATAGTAGAGTGAACATCTGAGCCAAAAAATCATAGGATCACAAAAAGGTGGCAATATTTAGACATTCTCATATTAATTATGTAAAATTAGGATGAGTAAGCGTAAGTGTAAGATCATTGTATCATTGTACTCTTGAATAATGAAGGCTCAAAATGAATATACAACACAGCCAATATAATTCGGCGCCGATTCGGCGCTGTTCCGGCACCGTTCCAGCACCAAAACCTTTCGACACCAAACTTTGGCACTGGACTAGTCAGTCCATTTGGTGCCAAAACGGCACCAAAATTTAGCACCGAAACTGTGTCGAAAATCAGATTGCATTTTAGGAGTGAATATGTCATTATACTTCTCAGTGGAGATAACAACAATATTAAGTTCAACTTACTTTGATGTGGGCGATGATACTTCCGAAGGAGTTTGAGGTATCGGGTCAAGAAACTCAGGCATTGGTGAACGAAGACTTTTATCATCACGTGATCGCCTTTTCGGGAAAGTTGATTTCTGCAACTTTTTATTTTTCTTCTTTTTCTTCGGGGTATTTCCGAGTAGACTTGCATGACATGGCCTCTTTTTCAGCATCAATATTACTTCTTTTGGGTTTTCTTTCAGAACGGCAACAAGCTTCTTAATCTGCCAGCCAATGACAGTTTGATAGTTGACCTGTATGACCTCATCGCCTTCCTCAATTTTTGCGCAAAGATCAGCGGGAGACTGGAACATACCATAATTATGGACTATAATTTATTTCTAAACAATTTCATATAAACACGGTAGAAGAATGAAACTAAATATGGATTGAACTTCATGTAGATGAAGAAAAATCTCTTCTATAAAATACCTTTTGAATGACCCAACTAATTTAAGTACTTCACCGAATTAGAGTAATAAAAGTCATAATACACATGTAGTTCTATCTCTCTTTGTCCTTTTTTTCAAGCTGATCATTAAATATGATAAATACCTGCTCAGTAATGCCATCTATAATGTGGGTCCCATGTGGTGTAGATTGGATCTTCATCCCCTGAAGAACAAAATCATGATTTACGCACTAGTTGTTAAAAGAAATACAATCAAGGCATTAATGTGCAAAATGTCACCACCTGCCATTTGTTACAGTTGCCGACTGCTGAATGCAGTGCAAACACCAAACGCTGTTACAGACACTGAACATCAAATATGAAACACCAGCTGCTGTGAGCCATCATATTATTCTTGTATGGGAAACTTATCATTACGCTTTAAATGGGGATCTTCAAAATTTCAAAATGTAAGTAGGTTTCACAGAATTTTGATGACAAGATTTACGTGATGCTGACCGAACACCAACCCAGAAAGACGAACACCCATCAGTGTTAGACAATGCCACTATAGCAGTTTGAAAAAGTGTGATAAAAAAATGCATACCAGTTCTTCATCAGGTTTTTTGCGAATTGTGGCTAACTCTAATGACACTGGCTGGATGATCAGTGGGTCTTTAGAATTCTTGATGAGGTCTTCGCAAATGTCTGCCAGCTTTGCGGTCTGTAAAAACAAAATTGTTCAAATATGCTGAAGCATTTAATTTAAAAAATATCCACATTATTTTTGGTGCAGCCATGAATTAATTTATTAATTCATCATTAATTAATTCATTCCAATTAATTCATTGATTAATCAAATGTTCTGGGTTGCAAATCAAGGAAAAATATAAAAAATGAAATTTATTACTTACCGTTTTCATAATATTTTTCTCAATCTCAGTAAGTGAAGATTTGTCACTTTGTGCCGATTCAACCAGGTCCATTGCATGCTGGGTAAAATTTTGTCTCAACATCATGTATTCATCTGTACCCTCAAATGGTGATCTTTAAAAACAAATTATCATATTTGAATCTATTTTTGAGATTTTACACAAGCACATATCACTCTTTTGAAAATTTCAGGGAAATATTCTCATAGAAAATTCACACAGAGCTCGGTGTCCAATTCCAACCAATCAGATCACAGATTTCATATAACTGCAGTGCATTATATAAACAATCACCGCATCCAAGAATTGTTTCCTAAAATTAGTTCTCGATGCACATCTCACGCAAATTTTTGAAAACAACACCTTCAAGGAATGGTCATCTCCACATTGCACTGAGTCCAGGGCTTAAATCCTTAAGCAATCCAACCCTGCTGAACTCAGTTATTTATTTATTGAAGTCATAATATGCACAGTATTGAAACCTACCTATCCAACCAAGATATCATATTTTTAATACTGCTTATAATATCAATTATCCCAGAGAGCACGTGTGTCTGTAGTTTCGTAGGCAAGGTCATTGTAGACGCAAGATATTCATACGCTCGCTGACGTGCTTTGATGTCATTATGTAAACTGCGACACTTGCACTCGATGTTCAGGGCGATAGATTGAATATTCTCAGTCTCTAATCCATAGTGCTGAAATAAGAGTTATTCAAATGTTATGTTAATGACCATCTTGCTTGCCCTTAATGGAGCTGTCACACTTGGCCCGTATGGCCTCACCGTTTGCCACCATGTGAATACTTTGGGCAGACAGCGGGACACGGCTTGGATACATGGTTGCCAAAACAAATTATTTTCAAAGGATTTGTGAGTAATATAACATTGGTTAAAAGACAGATATTGGCTATATGGGGATGTGCCACTAAAATGGGTCACTTTTTCGCAGAAAATCCGTAGATCCCATTTTGAAGAAAATACCCTAGATATGGGTCCCATTTTGATGAAAAAATCCCTAGAACTGGGTCTACTTTTTGAAAAATCGTAAAACTGGGTATTGTTTTTGAAAAAAAGTGGACGGAAGTTGGTCTTGTTTTTTAAAAAAAATATACAATGAAGTGGGTCTATTTTTGCAAGAAATACTCCAGATGTAGGTCCATCTTTAGGGAAAAAAATCCCTAGATGTGGGTAGATATTTTGAGTCTCAGCAGCACCCCCCTGTACAAAAAATTTGACCAGTACCCCCCCTCCTCCCCTTCATGGACTGCAGGTTTAAGAAGGATAAGAGCAGGTTAGAGAGGGCAAGATAGAAAAGTAAGATGGGTTTGGAAAGTGGAGGAATGTTTAAGATCTGAAGAAACGGAATTGTGTATAACTGTACAACTGAAAATTAGGAAATAAAGTGAAGAAGAAAATTATATAAAGTCTCGGCTTAGATAGATGTTTAGGAACTTTAGATCCGTTTACCAATAAGGGACATAAAAGACATTGATTACTATAGACTTTGATCAAGATGAACATTGGTGGTCATTTAAATTAACGGACAATATCCCCAACCACACCAAATACAATAAGGCATTAATAACGTGACAAAATGTCACCACCTAGTTACTCACAATATTATGAGTTCAATCATAAGTGAGGATGGACTTTCTAAGAACTTGGAGATGATTTTGAAAAAATAAATTGGTCGATTTGAAGCAAGTTGAAAAATATATATTTTTACCCTGAGAAGGTCATTGAGGGTGAAATCTCAAATCTCAGGTCAGATGTGAACTTCTGAGAAATTGTAGATGTTTTTGAAAAGAAAGGTCAATTTGAAGCAAAATGAAAAATACCTTTTTGACCTTGAGATAGTCCTTAAAGGTCACATCTTTTTTGACCTTGAAAATGTCATTGAAGGTCAAATTTATAGCCAGATGTGAACTTCTGAGAACTTGTAGATGATTTTAAAAAAAATTGGTCAATTTAAAGTAAGTTGAAAAAAAAAGCTTTTTGACCTTTTTTAACCTTGAAAAGGTCACTGAAGGTCAAATCTTAAATATAAAGTCAGATTTGAACTTCTGAAAACTTGTAACTGTAGATTGAAGTCAGTCTAAACAGTATTTGTTAAGTTATTGCAAGTTGTAAGAATTTGTTACAGACGCCGATCGCCAACTCTTACCTGGGGAGGTCATTGAGGGTGAAATCTCAAATCTAAAGTCAGATGTGAACTTCTGAGAACTTGTAGATGATTTAAAAAAAAAGAAATTGGTCAATTTGAAGTAAGTTGAAAAAAGAGCTTTTTGCAATTTTTTAACTTTGAAAAGCTGGTCACCAAACTGCTTTTTTCATTTTACATGTATACCTACATATCTCTAAGACGTTTTAGAAAAACAGTTGTAAACTCAATCATATTTCGTAAGATGTCTTGAAAATGCTGGTGTAAACTCAAAATCATTTTTCTAAAATGTTTTAGCCAAGACGTCTTGGAATGTCGCATGTAGTGTGAATAGGGCTAATATTAATTAAACAATTAAAAATTCATGCCCAAAATTAGGCTCAGGGCAACGGTGAGCCCACATGGCTCATGTGATAACTTCTTAACAAATAATTGACAAATTGCCCATATATGGTATGACTTTAAACAAATAATTGACAAATTGCCCATATATGGTATGACTTTAAACAAATAATTGACAAATTGCCCATATATGGTATGATTTTAAGATACAATAATAAATGACCCTACCAGTCCACACAATAGATCAATGGCCTCAAGAATCATTTCTTGGTGCCCTATTTTCGTTATCTCCATCTTACTGAGGTCATGGTGATTCAAGGAGAGCAGCATCTTCCCTGATATTTGCCTGTTCATGAAGGCATGGGCGCAGGGCAGTAGTACATCATCTAGTCCTGAAGAACAATATAATATGAATGCAGAGCAGGATCTTAATATTTGCCTGTTCATGAAAGCATGGGCGCAGGGCAGTAGTACATCATCTAGTCCTGAAGAACAATATAATATGAATGTAGAGCAGGATCTTGATATTTGCCTGTTCATGAAGGCATGGGCGCAGGGCAGTAGTACATCATCTAGTCCTGAAGAACAATATAAAATGAATGCAGAGCAGGATCTTGATATTTGCCTGTTCATGAAAGCATGGGCGCAGGGCAGTAGTACATCATCTAGTCCTGAAGAACAATATAATAATATGAATGCAGAACAGGATCTTAATATTTGCCTGTTCATGAAAGCATGGGCGCAGGGCAGTAGTACATCATCTAGTCCTGAAGAACAATATAATAATATGAATGCAGAACAGGATCTTAATATTTGCCTGTTCATGAAAGCATGGGCGCAAGGCAGTAGTACATCATCTAGTCCTGAAGAACAATATAATATGAATGCAGAGCAGGATCTTGATATTTGCCTGTTCATGAAGGCATGGGCGCAGGGCAGTAGTACATCATCTAGTCCTGAAGAACAATATAATATGAATGCAGAGCAGGATCTTGATATTTGCCTGTTCATGAAAGCATGGGCGCAGGGCAGAAGTACATCATCTAGTCCTGAAAAACAATATAATATGAATTCAGAGCAGGATCTTGATATTTGCCTGTTCGTGAAAGCATGGGCGCCGGGATCTTGATATTTGCCTGTTCATGAAGGCATGGGCGCAGGGCGCAGTAGTACATCATCTGTTCACTCTGTGTATAGATCAGGGATTATAGCCTAAAGGATTAACAAGGCATTGATATGCAAAATGTCAACACCTGCCATTTGTTACAGATGCCAAACACAGACCACTGAACACCAACCTGCCAAACACCATCCATATTTGTTGTGGTGACGTAAAATCAAGTGTGGCAAATGTAAATAGGCAAGAAAAATTTAGACCAATTGTAATTAAATACCTTCACAAAATTTCTGCAGTCTAGGCATTTTTGTAGAATTCTACCATGTAGATCATAGAGATGTCTACATATTTTATGGTTTTAACAATGTGGTTTAAGTGAGCTCCCTTTAAATTGAGCCAGTGAACGTCAAGATGGGAAAATCCCCACTCCATCTGTTTTCAGATGGACTTTTCATCATATAAAATGAATCGGTACTGGAACTTCATCTAAAGAGACACTTAAACAGTAGGTTCTATATGAATTCTGGGGTATATATTTTTCTTGCAAAAAGGATTTTGACAAAGAAGAATAACTGCTATTATCGTATGATCTGTAAAATGAAGCTTTCTGATTGGTCAGTTGTTTTGCTGTACCAATCTGTATTGCTATTGAGATTGTCCCCGTTGATCATCTCTGTCGCAATACAGAAAAAATTGGTACGGAGCAGACAATCTCAGTAGCAATACAGAGGATCACATGATAAAAACGTTATTGAATGATTTGAAGTGCAATACAGGATATATTCTGTCTCGATATTCTGTATTATATTAGCACTCGATTCCGTCTGGTTCCAATACAGAATTTCTCGAGCAGAATATATCCTGTATTGCACTTCAAATCATTCATATTATAACATACATATGATGATGTATAGTGTAAACTGTTCACAAGACAGCGGGCCAATATAACTTTTGAAAAGCCCGCCTGCTAACTTTCTGATTGGTCAAGCGCTGTTACTACGTCATACATTAGGCCTCGATCAAATTGACTCGTACATTCGTAAAATACAAACATGTGAATAAATCATGATTTCCTAACCAATTAGATAAGAAAACAGTACTCTCTGACCAGACTAGATCATCATAGGTATGTTATAAATCGTTTATGTCACTATAGTTGCACATGTGCCCTCGGTTCTCAGTGATCAATGTCCCTCCCAAGGTCGGGCCATATATCACTGAAACCCTCGGGCATATATGCAACGATTAAGTGACATAACCTCTAAATATTGTATATATGGATTTTCATCTTCAATTCCTCCAGGTATCCTACTTCACGATGTTGACTTGAAGGTTAAGTTCTTAGGGGTAGATTTGCTTATGTCAAATGTCAAGAAAAAACCCAAATTAAGGTACAGCTGGAAAGTAACATTTTGGTAAAAAATTGCTATACCAGCACATGTTATTTTCTGGTACAAAATAAAGTATGAAGACATTTGTCAATTCCCTTGCTTTTTTCAGGAAAGTATCATTACATTGTCTTCTTTAAGAATATCTAGTAGGAGTTCAATGGGAACTCCAGGAAATTCTGATATTTCACACTTTCTATTTTTCCAAATTTTCTTTCAACGTTTCCAGACAACACAGGAGCTACCATTGACCTGTTTCCAGGTTTACTAAAAGTAGACAGTGTAATCATACTTTCCTGAAAAAAGCAAGGAAATACACACATGCCTTCATACTTAATTTTGTACCAGAAAATAACATGTGCAGGTATAGCAATTTTTTACCAAAATGTTACTTTCCAGCTGAACCTTAACCCCACATTTATGGGGGAAATTGCAGTGGAGTGACTGTCGATAGCAAGTTGCTTCAACGGTCTCAGCTGTAGTCTAGTGGCTAGGCCTTATGGCTCAGGGGTACTGGGGTACAGCTTCAGACTCTGGAGCAAAAGGTTCTTGATTTTATTCCCGCATGGGACATTGAATATATAACGAAAGAGGTTTGAGATGAAGGGGGGGGGATTCATTCACAAAAGCCTCAAGACCGACCCCCCCCTGCCTCAAACCCCATTTCGATGTTAAACAAAAGCCAGCCGGAAACAACCGCCTTTTCTAAAATATCAATGAACCCCAGGCCAGGAACAAACCACACTCTCAGAAAGATGACTAGATCTATTTTTGCATGCACAATATATATTTCTGTCGTGCAAACCACTCCCCCTTCGCCGCAAACCCCCCCCCCCCTCTTTCGTTATAAAACGAACATCCTTGGTAAATCCTGGCTACGTCCCTACTTTCGACAGAGAGACAGGTGTGTTCATTCGGACTTGTGTCAATCATCAATTGTGAGTACGACTGTGATTTGATTTTGTTTTTGACATTAATTTTTTCTCTTCGAATATTCAAGTATAAAGACGTTTGATGTCATGTATGTTCGCCAATCGCGTAGTTAAGATATTCACAAGCATATATTCATTCGTTATTCAACATTAAAAGGCTACATTACCTCTCAACCATTCGGCAACTTGGTCGGGGCCCCAGCCCAAAACATTTACGAAAGCCATTGCGGAAGTAACTATTTAGTCTCGTTGCTATTTGCACATTTTGCATCAATTGAATTAAAGTAAGCTATGATTACTAAAATGTACATTCATGAGATAGATAATATTATTTTTATGTCAATTATTAAGAAACAAGTTATATGATATGAGAGACGTTCTAATTATTTATCAAATAATTCTGTTAAATTTATGAAGCTTCGAGATTATAAATAAAATCCAAAACGAGTCCGCAAAATCAATGAAAAGCAATTCCCTTGAAACATTGTCTTATTTTGGGTGATAAGGACCACTTCATCACCAATGTGGTAAGTTTTTGGCAATTCTATATGTTTATTCTTTATTTGCTGCGAAAATTTTATAGTTTTGATTGGATTTGATGACTGTTTTTTACCTTCGAATTGTAGGGTCATAAATAAAACTTTATTATCGGCGGCCTAGTGACCTCTATTCCCACGCAAAACAATCCATTGAAAATCACTGTAAAGCACAAGTCTTGTATTAAAACTACTGGAGGAAATTAACCCATTCACAGACAAACTAAATTTATTGTTTTTACCAATAATAAACAAATTATCAAACATGAAATTTGCTTATATATTTTTTGTTTTGAAATAGAGAGTGATGAGTGTTCACAAAGACAAATCACTTCATAATTTATTGGTATAAAAAGTTGAATTGGATATGAATGTCAACGTTTGGTATGTTTAGAATATAGCTTTCCCACCTATCATTGACATGAATTTTGCCTGCCCCTCCTGCATCCACATTCCACGAACTAAAGTTGTTCGACCTGAACCTGGTAAGGTAAAGGTACAGTATCGGTAGTTGCTCTAACATCTCATCACCGAACAATTCATCAATAATTATTCTAATCAATCAAAAGACTCATTTTGATCACTAGTGACAAGTTTTGAACTATCTTTAGTAAGTATACTCCAACATACCTCCATAAATGTCAGGGGTTTCACTAGAATTTCTCACAACAAGCTAAATAAATGAAAACAACAGGTAAAGTTAATGGAAATCATAAATTTAACATGGAAAAGTAGAAAAGTCCCTAAAACAACAGGCAATTTTGTGAAAACAACCTGTGAAAATTGCCTGTTGCCTGCTGCTAAGGCTTTGTATAAAAAACCTTCTATGTCATACCCACCTACCCACGTACGTGGGACATGATACAGTCTTTAAAGGGTTCAATTTTAAAGATCTTAGATTATTAAATCTTAGTTTATGATGAATAATAGATGCATTTGTAAGGACCTTTGATAGCAAGTTGCTACTACATCCCAGCAGGGTTCGATTCCCACTCGGGGCATTGAATTTAGCACACTTTCTTTCAATTTCTTTATCTGGCTTATAGACCTATGCTCGCGGTCGTTTGTTATTTATTCCCCTGAGGCGCCCTTGGGTCATTACACATTAAAATGCATCCATATGCCTTTATTTATGCATCTGTCATCTGTCTAGTCATAAAATAAAGCCAGAATTGTAAAAATGTTAAAGTCCCCATCTAAAGTTTAAACCACTTTGGCTTATATTGTAGTCTTACCCAATGTTATCAAAGTGTGATATGTGAAACTTTTTTTTTAAATTTCAAAAAGTGGTTTTTGATAGACTTTTTGTTCCAAAATTTGTGAATTTATTTAAAACTAACTTTTAGAGGTCACACATATCTTTTAATTAGCCACAACTCATATCAATGCATAGCATTCATCCTCGCATGTTTTTTGCTGAAAAAATTAAGAAAATAGGTTCATAAATAAGCGAGAAATGAACTTATCAGTGCATGAAAATGGTTCCGAGAAAAATGCATTTAAAAATTCTAGTTCTCATAGAAACCAATGGTACAATGATATCTAAAACATAATGTATTCTTCCTTTTAACCTGGTTAGACAATCAACATTGGTATATTATTGAAGTCTAGCATATTTAGAAAAGATTGACATCGAAAAAAAAAATTCAATTTTTTTCAAAAAGTTTTTTGGTACCTTAGTGACATCACTAATGGTGCAAAATATTTTTGATATGCTAAAACATTGAAGTGGCCCATTAAATATGGCATTTTATTATTGAAATAGTGTGTCTTTTGATCAATCTTTGCATTGGTGTTAAAAAGATAATCTTTTTCGAAATGCATTAAGAAATATTTGATGATTAAAAAATTTCAACTTTTTTTGAAAAATGGCGGGAAATTTGAATATTTGAGAAATGAAATGCTCACAACTTTTTTTTCAAAATTTTTTTTTCTTTCAAAAATCTCTAGAATAACTTTTTAAGTCATGACAAATAGTAAATGAATGATAAAAAAATATTTTCAAACTTTAGACGGGGACTTTAAGAATTTGAACTATTTTGAGATTTAATAATCTTAAAATTGAACCCTCAAATGACTGTATCATGTTCCACGTAGGTGGGTAGCTGGGTATGAGGTAGGAGTTTTTTTTATACAAAGCCTGCTGCTAATGAAACCCCTGAATGTGGGGCTGATTTGAAAATCTTGCAGTTAAAAAACATTGCCAGTTGTTGACACAAAGCTGAATTTTATATAAATAACCACTAATCCAGTTCATTTTCAACTGCAAAATTTCACAATGTACAAATAGTTGACCATTTCTACCACAGCTAAGTCAACAAAACTGTGTGATGCATTCAAGAAAACTTTGTGATATATTCAAGAAAACTGTGTGATACATTCAACAAAACTGTGTGGTATATTCAACAAAACTGTGTGATATATTCAAGAAAACTGTGTGATACATTCAACAAAAATGTGTGATGTATTCAACAAAACTGTGTGATGTGTTCAACAAAACTGTGTGATATATTCAACAAAACTGTGTGATGTATTCAACAAAACTGTGTGATGTATTCAACAAAACTGTGCGATGTATTCACCAAAACTGTGTGATGTATTCAACAAAACTGTGATATATTCAACAAAACTGTGTGATGTATTCAACAAAACTGTGTGATGTATTCAATGAAACTGTGTGATGTATTCAACAAAACTTTGTGATGCATTCAACAAAACTGTGTGATGTATTCAACAAAACTGTGTGATGTCTGTTTCTCAATCCTGAGACAAATAATAGTTAATTGCAACATTTGGTTCTCAATTACCGGTTGTGGTAATAATGAGGTTCTAATTGAGCTGCCATTCCTCACAATTTACAGTATTTACAGTACACGTATTTATGGTCAACGAGTATATATGGACATGTTTCATTTTATGACACTGTGAAAGAATCATGGCATACTCATTACATAAATATGCATTTTTTAGGAGTGCGGGAATTACGAGTTCAGGCTGTGGGAAAGGTGGCCGTCAACACTATCACGGGGCAGTCATACATGGCATGCCTGAGGACCAGACTCCCGCGAAATTTTACAAAGCAATTTTGGAAAACAACCCAAAGGTTCTTAGGAAAATGATACAGAAAGGATTTGATGTGAATATACCATTCAGGTTAGCTAATTCACTTTTAGTGTTCAATATAATGACTATATTATACTCATATATATGATACATGTACAATAAAAAATACTTTGATATAATATGATATGATATAATATAATTAATGATTTAAGCCTTGGACTCGGTGCATTGTGTGCTGAACCATTCCATGAAGATGTGGTTTCCAAATATTTGCATGACCACGCAGCGGAAATGCAAAGTTTAGGAAACAACATCTGAGTGGAATGAAGCACCCACAATGCATTGAGTCTTGGGCTTAAATTCTGTTCACAAATTGCAAAATCTTTTATACAAAATCATCTTAAAGGAACGAAATCACTAAAAGAACACATTTTCAATGAATTTTTGCAAGGGTGAAGTTGGCAAGTCATCGAATCTAATGTGAAAAGTCTGTTCATCACCATTACAACTGTTTAACTAGTGACCTTGAATGTTTTTGATTATTTCACACACTGTTCTATATGTGAAATGCTGTTTTTGGATTGGCTGGAATCGACTCACCCTGCCTAGCTATATGTGAATATAATTATAACACCTGAATGATTCACAATAGATAAGGCAAAATTTCAGCCAAAGAAGACATCATTAGACACCTAGTGTTCTCCACAAGATTTTTTCTCAAATGGGTGTAAATTCTCATTTTCACAAATCAGTCTAAAATTGGTCAAAATATTCCCATTTTTTATGGTGTTCCTCATTTTCAAGTGGGTGCAAACTGCAAATAGATTTTCAGGTGGGTGCAAACCTATTTTTAAAATCTCAGGTGGGTGCTTCGCCCACTTGCTTTAATGCTGGGGAGATCACTGACACTTGTTTCCAAAGTTTTGTTTAAGAGAAGTTTTCCGGAAAAGAATGGCTTCGCCGGTCTTATATAAGTAAAAAAATGAACATATTTTAATTAGGTTTGATGATGGTCTGGAGAAAATGACGGGTCTCCAGTACGCATGTAAGGATGGTTTGATCGCCATAGTGGAAGAGTGTCTTGTTTCTAACCAGGTATGAATTTTGTGGCTTGCCCCATTGATCAATCTGTATGTTTATGAGATTTTTGATTTTAAGTATTTTTCATGTACAATTTTCATCTCCATTCAAAGTTAAATACGTAGTGTTCAATAAATAGTATAATCCTTTTTCTATTTTTGTGGTATTTATACTATATGAGAATAATATAAAACCCAATGGTGTAAAGCTGTCATATATGCATAAAACACTTAATGAGGCTGTAGTACATGCGCTCTTAGATTGGCAAAAGTAAAAGGAACAAAACTTATAGGTTTCTAGTTGGCTATATAATATAATGACGTAATTTTTTCATTATAAATTACAGAATGTTATATAACAATACTTTTTGCTGACAGGTCTAACAACCGCCAATAGCTAAAACACTATGGTGTACTCTCAAAAGGACGATTCTCGGTTTGGAGAACAATCTCCTGGGCTAATAATTTTTTTCATGAAAAATATAGAAATATTACCCAAATTAAACTTTGAATATTCAAAAGAGAACACATAAATCTACAAGATGTAAAAATAACAAATTTGTCCGAAGCAGGGATAATGCTCAATTAGACCGATTCAATAAAATTCAAGTCTCGATTTGGGGAAAGAAGTTCAATAGTGTACTGCGCTAATATTTTTTTTGCGAAAAATCTAGAAATATTACCCAAATCAAATTATGACCATTCAAAGGAAGACATTCAAATCTATATTATGTGAAAAAATCAAATTTGTCCGAAGCAGGGATAATGCTCATTTAGATTGATGAACGTCGTTCTCCAAACCGAGAATCGTCCTTTAGAGAAAGTGTCAGTTGATTTTTATATTAAATTGCCCCACACTTTAAAAATTGATGCCAATCATTTACATTTTATTGGTCTATATCAGTCGGAATCTCATATTTCAAAATCCCCCAGAATGCTTCAAATGCAATCTCTTTTTCTTTTTGCCTCAGGGATATGTTAAGTCTTACTTTACTTCTCTTTCAGGTTGACGTCAACAAAGGGACGCCTTTTGATGAAGCAACTGCTCTACATTTTGCGATGCGTCATGATAATTATGACATGAAGGTGATTAGTTTTACTGTATTACCTAGACATAGTGACATATACATGTTCAACATACTTTTGTGATACAGTGAAACCTCATATAGAACCATTTTTATGTATTTACTTGTAGGTTAAGATGGTGAAAACGTTGCTTAGTGCAGGGGCCAATGTAAACGTCGGTGATCATAGCGGATGTACACCTTTGATCATTGCGAGTGAACAAGGACATTTGGAATTAGTCAGGCTCCTACTGGAGAAAGGTGCCGATGTAAATTGTGGGTTAAACGCGGAGGATTTTCCACACGCTGTACGATGGTCACTCTGCAATCTTGAGCTCTCTCTGAAAGAGGTCAACGAAATGTGTGATCCGTTTAAAGGGAATACGGCTTTGATACAAGCGTGTCGTGAGCATCATCATAACGTCGTACAGGAATTGTTAAAATGGGGTGCCAATCCAAACATTGCAAACTCAATGGGGAATACATCCCTCCACATTGCCTGTAAATCTGAATCAAAGAATATTTATACTGATAAACTTACCCGACCACCTGTAGCGGGAAACATTAAAATTATCACTGAATTGACAAAACAGAATGGAAATGTTGACGCAAGAAACAATCATGGTGAAACACCGTTGCTTCGTAGCTTGGAAGGAATTTTTGAGATTATTCAATGGAATATTCCCGATGATGAAAAAGTATGGACAGCTGAGAATTTCTATAAAATTTGTCAGTTTTTGATACAGAATGGCTGTGATGTCAATGTATGTAACAAAGATGGGAAATCAGTCCTCACTTTAGCTGTCTCAACAGCCGACCAAGTAAAAGCCCACGGGGAATTAATAGGACCACTAATGACTGTGATTCGAATGATTATCCTAGCTGGGTACCGTCCGAAACCCAAGGATTTAAATATAGTGCCTGAAAATCTAAGCAGTCAAATCCCATTGAAACAATATCTGCAAAACATGATAGCTAATCCCCTTACGTTAAAGCAGTCATCACGAATCTCTATCCGGAAGAACATCGGAACGCCTGTATGTTCAAAAGTTTTGATGTTACCACTACCCTCTCTCTTGAACCAGTACATTGCAATGGAAGGCGCAGAATGAAATCATGAAAATGAAATATTTGCATACACACTTGAACTATTCATTTTTTATTACAAATATTTAGATTTTATATAACAGTGATACTCCACAAAAGGAAAAACTAGCCAACAAGATATGAATATGATAATTCTAAAAATGGCAAAATCTACCAAACATGGGCAAGAAATCAAATCCTGAAACTTGGAATTTGAGACTTGAGCCCGATTGTTGAGCTACACAACATCTCGGTTCAGATTTAGCACAATTCAGCTACAGTGAAAAATGAACATCTGAACACCTCTCTAAACCGAACACTCCTCCATGCCATCATTTTCATTGGTCTCAATTTGTTATCCCCCATTGGTTGAAATATTTAAAAGCCGTAAAATGTGAACACCTACTAATCTGGACATATTTGGCTAATCATAGTTTTTATACATATGTATATTCATTTATTTACTACATTTGTTGTACTTTGTTGTTACATATACATAGGGCATATCCAATCAGTACCTATATCAAAAATGCTCCCTGAGGATATGCGATGTATTTTAAAGGCCCATAATTATTGTTACACTATAGAGAGTATTTATTATTGCTATATTGTCCGCACAAAGGATAAAGGATAAAAAATGGCAAAAATAGAGCCAACGATCCTGAAATTCCTGATCACCCCTCGTATATGCACATACTTTTGCACGGGAATCTCTGGGTGTTTTGGTGACATTATCTGGTATGTGCATATAACACAGTATTGTCTATTGAGAAGGCCAGTGTCATATTTTTTTTGTTTTTTGAAAGGATTTTACGATATACAATGAAACCTGTCTTACTGAACACCTCTCTCTAGTGAACACCTGTCTCTAGTGAACACCCCTTCACAGCACATACTCCAAAATCCCCACTCTGTAGTGAACACCTTTATGATCAACCCTCGTACATACAATCAACACATTTTTGTGGCTCAAGAGGTAGTAGTGCACAGGTTTTAAAATTGAATCCCTGTTAAGTTTATCCATGTATTTCTTTTAAAGTTTGTGCTATGAGATGTTGCGAATATTACAATATGTATATTTAGAATCAGATGCCTTTGTAAAATATGCATAGATTTTAAATTATATATTTATACTGATCTGTGGTGCTGTTAAATGAGAAAGAATGTTACTGCTTGATTCTATGAGTTGCATTCTTTTTCATTTTTTGGTATTTAATTTATATTTTCTAGTCAGCTAGTGAGGGAATATTGTATTTAGCTAAAGTGAGTTGTATTTAGCTAAAGTGAGTTGTGTTTTGCTAAAAAGTACTTGTTTTAGCTTTAAAGCAAATGGGCCTCTCTGTAATAGTATATACTATACGCTGTACATTATCGTGCCATTGTTAAGTGTGTCTAGTCAGTTAGTGAGAGAATTGCTTGTCAGCTAGTGAGAGAATTGCTAGTGAGCTAGTGAGAGAATTGCTAGTCAGTAAGTGAGAGAATTGCTTGTCAGCTAGTGAGAGAATTGCTAGTCAGCTAGTGAGAGAATTGCTAGTCAGCTAGTGAGAGAATTGCTAGTCAGCTAGTGAGAGAATTGCTAGTCAGCTGGTGAGAGAATTACTAGAATTGCTAGTCAGCTAGTGAGAGAATTGCTAGTGAACTAGTGATAGAATTGCTAGTCAGTAAGTGAGAGAATTGCTAGTCAGCTAGTGAGAGAATTGCTACTCAGCTAGTGAGAGAATTGCTAGTCAGCTAGTGAGAGAATTGCTAGTCAGCTAGTAAGAGAATTGCTAGTCAGCTAGTGAGAGAATTGCTAGTCAGCTGGTGAGAGAATTACTAGAATTGCTAGTCAGCTAGTGAGAGAATTGCTAGTGAGCTAGTGATAGAATTGCTAGTCAGTAAGTGATAGAATTGCTAGTCAGTAAGTGAGAGAATTGCCAGTCAGCTAGTGAGAGAATTGCTAGTCAGCTAGTGAGAGAATTGCTAGTCAGCTAGTGAGAGAATTGCTAGTCAGCTGGTGAGAGAATTACTAGAATTGCTAGTCAGCTAGTGCGAGAATTGCTAGTGAGCTAGTGAGAGAATTGTTAGTCAGTAAGTGAGAGAATTGCTAGTCAACTAGTGAGAGAATTGCATTTACGTTTAACTTGTATGCAAATTGTATTTAGCTAAGAAAGTGACTTGTATTAGCCTTGCATATTTCATCACGCAAATCATCCTCTGATCACAGGGCTTCAAAATACTTCTTTCTTTTTACCCCCTGCAATAAGCAGTTAGCATTTCCCCGATTAAGAACTCGCAATTTGATTCGCTGTCGCAACATTGCGACAGCAATCATGTACACGTCATCAGCAAATAATTAGATCACATGATTCAGTTTTATCGGGCACTTCCAAATTGGTTATAGCAGGGGGAAAGAAGGAGGTACAGATTCTGGACACCTGCTTAGAAGGATGCACGTCTCTGACATCTGCTGTACAATAATAATCTCCATGAGGTACATGTTATGTATGTCTAGTGAGTTACCTGTGATCAAAATATTATTTACAAAAATAGTTATTTTCTGTACTATAGCATATTTATAATAGCTAATAGCATATATAACATGAATTTTAATATAAAATTTGAACTGTCCAAATAGTTGCTTTTCTATACAATGACCTGTTTTGTAGGAGACTTCTGTTATTCTTTACAATTTAATGCTGATGTTCTGTACAATAATGCTTATGTTCTATATAATAACTTTCATGTTCTGTACAATAACGCTTATTTTCTATATGATGACTTTCATGTTCTGTACAATAACTCCAATGTTCCATATGATAGTGCTGATGTTATGTATGCTAACCTTTGTGTTCTGTACAATAACGCCAATTTCCTGTACAATAATGCTGATGTTCTGTACAATAAAGCTGATGCTCTGTACAATATCACAGATGTTCTGTACAATAATACAGATGTTATGTATAATAACACTGTTGTTCTGTACATTAACACTGATATTATGTACAATAATGGCGATGTTCTGTGTTAAATATTGTTGTTATATCCAGTTATAAAGAAATTGATGTAATGTGGAATAAAATTAATGTTTTGTACAATAAACTAACTAATCTGTACAATTTAATGGTTCATATAATAATCTTATTCTCTGTATAATAAAGATGAGCCATACATCGATATAGAAACATTTTTGCCATGTACAATACAGTTTATGCTCCTTATAATAAAGTGGTTGTATTGGACAATACATTATAGTCATCAATTTATTTACTTGTAAACAGTTTCAAGATTTACACATTATAAAGTCAAAACTATTTCACTCTACTATACCTAACCCCTAGAAATGCATAAGATACTCTGTTTGTCTAATTGTATTGTTTAGTATGTTTTTTGAAAGTACCTTATTAACATCTAACAGTCATCCAATAAACCATTAATAAGGAATAGACAATTAAAACAAATAACATAATTTTTACTGATAAGCCAAATGAGTTGTTCATGAGCACCAAATGCAAGGTATAGAAGAGTGTATTTACAAAAAGTGTGTTCCATTCTCAAAATTCATTTCGGTCGTTGCACATGAGTTACGGATTGCACTGGACGAAAGGCTCGGAGATTGAGTGTGTTCATGCAATTGTTAATATATGGGTACCGCTGTACCAATGTGAGTCCGCATTTAACAAGGTATTTTTTATCTGTTGAACAATCTCTGCTTTTTTGATTATACCATTTTCAGCAATATTTTCATGATTGTCAAATATGATGACCTTTAAGTCACATTAGTCACTGTATTAAATGAATATATTATAATTGAAGTCGTTGTACAGGTCGTTGTCATGGTGAGGGAGTTGGACTCCCTCACCATGACTGAAATTGATGCTTTGCCAATTTGACCCTTGCAAAAAGTTTTATTGAAAATACGTTATTTTATGATTTTATATATTTAAGTGACAAGGAGGGGACATTCGGGTGTTGTTTCCTAAAATTAACACTTGATGCAAAGCATCTCGTGCAAAGGTCCATGTGCAGTATAGCAAGTGATTTTAGACGGTCATATCTTTCACCATGAGTACTTTCTGGGCATAAAAACAGTGGTTTTTATTCAAATAATATGTTCTCTTTCAAGTGAAGTCATCATGATAATAAAATATCAATCCAACTCTCTGAAAAATTATGGTTTAGGACCCCACCTTGGCACTTTTAAAAAAATGTTAGGGTTATTTTCTAAGAAGAGGATCTTGTTTTTCTCAATTTAACCGTACTGAATGTTATTTTGACACTATATTAACAACTTCTGAAAATGTGATTGGTATTGAAATGCGTTAAAGTTAGAAACCACATTTCCCATGTTTATTTCCCATAGGGAAAACTCGTGCTATCCATTGTTTTCAGCATAATTTTGGTCATCGAAAATTTGATATCTCCAAAACTAGACTTTCATTACCATTCTACTTTTGAAGTAGTTTTAGACCCCTTTTGAATATTAATCTTTTCATGCAATAAAAATCAGAAAAAGGAGATCCCCTTTTGAGTAAATAGGTTTAACATTTTGAAAAAATTGTTGACATGGGGTCCCTATTCATAATTTTTCGAATTGTTCGATTGATATTTTTATCATCATGGGCACTTTACTTAAAAGAAAACATATTATGTTAATGGAAACCACTGTATTTATGCCCAGAAAGTACTCATGGTGAACGATATGACTGTCTAAAATCACTTGCCATACTGCACATGGACCTTTTAGAAAGCATCACCTTCAAAGAATGGTCATTCCACATTGCACTGAATGAAGAGCTTTCTCTTGAAAGCCCATGGCCTCTTGGCTTTAACTAATATTCGAGAAAATGGTGTTTGCTATAACTTGACTATGATGATGATTCGTACAATGATAATGATCATGATGATTCTGATCAAACACCAGCGAAGAGAATGAAAACTGATATGCAAACGTGTATAGACGATGATACGGTGTCCGGTGAAAATGAGGATACTTACGACCTAATGAAACAGTTACAATCAAAGGTCAATAAATCAAATGAGGGTCAAGGACCACCATTAAACAAGGCTATGTCAAGCCTACTAAATGATCTAATACAGAATGTCTTGAAGGGAGAGGAAGAAAGCCAAAAGCTTGATGATAACAAAACCCCTTCGAATACCCCTCTTGTATGTGCTACTAGGGGGAACGAACAAATATGGAGCCGCATCTCTAGTGAGGTCCGCTCGAGTGACATCAAAATGCAACAATCTCTCAAGTCAATGATGTGTTCCATAGTGGCTACTTCTAGAGCCTTAGAGGTATTGGATTCACTGAAAACTGCCGTCGGAGGAAAGGCGGATGAATTCCAAGATCAATTTGGTAATATGGCAAAGGACGATTCTCGGTTTGGAGAACAGCTCCTGGGCTAATAATTTTTTTCATGAAAAATATAGAAATATTACCCACATTAAATTATGAATATTCAAAAGAG